ATTAATGAGCTTCTCTGGGTACCTCAGTTTCAAGAAGATTCCTCTCAAGTTGTCACATTCTTCAGCAAATATATCCGGTGAAGATGAAAGACAGTGGGCACGGTTTAACATAGAAGTGATCGTTTGTAACGGGCGTCAACATGACTTTGATAGTGAAGGAGAAGGCCTTTATTTGTCGTTTTCCTGTAAACACATGTTTCCAACCGTTTCTCACTGAACAATTCACTATACTGAAGAAATGTCGTGGGAAATTTGAATGCTTGATCTAATGTTGGAAAACTACTTTAAAAGGTAATAGAATTTGAAAATCTGTCGACACAAATACGGATCAACCTTGACCTATAAACTGATCATAACAAGACTCTAGTCACGAGTGAAACGTCAAGCACAAACACGAAATAAACTTAAAATAACCTTCAAAATACTTCACAACACAACCATAAATGGCACTGAGATCTTGTTCTTTGGGTTTTGGAGAATTGTGCGGCTAAAAAGTAAGTATTTGGTCACCGGGGAGCAGTAGTTACAGAGGGACAGAAGAATTGAATCCTGCCTACTAACACCTAAATTGCCCGAATCGAATCTGAGAAAAACATCTCAGTCAGGACCTTGCCCAGCAAGGGTGCTTGTCCGAAGGACTGCCTTAAGACTTGCGAACAACTATTGACAGAGCGCATCCAAAAAGCATCCAACCTGCGCCAACCGGAAAGACGCGAATAGTCACCGACAACCTTGGAAAGCAGAATCAGTTCTGGGCCTACGGTTATAGTGCTAGTGGGATTAGTATTTTCCTACGTTTGGCTTGGTAATTACCAGGAAATATGCTCTCATCGGTATCTTATGTTTGTTTAGGCGTGTGCGCTGGTATGTGGATAATCGGTACGGGTATATATTTGGGCGTGCTGGTTTTGTCTTTCATCTCGGTCTCATGTTCCAGCGTTTGGGTCATTTTTGTTTGTTTTTGACTTTTTAGTTTGTGTGCGTTCTTATTGCTTTTATTTTGCAGATGTTTTCAGTTCTACTATGTGGTCGGATCTTCGGGCTGCGGTTCCCCAGGGATCCAGTGTTTTACAATCCCTTGTTCGTTGGCTAGCAGAGCACCCAGTACTTCCTCCAAGTATTTTTCTTCTTACAACAGATGGAGGTCTTGGGCATGAGAACATGGCTTGACAGTTTTTCCCGCTTCTCCGTCCCACTTTGCTATATATTTGCGTCATTTAATGACTGAAGCGAAGACAGCATCTTCCCTGGAGTCAGCAGTTCACAGCATTGCCTGGTTTCACAATCTGGGTGGCGAGGCGTCTCCTTCTGATCATCCGTTTGGTGAAGAGTACTTTTGCCGGTGCGCAGCGTTTGCTGGTCCATCAAACAACCAAGAAGGAGCCTTTCACAGTCTCTCAGTTAGAGCAGTTAGTTGCCTCCAAGGCGGACTCAATCGCCTCTTTGTATAATATTCGTTCGGTTGTTATTTGCTTACTAGCTTTTGCAGCCTTTCTCAGATTTGATGAGTTTGCTAAGCTTGTTCGATCCGATGTTAAGATCGAAAATGACATGTTAAAGTTATTTATTCAATCTAGTAAAACTGATCAGTATAGGGATGGGGCTTTGATTGTTGTAGCTTCTTCTAGGAAAGCAACTTGTCCGGTTGCTATGATGAACCGTTATTTAGATAGAGCTGGGCTTTCCTGCGATAGCCCTTTGTTTTGCCAGCTTTCCAAAACTAAATGTGGTTATAAGCTTAGATCTAAAGGTTGAAGCTATTCACGGTTAAGAGAGTTAGTGCTAGAGGCCTTTAAAGATATTGTACCTGATATTTCTGCCATTGGTACGCATAGCCTTAGGAGTGGCGGGGCTACTGCTGCCGCATATGCTCGCGTACCGGACCGGCTTTTTAAGTGTCATGGCCGCTGGGCTAGTGAATGGGCTAGGGACGGGTACGTCCAAGATTCTTTATCATCTCGTTTGTCGGTTTCTAAGGCTTTAGGTATTTAGTTTTCTCGTTCGTACCGCTTTTAATTGATTCTAGTTTCTATTTAGTTGGTCTTGCCCGGGGGACGGTTTTTTTTTTATGGGGTACAGCCGGCCTGGGTTTTCCTCTTAGGTGCAAGTTAGACGTACGGGGAGGTTTTTCACCCAGCTGTTGTTCCAGAGCCCATTTCAATTAGCTTGTTATCTAGTTCTTTGGAGCTGTATGTTACTTGGATTGTATATTACGTTTCTATATGTCATGTACCTTTTAGTCTTTTCGTGAATAAACCGAGCGCTTGGTTTGAAGCGAGCCGCACCCAAGGTTTGTGAGTTTTCTTGTAGTGACAAACTGAGATTGAAAGGAGAGTTGTACTGGTGTTCATGATCATTGACGCCGCAGTTGTTAACATCCCAATTCCCAATTCTGTCCTTCATAGAAGAGTTTTATCTAACGCAAAAAAAGGGACTGCTAAAACTTTGGCTTCAACATTAGCCTGAAGAAGACTTAGATCACGCATCAAGATGTCAGTGAAATCTCCAACACAACTGGTGGCTGCATAGCTGAGACCAATCGTCCTTTGTAACTGTCACTCGACAAGGAGCTGCTTTTGTTATATCCAAGAGTTCCAAAACATGGAAAAACAGCCACAACCACGACCGGAACGTTGTTTAGGATGCGTGTTCTAAGCACTCTCCTTTATTGGAGAGAACTAAGATAGACAACATACATGGACACGCAATTAACCTGAACTTGTTTGTTGCTTGTAAGCGCCAGGCACTACCCCTGTGTGGGGGACTGGACCTAGTGGAATTAAAAGTTTTGTGAGCGCTTGGAAATGACTGCAGTGTTTTTTATGTTCAACCGGGCTTTGAATAGAATTTCTCGCGCCTAAGAATATCCAATATACATGGCACCTGCTTTGGTCAGAATCTGGGCTGCCAGCATGTTCACCCTCCTAACCCAGCGTTGGTTACACTGCGTTTGAAACCTGGAACCAGATCTACATGACGCTTCTTTATAGAGTCAGTGACTTGAGTCTTCGGTACAGTCCACGCTACACAACAACACACCTCTCACGCAACAACCTGCCAGAGTTTATAAATGCAACCATCCACGCTGTCTCACCCGTCCTTTTCTCCAGGAAGGTTAAAAAAAATTACATTTTTACCACAACTAATAAACAAAGAAAAATCGTTGACCACTTATCCTGCAAATCCAAAAATCTTCTCCACTTAATTCAATGCAACAAATGTAAATGCCAGCACATTTTAGAGACCAAATGCCAACTAAATGAACTATTTGGAGAACACTGTCGATCCACCTTGAACCACCAACAACTCAGCGATCCCACTCCCGTCTCCTTGCATTTTAATCAAGCTGGACATTCAATAAACGACGTCACCCTAATCCCACTTGAACTCATGCGCAGCAACCGTGACGCAGTGAGAAAGGCTCGGGAAGCTCATCTAATACACAAAGGGAACACATTATCTCCTTTAGGAATAAGTAGACGTGACGAAGCTCACTGATATAAGATATCTAGTCTCTTATACCAATAACAATCCATTGTTTTTGTTGTCACATTCTCAAATTCTTATTTGTAACGAACTTATAGTTTTACTAAATGAAATGGGTTTTTTTATAGAATGATTTCAAACACAGAAAGAATTTACAAGCCTTTTTGAAGAAATGTCCCTGCAACAGCTAGAGAAATGCTTTTATGTTTATCGGCAAGAGAACGTGACGGCGACAAAATTGTAATCGTTGGCAACAATCAATGAGTAGAAAACGATCAATTTTGGCTCAATTATCTCACCGTTTGGTCTCATTTGCGTAAGCAGCGAGACTCATAATCTAAAACGCGTTTTTCTTCGTATTTAGGACACAAAAGGGGGTCATTGTGCCAGGCGTTCGTTGCGGAGACCGTGGAAACTGGGAATAAGAATCGTTGCGTGATCGAAGCCATGCATGTTTTGCGAAGAAAGCTTAGGAAAGATTAAATTTAGAGCTTTTCCGATACGTGTTGGTCCACGAATTCCATTGCTTCAAAGCATTGATTACTTTGGAACTTTGTGAACACCACTGAGTGGTCGGAAAAAAAGAATCTTAATTACCAAAACTGCGATGGTCGGGTGTTGTAAACTTTCGGCGATGATTGAAATGACTTGCCTCGTAAATCATTTCTTTGATCTCTGGCAATGATGTAATTTCTCTGGAATCGAGGCCTTTGAATTTTCGTGTATTTATACACGCGTATAGCCTGCGACCGCAAACGTATTTCCGGTCGTTGCCAACAGGCGTACTAAATCAATTCAGAAACAACTAAAAAGTATCGACGACGATAAAGTAGGAAGTAAAAAACTTTAAGCGAGAAAATCCTGTTTCGTGTAGAATTAATACCTCCTCATTTCTCGATCTAATCTCCAAGCAAGCGAGACTGGACGCCGCTGTAAGAGCGTTCTTGTTTAGTTTATACTAAAAAATTATTCACCGAAGTGTCGGTGGTTAGTGGTGAATATTTGTTATATATCTCAAACTAGACATTTTTGCTGTATTTAAAGCTGGTAGCTCAAATCAAAATCGAGTCATCCATATTTAGAAACTTCCCTTCCCCGAACAAAGAGTTTAAACTAAGTGACCAAGACTGTACAATGAAGTAGCAATGTTGGAGAAGGGCGTGACAAACGCTTTATTAGTTTTTAAAACAAGAACAGTAGTTTATTCCATTATCGCCAATAATTAAATAATTGCTTTTAGAAAGGGGAGTGATAGATGGGGAATATCAAACAAGCCGACCTGTCAGATATTGGTTAGGACGCCAACACTACCCTCAGATTTTGGAACTTACAATTGGACTAAAACCTAAAATTTACAAACCAGAAATGTTAATTGACGTTCTCAGATTTAAAAAAAAAGTACGTCTAGCATTTTAGGAACTCCGTAACGATATATAATAATTATTAACAAAGACACAACGAAAGAGGAAATAGACATGGATTCCCGGGGGAGGGGGGACTTCGCATATGAAAGGGGTGGGGATGCTCGTCGTCTTGCTTAGGGGTATACAGTTCGGATTTGGGTCTCACTTAGGGTGTTCTGGGCAAAGTTTTAGCCGTGAAGGTCTCGTTTAGGGTTGCACGCGAAAAAATATAAAATATATATTTGATATGTATATTTTAGTTAGTTTTATTTACTCATTCATATAATCCAATTTTTCTCATTTGTCTGTGTTTTAACATGGTCTCTTTTAGGGGTCAAAAAAAGCTCGGGCCACGCCAAGATCGGTCTCCTTTAGGGGTTTAATTCAAAATTTCCGACGAGGATCCCCACCCCTTTCATATGCGGAGTCCCCCCCCCCGGGCATGATTATAACGCCCATGATAAACTTAGGCTAATTATCTCAAGATGCGGACAGTGGCGTGACGTGGCTCCTTTAAGAGCTAAGAGCCTTTGCAGAACTTGATTCGTTCGGTGCCTCAGAGGTTTCTCAAAGCTAACAATTCCTAATTTTGCAATCTTAAATGCCAAGAATCATACAAAATATCCGCGGAAAAGATATAGATTGGACCTGCCGTCAACTAAGATACTATATTTATCTATTAAAAACCTAAATTCTTTGCGCGTTTTCTAACGAGGTGTCAAGAACAAATTTATAATGTATTCCTTTTGTTTCTTAATTTTTAAGCAGTTTTACAAACTGTGTATTAACTGGACGACTCTCTCACTGCCACGTGACAAGAGCTTTCCACTATTTATCCATTTTTACATGTGCTTCGTACACCTCTTGACCATACAATAATTATTAAGCGATCTTTTTTTCAGTCGAGACAGTGACATACTGGTTGGTTCAATTACGTACTAACACAGTGTAACAGAAAAGGGCTTAATCCTTATTTAAAGGAAAAAATATAAGACTTGCATACTCAGCCGCCTTGACCTAATGTCTGTGTTCAGTTATCCATATGACTAATAAACATTCAAGAGTATTCTAAATGCTCTACGCATACACTGACTCTGTTCTGTTTCAAAAAGAAATAAGTTAATGTGCTTTCACACACGAGTGCCAATAAATTATAAGACATAAATAGCGCAAACGCAGTAAGATGCCTATTTCCATTGAGGCAAGGCAAAAAAATTTTGGCTGAGCTGTAGTCACATCAGCCTCAATATTTCAATTATCAGAACAACAAGTGCTCGAGTCATTTGCTCTTCACTACTGTAACAGTCTATTTTCTTAGTTCTTTAAAGCTACAATAAAGGAATGCTCCATTTCCAGGGTGATTTAAAGTAATTCACGTAAACATGAGGGTGAAACGTGAAATTGGACTGTCTTTCTATCAACAGACTGCTGAAAGTCCTAGAATGTCAATCATGCAAGTTAAAGGAACAAACGGGCTACGACCATGTAACAGAGTGGAAACTTTGGAAACTAGGGAGAAGCAGTGGGTTCGTTCATTCCTATCTCGCTCAACATAGTGAAAAACAATAGCCAGCATTCTTGTCTTGTTCCTCTTACAAACAGCAGGTTGGAAATTCAGATTACACTTCTCCATTTGAAGTCGCCTCTCCTTGTTGACCCAAAGTGATGAAGTTTAACAGATCAATGCGGGTGACAATCCCAAATATCATTTCTTTCTGGTCCAGTTTTCCTTTATCGTTATCTAACAAGCCAAAACGATCACAGTAAGTATGTATCTGAGAACAATCGTACTACACAGTAACTACCTACAGCTGTCGGACCTCAGTGAAATAAGGTGTTAATTAAGTCATGGCATTTCATACCTTTACTACATTCAATGTGAAATCATGAATGATATCCTCGCATTTGATGGGCTCTCAGCGGAGTAACTTATACAGAGTCATGAGGTGACATCTGCTCAAAACCGCACCTTTTTTGCATACAAAATGAGACAAAAAAGAGTTTCCGGTTCCGCTTATTTATAAACCGGCTGGTGCTAGATCAAGAGAATATTGCTATTGTCTAATATCCAATGTTGGGGTGATTTTACAATGGAAGTAATCACTTAAGTCATAATTGAACTTCGTGTAGTTCAATTTTGGTGTGAAATCACACTTTCAAATGGTACTCACGCTGCGCGCTTCTTTGATTTTGAAATAGGCTGTTCACAGTCCCCTATTTTTTGGTGAGATCGTTTAGATATACCGCGTCTTACCGTCACGGCTATCTTGATTTTCAAATGTACCGAGGGGCGGGCGTCGGGGATTATAGCTCGGATTATGACTCAAGTATTCCCCCGTTCCCTAAGTAGTTTTGACACTCATGCAAGATGGCAGCCCGTAACGCAAAGCGCTCGATCTCGATGATCTTACGGAAAAATAGAGGACTGTGAACAGTCTAATTATGAAATCACCAGCATAATTTCAGACCAAACAGTTCAGTTCAGTTATTGTTGTTTTTACTCCTGACTTACAGGCTTAGAAAGTTGATCAGTTGAACTGACTGTTTCTAAAACAAGTTTACTTAGTTTATGAATGCATGCATGTTATACTTACAGAGCCGCTGACTATGGACTACAACAGCATAATGATCAAGATCAAGAATACATGACAATTGACCAAGACTGGAGTCTAGTGTAACCTGAAAAATAAACACGACTTTGCCTTACAAACCATCCAAAACGGATCTTATTAGACTAGTACGCTGGTTGTTACTTATATGGAATACGGCTTCCACAGCAGGTGCTCGAATAGAAAATAAACAATAAGCTCAGGAATGTCTCTATTTCACCTTTTTAAAGTTCTTGTAGATGCATTTAACTATTGGGCTCTCAGGAGTGACTCTTCCGCTTAAAATCTGCGACATGATGTTACCAAGAGTAACCATTCCCATTACAGCTCTGATTCAAAGGAAAGAACAGAGGTGAATTAAACCAGTCAAACAAAGCACAGCTAAAAATAAAAATCCGGATTTCTTTATCCACCCTTACCCAGCATCGTTGACTACTGGAACTTGATCAAAACATTCCCTGCAAAATAAAGAAATTGACAAATAAATGAATAAACAAATTCAAGAATATCGCTGACGAAATTAGTTTTAGGTACAGGATGAAAACAATTGCTTTCGCGAATATATATATAGATTTGTCGTAGGGTAAGACGTTCTTGACAAGTCGTTTCAGCTATTTATCTGGGAAATTCTTGAGAGGATAGCAGCAATTCAGACAATGAAAGAATACATCTATCAAAAGTTACTCTTTTTCTTAAAACTACGGGCTCTGTAACCAGTGTCGAAACATTCAATGGAGATAGCGCCAAAATAAAATACCACCCTGGTTCTGTTTTGCCCGCTGTCTTTACAATCTGTGAAGTGCGTGACAGACTATCCAAACATCATTTAAACGAATATTAATGCAGCCAGCGTTTGGTACAGCTAAATAATCTTCCCAAGGCATCGACCTTTAAATAGTGAAAGAAATACTACATGTCGCCGTAAAATTATTCAAATGGCAGATCTCCTGTAAATACTTTTTTTACACAGATTTAAAAATTCTGATTAAGTTGTGTTCTTTATAGTAATGACACTAAGACATTCTTATTTTGTTAACAAATTAAGACTCTAGCTGTGGAATAAATAATGCGTGCATGCTTGGTGCAATTCAGTTGCTGTAAAGATAGACACCCCACTAGGACTTTAATTATATTGCTAAGAAACATACTTGTCCATTATGTCAATAGACTGCTGACAGGTAACAGTTGGCAGGACTGTTAGTGGAGTGTGTAAGTTAAGGGACGAAACTTTCTTTGTCCACCACCTGGAAAATAATAATAAAATCAAGTAGAAGTTTTAAAATACTGAAATTATTGTTGGATGGAAGTAGAAAATCGACTAACACATCACCACATCAGTCGGGTAAGGATATACATGGTTGCCACAGCCAGAGGTTTCTGAAATTCCCTGACTTTTTTCCTGACAAATGTAAAATTTCCCTGACCAACTGAATTAACAATTGCACAAATTAGTCCTGATAATGGACTCAGCTCTCTTCTTTATAGAGCCATCCTCTTCACTCTTTTATTCATGCTTTCAGCAAGTCACGTGCAGTGTACATGAATTGATAGTTCCTTAACATAACGTGCAAAAGGGACTGACATTCTTGAAAACCCAGTACATCAGCATTTTGTTCAATTTCACGAACAATATTCTACCAATACAACTAGTAATAACCAAAGGTTGCGGAGTGCAGACGACAACAATCGAAGGTCAAAATGCTTTTGCTCCAAAACTGTTCTTTGCCCAGGTTTCACATAACAGATGGTCAAAATACAAGTGATCAAATTACGAGGGTAGAAGGTCGAAAGGCGCATGATCAAATTGCTTTCTGTGCATTCCATTCATTGTTAATGGAAGTCCAAATGAATGCTGGCTACATACGATGCATGTGCAACAACAACCTGGATATTACGATTGTGGGCTCCTCTTGTCGCCCGCAACAAGATTCATGTCCGTAAAAAGCACAAAAGAATTTTAAATGTTAGAAAACAATTAAAGAAGAGGGAAGAGAATAAATATGTACTCGTTAAATTTCACTTTTGACTGACTTCTCTCAAAGACTTAAATTTTCCCTGATTAGAAGTGAGATTTCCTATGTTCTTTCCCCTGCCCTGACTATTTCCTGACCTGTGTCAACCATGGTATGATTACTCCTACCTTGGCAATTAGTAATAATTACTATCTTAAAAAAAAAGAAAAGGATAAGTCACTGACAACATCTCTGCTTTGAAATAAACCATGCTATGGTTCATTCCAAAGCAGAGATATTGTCAATAAATATATCAAAACAAAATATTTTTCCTTTCAGAAATAACATTCAATTTTATCCTCGGTAAACGTTTTATTTTTTTGTCAATTTAATGGTTAAGTATGGTAATGAGTTTAAGTGAAATAGGGACATATATATATATATATATTCTATACCAAAACTTGTTGTTATCTTCTTTTCTCTCTTTTTCAAGGAATCCTTTGTCTTCCATCCAATCATCACTCAAGTATTTGGACCTAAAAATTAAAGAAAAATTAAAATACATTAACATTAAACTCATGATTCTTAAGGAATCACATGCTTTAAAAATACATGAAATTGTACCCAGAGACATTCCTAAGCAATATTATATTTATTACAAGGTGGAGAATACTTTGCCTTACATGTAGTTGCGGACAGAGTCCGGCAGCAGGACAACACACCTCTGTCCCTCCCCCAGAGTCTGTGCTGCTTGCACAGCAGCAGCCATAGCACTTCCACATGAGCCACCTAATATAACAACAAAACACAAATTAGTTGACAATATATCCACCAAAAAGCCTGACAGCAAAAACATTCCCCTAATTGTGTCAAACTTAACATATTTACCACAAAGCAGTCCTTCCTCTCTTATAAGTCGTCTGGCAAAAGTGAATGCTTCCTTGTCACCAACTTTATACCATTTGTCAACAACGCTGCGGTCCAAAACAGTAGGTACAAAGTCATAGCCAATACCTTCTACCTACAAGAAAACAGATAAAATGTAGCATTTTATCATCTCTTTATTTTCATTGTCTTTTTTTTGCATGCATGGAAAATGCTTAATAGGCACAGCAAGGGTTTAGGGAGCATACATGTACCACACTAACTTAAGTATTGTTTGGTTATATTAAGTGGTATCTGATCTTTCAATAATGTCATGGACACTTCACAAAAAATAAAGAAATCTTAACTTGGTCAGTAGTTCTTAAAGTTCAATTAAAGTTTTTAGGTTGGAACTTACATGATAGATTGGGTTGTCACAATCATTGAGTTCCTCCGGTTGAGCCAGGATTGACCCATGAGGATCAACACCGATCACCTGAAAAGTACCATATTACATTTATTATTCTTAAATATCCCATGCAAGCTATATACTGTGTGTACTGGACTTTCAAACATGGCAAATCATACAATGTAGTTTCAATCCTCTGCAAACTGCAGCATTAGCAGCATTAGCATCAACTACTGATATATTATTTACAAAACTATTTCAAAATATTGATTACCTTAACATTTGGACATTTTTCCTTGAGTTTTCTTGCCACACCAGTTATAGTGCCACCAGTACCAGCACCAAGAACAACCATGTCAACTTTACCTAAAATGACACACGTATTACCTATGTTATTGTTTTAGGTTTGAAGTAGAAGGAAGTTCCTGTAAAGTAGATGACATCCAAAATAATGATCCTTCATTCTAGGAGAGTCTGAGGTTATGCTTCCCCAGTGAATTTGTGAACACTGAATACTCGGAAATGCTTTAAATTCACAGGCATTTAGGGTCTGAAAACTTTGATATTAGATAAGGATGACTTAAACCAGAATTAAATCGTCAAAATAGTACACTGTAATATTCCTTTGAAATAAAGACATTATCATTTTCTGAATGTCAGATAGCTAGGCTTACAAAACAACCCTTATATTTTAGCTAATATCTAATACAAGAAATTAAAGTCACATCTCTCTTTATCTACCACACACCCTTATAGTGAAGGAAAAAGAGGTTGCCCTATGGGTGATGGTGTCTAAAAATTGAAGAGAGCCTAAGCCGTGAAGTAATTTACAATGGACATGCAAAATAACACACTAAATTCCTTTGAAAGAAACAGTCAGTATATACTATAGAGAAAACACCCACACAAAAGAATGGTGATTTTCTGTTTTGCCCTGATGCATTTCATACATGTATAGGACACATAGTGGGAAATCAGAGACTTTTCTACGATGAGGTTCTTAATTGAAAATTTTCAGAAATGTTGATTTAGTAAACAATGTACTGAATCTACTGAAAATTATAATAAGTAAATGATTGAGACCGACAGGTCTAATTATCACATTAATTAGCAAGAAGCAGCCAGGGTATTAGTGAATTAACACTAGTGGCGTGTAACACTGAAAAGGAGGTTATCTCTTATTGACTCTAATAGCCAATAACACCCATGCAATAATGAATAACCACTTTTAGTGACAATTATAATGAAAGAGTGCCAATAATTTTTGAAATAGTGTTATTATTAATCTAATAATTATAATAACAAATGTGAAAAAATCTCTTGAATCTGATTGGCTGAGAGCACTGCAGTTTTTCGTAAACACAGTGCAAAAACAAGGAAACATAATGCAAAAAGAAGGAAATAAAATGCATATTTCTTACAGAAAAAAATGTGATTGGCTAACAAACAACAGAAGTATATAAGAACCAATCAAGTGCCACAATCTGCTTGTGGGAAGCTGGCCGGTGCCTTGAAGTTTGCAAGTGGAAAAACTGCCAGTGTGCAAAGCTGATATTAAAGTTCATATTGCATAAGCCTGTACACGTTAACGTTTTGAAAAAAACACTTGTGTGAATAAATTCCAAATTGAACTCGAAGTCATAATTGATTACCTGAATTCAAGTGAAAAATGAATGAATTAAATCTAATGGCTATATTACTGCCCCAGTGTTGTTTACAATAAATCAATTTTGTTCATGAGCCTCCTTCATTTGACAAGCTGAATTGGTGCTGCCATTCGATCCATTCCATGTTCTCCACCATAGACTGTCCACCTCATACTATTCACCATCCCATCGTTTCCACCCATTCTGTTCATACCTTTTTTATTACATATCATTTTGTGCAGTGACTGCCATCCATATTTCAATAATTCCCAAAAATCCAGTTCATTTATCCATTTACCCAAACAGGATAGTTTCTAAAGAAATTGTGGGGTGTTGCAACAGTGAGGGAGAGAAACGAAAAAATTTGGTTTTATCAACTAAGTTGACAAGGTTAACTTTCCACCTTAAAAAGATTTAAAAAATTATATGACAAATGTAGATTGACTAGGTTGATAAAACCCCTTTTTGCATAAAAATTTTTATAATCACACATACCATCACACTGGTCAAGTATTTCCTGTCCAGTAGTATCATAATGTGCCAGTGGATTGCCTGCATTGCGATACTAAAGAAAGGAATATAACGTTTTATGAAACAACACATTGAGTGTAATTGGTTAGAAAGTGACCTAAAATAATCTACTCTGTTGTAGATATAGAATTTGAAATAAGTACCTGATCAAGGATAACAGAATTTGGTATTTCACCATTCAGTCTCTGTGCAACACCAATGTGGGATTCTGTGAAGTAAAATAACAAGCAACATAAAAATATTAGTAAACACTATTACATTTTATGTGCAAATGCAACATGTGGTTCCAGAAAATAGCCATACCTCCACCACGGAGGGAATTGGAAATTCCAAGGCGGTGGGGTTGGGGAGGGGGGGAGTACAGAGGCCCAGGAAATTCCACAGTGGAGTGGGGTTGGACGATAAAAATCACATTCCAAGGGGTTAAATTCGAACTCAGTACGAAAATTGGTACTTACTGATCTGGTAGATCACTTTGGAAGACATAAGTAAGTTTAACTATATCATTTATGATTGTTTTTTCATCTAAACCAGGTAATCTTTCTTCCAAAAGTGTTATGTATGCGAATCCAAAGGAATTAGGCTCCTCTGCTAGGCCAACAAAAACTCATCTTGTCACATGCAGAATATTGACCGCCATTACTCATTACCAGTCTCCTTAGAGACCTAAACACGTGACAGTTGTAGTTACATAGTTCTGGTACGATAAGCTACGTTTCTTCGAGTTGGATCTTGGCGCAACATCAGTCGATCGAAAAACAGTACAACACTGAAAGTTTCGCTTCAAGAAGCAGAAGGTATATGATGTAATGATTTCAGTAGACTACGAGTAGTCCCCATTTTTCCTGAGGGATAGTAGAGCGAGCAAAATGTGAGCGCGCATGAAATCACCTCACGCGAGAAAAGCGAGACGTGGTGCCTCCCCAGTGCGTCTCGCTTTTCTCGCATGGGGTGATTTTCACGCCCGCTCACTCTACTATTCCCGAGGAAAAATGGGGACTACTTGTAGTCTATGATTTCAGAATCTAGAGTTTTTCTTCTCCTTTTTGTTTTCCCTTAATTTTGTGTTTTAAAGTTTGATGTGCTCACGATCATATTCACGTTGAAATGGCATTCGTTCCATCAACATTAGGGATTTCATGGAATTACGGCAACAAGAATAGCAAAAAAGCAATAGGTTTAGACAACCAAAACAACAACTTTGCATGTGCATCAGGCTTTTTTGTACGTTGCTCTGCAGTCGTTGCATGACTACAACATGAAAGTGCCTAATTTCATGTTTTGTCGAGGACGGGAACAAAAGACTACAACTTTCTTTTTCTTTTCCTGGACTTTGATGCAGTCCTTTAGAATTCAACTCCAGAAAAGTTTGCCAAAAATTGACAAATTAAATGAGATGGAATAAGAGCTATTAAGTTTGAGGCAGCGCAAATTCACTTTTTAAGTGACGTTTTCATAGCCGTCGCCGTCGTTGTTGCATAAACTCCCTATTACGGCCGTGGAGACGGCTACCTGCCGTTTTGAAAAAAAATCGTAAGCTTGCACATCAAGGTAAACTGACAGATACAACTTTAAAGGGATAAGCAATATTTTGTAGTTCAGGTTGCTTTGTAGCTGGTTAACTGTGTTCTTATTCGCGACATCTCAATAAAATTAAATGAAAACCATTGCATAGCAGCAAACGGCGTTGTTCTTAATACTTTGATAACCTTTTTCTGTTAAAATAAACTTGTCCAGAGGGGTCGGGGGGTCTTTGTCTTACTTTGTGAAAAAAAGGGGGGGTCATCAGTTCCTTACAAATATGGAAAATCCAGGGAGGTGGGAGGGGGGGTCCTAAGTGAAATTCCCTCCATGGTGAGGGTATGGATATTTTCTGCAACCACACAATTATTAATCCAGGCCTCTAACTGACATACCACATGCGAGACTGATAAACATATTATTTTGAAGACTACATGTGTATGTTGTGGTTCAGTGTTATCCTTGGTTTAATATTGTTATTTTTCCTTTGTTTTTGGGGATGGTAATGTATGATAATGAGTCTAGAAGAAAGGAGAATAAAATTTCAGCCAAGGACAAAATGGAACCAGAACATATACATAGTTGTCAAAAAAAGGCCTATTAAACAACTTTTCTTTAAAAATAGCAGGCCTGAAGGAACTGCAAATTCAAATAAGCATCAGGTCCAAAAGACCAAGTTTGAATTAAATGCCGGGAGCATTTAACTGAGAAAAATGTTATTAGCAACTGTTGTTAGCTACTTGCTCCAACAGCCTGAGGCTAGTGGATTTTGATATATCGGACTAGTAAATTCCATTCTTAAAGTTTTTTTGGAAAATTCAAGTTACAGAAGAAATGTAATCAATCCTCCTCATCAAAAAACTATTTGGGGCTAGTTGTGATTATTTTTAGGCTGATATATGCTATACATGTAGCTACAGCTTGCCTGAATGACAGGCTGTAAATTAAACTGGCTCTCATTGCACCCTGTTTCGTTTCAGTTGTAGGTAGTATATACTCTTCTATATAAAGTATATCCCAACTGGAGGACTGGACAAAACCAGTTATTGAAAGAAACCACTTATTAATTTTTTTAACCCTCAAAATGCAAACCATCTAGACACAGAGCCTTAAAATAAACCATTATTTACTCTACAGATGGGAATGGTAAAATAATTAAAACAAACTTTAAATCTGCATTTCACATTCGCAAGCCCAGCATCACAGTTTTATCACTTACCTGGGGAATCAAATTTGGCCTCTGTTGGGGTACGGACAATTTCTGCTCCAAGAGCTCGCAAAACATCCACCTGAAAGAAGATTAAATTTACAAACTTTAAGTTACCATGCTCTTACATTATCCCACAATAAAAGGAAGGGGGCTGTGGAAAAAAAGCCTAAACTGCCTTTCACTGATCATTTATAAATTTCCTTGTTTTTTCTTGCAAGAGTCACATAATTTAGCCTAAATTATTTCCAGCCCTCATTTCATGTTCAGAAAAACTTATTGCCGGACCATGCAAATAAGACTCTGAATTATAACTGTTCATAAACTTAGTGACTTTAACTGTGTGGGACTGGAAACAGCAATGACAAGTCACCTTCTCTTTGCTCATCTTCTCTGGCATAACAATAATGCAACGGTAGCCCTTGACAGCTGCTGCTAAAGCCAAGCCAATGCCTGTAAACAGTAAATCATACATTTAGCATAGCACCTCTCAGGGATTTTTGGCATCATGGTACAGTGTATATGCACTGACCATCAAAGACAGATAAAAATTAATGAGTTTCCAATTAATAAATGCTCAACATATTAACATTTTATCTTCACGTAGAGCAAAACCGGAAGTGCCCTCAGACACACCTCCGCACACACCTACAAAGAGTATACATTTTCCCACTTCATTTTACTTTTACACTTACTTTTCAAATTATTAAAAAACAGTATATCTTAGCGTTGATAATTATTATATAAAGTAAGACAGCTGAAAAAAAGCAAGTCTTTAGAGATCTTGCAGATGAATATAAAATTCAGAAACTTCCGCTGACAACGGGTTTGATTCGCTCAAGTCTTGCGGTCGTTGTTTGGGAACAAAAACAATTGAGTCTCACTCCAGCAAAAGAAAGCAGTTCCTAAAAACTCACCAGTATTCCCTGACGTTGGTTCAATCAGTGTATCCCCTGGTTTAATTCTGCCTTCTCGCTCAGCGTCCTCGATCATCCTTAGGCCAATTCTGTCCTTTACTGAGCCTCCGGCGTTGAAAAACTCGCACTTCGCCACTTAAAGAAAGAAACATATGATCTTTTTTTCATTCACTTGTCAGCCAGCAAACGAAAAGAGTAAATAAGTAAGCACTCTGGTATACAGGGAACGAAGATTTCAACAACAGGTTGTAAATTTCAAACATATTGCGCGGTGGACCATGAATATAATAAAGTACTCACACAACTCGCATTTCAAGCCACAACTCTTTCCTATGTTGTTTATCCTGACTAATGGCGTCTTTCCAATACGATAAAGAATGTTCGGAAGGATCTTCTCTTGCGAATCCCTAGTCAAGAAAACAAGTTGTGAAATTTAACAAATAATTGACCTGAGACATGACGACAACGTTGCTTGAGTTCACTCACTTTGTTGACGTCTTGTTGTGTTGATGAGGCGACTCGGAAATATCTATACCCAAGTGCCACGTACATTTTGACGGTAAATCAGGGCGAATCCATTGCCTTTTATCTCCAACAGAAGTTGATCGTTTTAATGGTTCGTGAGACATTTCAATCGCGCAGTAACCGAGTCGTAGAGTTAACAGCGATCACAGCGATCCCGGTCGCGAAATGGCGCACGTGAATTTTTGAGTGACGTAACGATGTTTGATTGGTTGCGACATCCTCGGAAAGAAGATGAAGTGATGAACGAGGAACAAAACGTCGGACACAAAAGAGACGTGCAATTTTGAATTTTTTGAGTAAAATATTGTGAAATCTATTGGAAAATAAAACAATGTACTAAAAGGCCTTACACAGGACCAAAATATAAAAAACCTCGCTCTCCAGGACAATTTCAACCCTTTAACGACCCATACAACAGAAAAATATTACAGGGACTGGATCTATCCTTTAGGGAAGAATATAAAATCACTGAGCTGATTGTTCGGTAGAGGCCAATATAAACGACGTTACAATAACAACGAAAAATTTATGGGAATGTCAAAAAGTACTTGCTAGTCTGCAGGTAGCCATTACCACGCTAATAGAGGCGGGCTCAGGACAGGAAGATCGGAAGAAAATTATATGAAAAGAAAATAACCTATAACTCCTGAAAGTATTTAAAATATATTGAAAATCCCAAACAATCTTTTAAAATCTTTGATGAGGATAAAAGCTAACTGTAAAACAAAAACAAACAATATACCCAGGCCCGTTAGGAAAACTATTTATGATGAGTGGTTGTAGTCAAGGTAGCCACATTTTTGAGGTTGTCTTTATGCACTTGTCAATTGAAACCCCGACCCCCCCCACCCCGGGCCTATGTGGGGCAATGTGGGGGATTTTTATGGTATTTGAAGGCATGGTTAGCCCGTGGGGGTGGGGGATTTCTCAGGATTTGCTTAGCATATTCATGGAAGTCCATGGAAGTCGGGGAGCGAGGTGGGGATTTGACTCGTGCCTAGTTTCCTCACGGTAATTTCTTCACGTGATCACTGGTATTTTGCTGTATTGCTCGGCCGTAAGTTTCCTAATTGTTTTTCCTTTCATTTCTTCACTGAGACTAATCCTTTGCGATTTTGCCTTGAGCTTTCATGGTTCGTTGACTGGAAATTGTTATTGTTATTCAAAACTTCTCAAACAATGCAGATACAAACTCCTCTACTTATTATAAAAGGTGCTGTGTCACGGCTATCTGGTTCATTTTGTTAATATTGCCAGTTACGTGGTCCCTATTCGCTTTTGAGCGTTACGTTGGCAAAGAAATGAAGAAATCAAAGCTTCGTTTTAAACAGATGTTTCTCCCAAGCATATCAAGCGTTACGGACGAAAACAATGAACTTTGAAAAACTGTTAGGTTAACAAGTTTTCAAAAACCAAAATTTCAATCCGTTTTAATCTTCTTCATGTTTTCCCATCTGTACCTTCTTTTGTATTTGCTGAGTCATTTATACCATCTTTTAATGTCTTAAGCGATTATTTTTATGTTTCACGCAATTTGGTGGCAGTTCCCACAGCCTACATTTTGGTAAATTTCATGACACAGCTCGTTTAACTTCTAGTGTTAAACCCATGTGGTTTCTGAAGTTCTATATTTCCTCATTCTTTAAGCCAAAATATAAAATATAGCTCCTAGGAACTATTTTATGCAGTCTATTTATAACATCAGCTTGTGAAGGTTAAAGTACGTTGGCTGCTATTTTCAATTAAAATTATTATTGCAGATATTACTTTCAATGGAGATGGTACGGATTTCCTTTTAATATAACTTTATAGCAATGTGCTACTCCATCATCCATTTTGTACCCTGACTTTTTTATAAGTGGGTAGGGGTCATTATGTTTACTTATTGTCAAATATTTGTTGTATTTATATCTTGGTCTGTTATCATATTTGCCTTTTTGCTGTAGTAAATTTGTCAATATTAAGAAGTTGAAAATTCGAACGAAATATTAATAAAGTCAGTCAGGGAATTAAAAAGGTTTCCCCACCTGGGTGGGGGTTTTACCAGTCAATATGCCCCAGTAGGGTGGGAGTTTGCTAAGATTTGTAATGATGTCAAGTCAAATCCCCACCTTGGCCCGGGGTGGGGGGGGGTCGGGGTTTCAATTGATAAGTGCATTATCCGTGACCGAAGACAGCCTACATTCACCATCGTCGCTGAAGTAAACGGCTCTTTCTTTGTTTTCTCAGTGCCCCTGTCACAGTGCTATTCCTTTGCATGCGATGAACTGTCCCAAGTAGGCGACGCCTTCAGTGAGAGGCGTTCTTGGCCAATAGCATTCTACGCACCGCCAGAGAACGTAGAAAAAGGAAAAATGCAGCCTTCGCTGCAGGCGCCTCCTCTCCCCTTGGCGTGCTCCCCTCGGCCCTCGTGCTAGTCTGCTGTGTGGCAGACTACCTGCGCAGGGCCCTGCGCAGCCTTAAAAAAAATGCGGCGCCTGCTACACAGGTTGATGGCAAATGGCGCGGTCTCACATGACACAAAGGCGCGGGAAATTCGTCACGCAATGCTTCGCGTGACTGAGGAAACTCAGAAAAAAAATTAAGCCAGTTATCTGGTCATCTTGCCCTCGATTGGGTTATCTTCGCACTCTTTCCTTAAGTATCAAAAAGGGGAAATAAGGTGTTCTTAAAACCGCAAAGCGGTAATAATAAATTATAATCTATTTATGAATAATTGCTATTTAGCACGTCTTTCCGTGGTCTCTACTGTTATATCCCCCAATCAGTTTTTTTTAAAAAGCCAAAACCACGTCTTTCGTTTTTTTTAGTGCTTGCTCATTTTTATTGTTAATCTTCTTGAAATCACGCGGATTTTTACTACCGAGTTTACCTTTTATTCACTGAAGCACTATTAAAAAGAATAATGGGCAAAGCGTTCGTTTAAAAACGGTGCTGCTGTTCAATTTTTTTTTCAAGAAAATTGTAGGGCCTTCCAAACTATCCCCTTCACACCACCAAAACTATCTCTGTCCATATATATTATGTTGCTTTATATTTTTTATTTTATTCCAAAACAAAGAATACTTAGGGGGAAAGATATAAATTTGAAAAGACTGAGGCATTCCATCACGTAATCCTAGATCAACAAAGGAAGCGTGCGCTCGACCGTTAATTGCCTCTTTGAACCCGAACCCAATATAGCTTATTATTAGGAAATTAACGTTGCACTTTAAAATTGCGTTAATTTAGTTCCTCTGTCAACGCCTCAGAGCATCGGCTCCTGCTCAGAGTCAGTATCTGACAGTTCTTCTTTAAGAATGCATTGAGTACAAAATGTCTTCCAGGACTGGTCTTCGTGTTGATCCGTTTCCCCGAGGGGATAGCTAACTTCTTCGGTCTTTTTTCTTAAAATTTCCATGGCCCGTTCATCCTCCCTGCTGCTTTTTTGAGATATGTACGTTGAGAAGCTTGTATTGTAGCGAATTCGCGTAAAATGAAGTTAGGCGCCCATTGTTTTCGAAAATTTCGCGTTAATTTGACGTATGTAAACCTAACTTTTGGAAAATTCGCGTTAATTTTGTTTAACGTAAATTTTCTTCGCGTTGTCAACATGCATCGTTAATTTCCTATAAAGTAGTTCAAAAAAGCGAAAAAAGGCAAAGTCGGCACGCCAGTAATAAATTTCGAGGTATGCGTTTTTGTAGCCTGTGAACAGGCCTTTGGTCGAGCGGGGTACTAGGGAGAGGGAAAAGCGAAAAGGCCTGTCCCCCCCCCCGCCCCCCACCCCCGCCTCCACTTTCCCATGAAGGAGTCCTTTGTTTGCCGCATTTCCCATGAATCACTACGTCGGTTCCCCTCTCGGCCGAGTTCCTCTCGTGAAAATGGCGGAAGAAGAGGTAGTGGCGAATACGGTGGAAGAACCACTAGATCTTATTCGTCTCAGCTTGGATGAAAGGATTTATGTCAAGTTAAGAAATGACAGAGAACTTAGGGGGAAACTACATGTACGTAATTTTTTACTTCTTTTCTTCTCTACCGTCTTAAACTTAGTACAGCTGCAGTCTGCAATTAGCTTAAATGTAAGTTTATTAAGGAAGAACTTAACTGAAAAAGTACAAATCAGAGCTGAATTGTACATTTATTAAACGGAAAAATTAAGAACAAGGTAAGTGATATTCTTTATAAAGTAAATCTCGATGAAAGCCCATATCTTGAAAGCGGTTAAAACCGTTATAGCCATTTATCCTGGTGCCTTAGTGGAAGTAAAGGTACTTATTCTTCGGTTAGACAGTCACAGTATTTCCACAACACTTGCTGTGACTCAATGTTTTAACTGTCTGACACCTCAAAACATATTGTAAGAGGTTGTGAAGACTTCAAAGTAGCTTAAATTTTTGTCACAACATTGTCATTGGACATTAGGCTGTGAAAACAGCTGACATTTCATGACACCACCACTGGTTTCCTCATGAAATATCGTCTATAAGGCAAGAGGGCAGAAATTCCATACTGATGATGTATCGCTACCCGGATCTGGGTAGTGCCTCTGATTGGTCATGGCATACTGAAGCATCAGATGTCATTTTGCGGGAAACGAGTGTTGATGTCACAAAATGTCAGCTGTTTTCTCAGGCTTCTTTAATAACATAATAATAATAACATTTACTTCTATAGCGCCATTTCCATTGCTGTCCAATGGTGCTTTACAATAACAATTAATTTTTCTATAAAAACAGATTAAAAAAAAAAAAATAGAATTAAGCTATGCATTAAAATTTACAAAATTGTTAAAATGAATAAAAATATGAATAAAATCAAATAAAAATCGTATAAAAAGAAAATGTAGGAAATATGATCCTAGAATGATTATATATTAAAAGCCTTCTTAAAAAGATAAATTTAACTAAACGTTTAAATTGATTAAGACAACCGCAGCACCTTTCATTCTTGGGTAATTCGTTCCACAGAGCAGGGGCTGCGGATGAGAAGGTTCTGTAACCATAGGTTTTAGATTATAGTACTTACTGACGAGACGATTGGTATTATTGAGAAGATTTAGGGTTCCTACTCAGTACGTACAGCTTAACTAATTCGGACAGACAAGTTGAAGCAAGATTATTCAGCGCCTTATAACTTATTATTATTCACTCAAAATATTTCCCCGATTCTGATTGGCTAAAAGCACACGCGTAGTTCACCAGAACCAGTTTCTGATGACCAAATTTGGAAGAATTTTGTGTTTAACAAGGAAATGACGTCAAAAATGCAGCGTTCGTGCAGGTTACAGGAATTTCAGGCTTTTACAGTTTTTCATAACTTGCAAGTGCTTATTAGTTATTTTGTTAATGAAATTTTTTTTTTCACTTGTAATTATTAAATTTGATTTTTTATACAGGCTTATGATCAGCACCTTAACATGATCCTGAGTGATGTAGAGGAAACTATAACAACTGTTGAAATCGATGAAGAAACATATGAAGAACTTTTCAAGGTACATTTATCTACAATAGAATCAAATAATTATAAAAGAAATTATATAATCTAATTCTGTTCCAATTACTTAGTCCAATTGAATTTAAAGTTTTTTGCTTTCCAACTTATTGGTTCTTCTGCCTCATCCAGTGTTGAGGTTAATCTCCAAATAACCCAGTGTTGGACACTATAGGGGGACACTATAGTTGTTTTGTCTTCAGCACCAGTAAAAAAAAATGACTACGTAAGTGTTCATTTGTGTAAACAATGCAGGTGTTTGGGTATCAAAATCATGGTGATACGTTTGTCTGTGGTACAGGAAAGTGACCTGCTTGTAAACTTCAAACCTAATGCCTTGTCCTAGCTCCCTACAACACCAAGAATATATGGTGTTCAATACATCAGCTTCCACAGCAGAGTCTCCATTGTAGCCAATCTGTGTTTATTTTGCTAGAATTTCCCTGAGACTGAATTAAAAGCAGGATGTGTAAAAATAATAACCATGAATCATCGACAAATAACTCGGGCTGCAGAGGAATTATTTGTGTCTTAATTCCAGTTAAATTTTACATACATTGATAGTGTAAATCACCTTTGTTGATTATTAACTATCATGCGATTGTGTTACAAATCTGACAAAATGTTATCCAATTCTCTGAAAAACTATTGAAGGCAATGAGTGCGGACAAATTACAGCGACTTACAGATAATAGAGAGACTCCTTTTCTTCTTGGCACTTTGTGCCTTGCCTCTGCATCTATGGGCCTTACTTGTTTGGTCAGGAAAGCTTTGCTTTCTTATGCATTGCCCAAAGGGCTACACATTCATTCATTTCCACAGAGCATAGAGTAATATTTTGGTTAATGATGTAATATTTGATTATACAGTAAAAGGTCAAGGCTATTTGCGCTATCAACATCAACTGTAAAATGTAACTGAAATCAAGGTCAAATTACTCCTCTGCGCCCTGTGCAAATAATAAGAAACCTAGGCCTATACACTAGTTTATGTTTCAAACAATGGAAACAACCCTCCCACCATTTGTAATTATCACCATTCATCAATAGTAAAGTTGAATGAAAACTTTGATGCCCCATTTGTAATGGAAGAAGAGATTTACCTCTCAGATAACTGTGGACTTTGTTTTCAACAGACGACAAAAAGGAATATACCGATGCTATTTGTGAGAGGTGATGGTGTCATTTTAGTTTCTCCACCATTACGTGTGGGATTATAAAGACTGAAAGAAGTTGGCAGTCTAGGAAACGAAACCTACCAAGCAGTCTAGGAGCAGTTCCTTCCAAAAATATTTATTTTATAGTTTTTTGTTGCTCTTCCGTGTTTTCTCTACAGACATACAATGTAATTTAGTGAAAGATCAAGTTTGGAAAAAAGTGCTGATTAAAATAATGTTGTCTAGGGAAATTGAGTATCATTCAGTGTACTTAGTCCTTGTTATTAAAACTTCCTAGTACTTCTGCCATGTACTTGTAGACAAACTACAGCTTTATTTCTTGTGCTCTGTTGTCTCAGGAATTTAATCATATAAATAAAGCTCTGTTGAAATTGAGTTAAGTGCTGTTGAGTTTTCAATTAAAACTGCTATTAGCACTGGGCCCAGTTGTTCAAAAGGTGGCTAACCCTATCCAGTAAATAAATCTCTATGCAGTGGATAATGCATTTTTGGTTTCCCTAATACTTATCCACTGGATATTGATTTATTCAATGGATAATGCTGTCTGATGTTTGAACAACCGGGGCCTGATATATGTGCCTTGTAAAGGTGTGCTGAGAGTACTGCATGATGAGGCAAGGTAATAATGGAAATTTTATTTCAATGATTTATACAAAAGGTGGTTTCAATGTATATAGAACCATTCCAAAAAAGACTAGCCATTTCAGATAACATGATCCATAATCATTTTAGTCATAGATAGATTGTAGTATCAACAATTTATTTCATTATGCTTTTTTTCTATGGTTGTTACAATTAATGGTCAATTAGATTGTTTGAGTATTATGTGGTGGTAAAATGTTATCCCTAATTTTCCTTGTTTCAACTGTTGTTATAAACTTAAACTGAGGATAATAATAATAAAACACAACATGCATGCAAAAAATAACTCAAGATTAAGTTGATATCTTTTAACCACCTCAAGAAAATACATACATAAATTTTGTGTGCCTACTAACATTCGCATGATGCAATGTCATTATTACTAAGAATCCCGAGTTTCATTTTTTTTGTTGTATTCTTGATAACCACTGATCATACTACAAACCACCATAAGGGCCAACACTTAAAACAGTATGGTCAGCATAGCTTTGTTTTAGTCACTAACTGGTATCGCTACTTCACACAATACAAATAGATTTCAATAATAATATAATTGTCCAATAATTATTGATTGGCAAATAATTTGCTCCTTTTACTGTGCTAGCACCTAATAACTTTGATGGGAAAGTTTTCTGTGATAAGATGATCATCTTGAAGAACAATCACCACATTCACCTCAAACTCTGAAATACAAAAATAGTAAGACAACATAGCTTCGCCTCCCAGCAACCATAGTGCCTTGCCTAGTCCCTAGGCTTCATTATTCCACCCAGTCAATGTGCATTCGCCTCGGATACATCACTGAAATGGATTGACCAAGAAAGTCATGGAAAATGTCATACAGGGATTAGGCAACATTGTGCCCACATATTGACACTTGACATACAATGACTCTGTTTCATAAAAGTTATGCACCTATCAATGTAAATCCTGTGGGGGGGGAGTGCGAGCAAGGGGAGGGGATTTGATGCCTGAGACTATCCCCCTGTCAGGCTTTTGATCGTGTGAAGCGACCCCGGGGTCGGGACATTTGACTTTGACAGATAGAAGCCTGGTATCAATTCACAAGCGGTTACCAAGTCCGTCCCTCAAGGCTTTCTGAAAGTCACGCTGTTGGAGAAAGGTATGAAGTTTTCATTTGTTTTAATCGCCATAATCCGATACTTTACACTGTCATCTAAACAGACAATGTCTATTTTGAGAAAGTTTTTATCTTCAAGTTCCCATCTGATTGTAAACCTCGATTGAAATCGAATTTTACCATGAAAGTCAGAGGATTTTTTACGGGTCACTGATCCGACCTGTTCCGACATGTTGAGCAGATGTTATAAAGCATTTTACGTTTCATTAATATAATAGCATGGTCAATCTTCCTGGAGTGATTATGTTGTTCAAAATAAGAGATGCTAGTGGAGAGAGAAAATACTTAATTACAGCGAGTAATTTAACGGAACTTACGTTAACCTTAAATAAAAGTAGTAAGAACGTACTTTTGAAATGTTCTTTTATTCGTTTTATATAGTATTATAGTATTGTTTGTTTAGATTTTTCCCCTGGGGTGGGGGCTTTTTTGACACTTTTGATTGACCTTTCGTTTCCCACCCTAGGGAATTTGATCAAAAACTTTTAAAATTTGTCAAATACCCACCCCTTGCCTGCACTCCCCCCCCCCCCACGGGGTTTACATTGATAGGTGCATTATACTCACCAATTTTAAAGTTTGCAGTGGCTAAGGTAGGACAAGTGAATAAGCGGGGAAATATCATGTAGATTGGTATCTTTATACCACGACAAACATCTCCTTCTGCTATCTAAAAAAGAAATACAGAAATACTGCACATGTTGTAAACCTAGGGACTAAAATGATTGTTACAGCATTGTTAAAGACCTATATGGTGGTCCGAACCTATTTATTTTCGCGTTGGTTATGTTTTTGAATTGGGTTTTTCAGCAGGAATGATTTAAGACCATTAAACTGACTTCTATGATTTTCAGCATCCTTAAAAAAGAACTTTAAGAAAATTTATTTTCTGATAGGTGTAAAAACGTTTGAGATATCAGCATATGTTGAAAACTGCATTTTTGCAAAAAATGTCAATAATTTCAAAACCCTAAAACAGATTTTTCTCTAACTTCAGCAAATAAGCCTCAGAGCTCTCTAGTTTTATATATGCAAGTTTGAAGTCAATCGTGACCGTAGAACTAGCTGCACAAATAGCTTGTCAAATTTAACCTTAAAATGCAACGCTAACACATTTGTGAAAGTTGACACACAAATAGAGGACAACTGCCGACGGACTATCTCCTATCTGCAAGGGTATTCTTGCCCAAAGCTTCAGTTGCAAGAAATTGAGTAATCAGAAAACTACAGCGAATACAGTTCGCAATACATAAGAAGAACAACTTAATCCTGAAATATGCAGGGAAAGGTGAAATAACTTCTATTTTTCAAAGTTACTGTGTATTTTCCCTTCTCTTTTCGCAAAAAATCTCAACAAAGCACGATATAACAGCTACGGAAATCTCCTACCAGTTTTTAGCACTGAAGGTTCCCGTCTTGAGGCAAAATAAAGCCACCAACTCCAGTACTGCAACCAATCTATTTTCAGCTGCCACAAAAACCCTTGTATTAGGTAATTTATTTTTTTTAAGTTTGAAAGATTTGCCGTCACATTCGCACAGGCATTTTGCCATTGGGGATAATGAAAAGAATAAGACGATTGTCATATTTTCTTCATCTTTATCCCCAAGTGGCAAACTTCCCGAGTGAATCAAGTCTTAAAACCTTGAATAAATTACCAAGTACAAGGGCTTTCAGTGCAGCTGAAAACTGGACAGTTAGAAGTACTGGAGTTGGTGGCTTTATTTCTCCTGAAAACAGAAACCTACAACGCTAAAAACTCTTGAGAGTTTTTCATAGATAATATAATTTGCTTTGTTAAGATAGGTTTCGAAAAGAGAGTTGTTCTTCTGGTATTGTGAACTGTATTCGCCCTATGTTTCTGATTACTCAGTTTCTTGCAACTGAAGCTTTGGGCAAGAGTACCCTTTCAGATAGGAGATAGTCCGCCGGTAGTTTCCCTCCATTCATCCGTCAGCTTTCACAAATATGAACAGTTCGTTAGCGTTGCATTTTAAGGTTAAATTTGACCAGCTATTTGTGCAGCAAGTTCTACGGTCACGATTGATTTCAAACTTGCAGTTATAAAACATGAGGGTTCTGAGGCTTATTTGCTGAAGTTGGAAAAAAATCTGTCTTAGGGTTTCGAAATTACTGACATTTTTTGTAAAAATGCTGTTTTAAACATATGCTGATATCTCAGACGTTTTTACACCTACAAGAAAATAAAAAACATTTTCTTAAAATTCGACCATTCTTTATTAAGGCTGCCAAAAATCATGGAAATCGGTTTAACCATTCCTGCCGAAAAACATGATTCAAAAACATAACTAACGTGCATATAAATAGGTTCAGGCCACCTTAACTTTCATCAACACAGACGAAAGCTTTAATAACTGCCTGAGTTCATTTTTTGTCTCGCGGAACCAAGAAGTCTCCTTTGCAGCAGTTATTAGGGTCATCATATGTAACACTCCTCCTCCACTAATCTAATAATGGCTGCAAAGGAGATTGGGAACCAAGTAACCTTTGATAAGACTGAAGTGCTGTTTTAAACCTTGGAGCAAGTTGCTGACACAATGAATCAACTTGGAATTTTTTGAACTTAACTTTGTGGCTTTTTATCCAATTCCCACTTAACTTTTCCCACTTCAAATGAAAGCAGTTACAAGTTTATTATTACAAGTTTTATGCTTGCAATCCTGCCTTTTCGGATCTGTCAAGTTCTAATGTATATTTTCATACCTGAATATTTTGAATCTCAGTAGCTGAGGATACAAACACAGTTAACATCAGAAATAATATTAACTATCATTTATGTCTTTCATCACCATTATTGAACTGGCTGGACACAAGAATGGACTGGCCTGGTCAAATAAGTCACTTAATTCCCTCCTTTATATCAAGAGGGCTAGAATACACAATCAAATATGCAACCATGTCATAAGATCCAAGTATGTACGAAGGGACATAAATGAGATCCTTTGATGCAAAAATCTGAGTTTCATAGCACTTAAGTCATTTTCTTAAAATTTAATCCTTGGTTCAAATGTTATTTTCCTTTGTTCTTGGTATGGTGATCCATGATGAGTTTGAAACAAATTTAGGCACAAAAATTCAAACCAGGGAAAATAGAGGCACAGCATTGTGCAAGTTGTTTTTAGGTAATACTTCTATTGAGCTCTACAAAGTATCCAGTCGTAGCTAGACAATATTATTATTATTTCTTTCCAACAGGGTAAACATTTTGCCATGAGAGTTAACTAACCATCCTTTGAATATCCTTCAGCACAACCTAAAAAGAGATCACAGAGAAGATGACTAGTGTACATGTGAGACAGTTTTTGTGTTTTTCTTTGTTTTTTGTTTTTTGTTATAGTTGTTGTTGTTATATGTCCCAAAATAATAGGAACAAATGATAAACTTGTCAAAAATCAGTGTCAGTATTTTAGAAAAAAATAAACCAACTGAAGACACACAATAAATATACTTTCAGAAAAAATTGGCTTGTTTTCAAAATACATCATGAAATTCTAATTTAGCCATTTTGAACTTAGTAACCTTTCAGTAAATGCATACTGTAGTTTTAAACAGTTTTTTACTAAAGGCCCACACACTATATAGCAATGCCTTCATTTATTTGGCTATGTGCACAGTTGTTGTTCTAAGGATTGTTTGTTTGCTTCAAATAATATCACTTACTCACCACAGGTTTCAACTCTCACAAGCTGCAGCTCAATGGACTTGATTGGTTTGTCTGAGTGTACAACTTCCAGCTGCAGCAGATGTCAAGTAATAAATCATTATGAAATGATAATATCATGATCGCTAGATCAACTGTAAGAATAAGTAGACACAGCTATTAATGATCGTTATGACAACCATCTAAGACATTCTATTTGAGACTGGTATGATATAGCCTAATTTTTCAATACATATTTGACTACCCATTTAAATGTCAGTTTGCAATAAAACCACTCTTTGACAGTGCTGAAGGCTTATTGTACAATAGCTATTGGTCTATCATGGCCAGGTTTGTTATTTGGGAAAAAAGGCAAATAACAGGGTAAGTACAAAGTAAGAGGTGTACCCCTTCCCTGTTCTCCACTCAGCTCACTGCACTCACAGTGTTTTTGTATTATTGGTTTGACTAAAATTTCAGAAAATTATGTACAAGTGTGAGTGTTACCTCTCCTGTGAAGGGTTTAGTAATGCTGCACTGAGCACAGTCCAGACTGCCTTTCACTAAGAACTTCGGAATCTTTGCTCTCTGCAAAATCAACGAGTTTTACAACAGTACTTAATTCCCTCCTCCACAGAGGCCTTTTTGCTAGAGCACCTACTATTGTTTACTTAATACCTTTAATTGAATACCCAGTGAGAGCCTCTGTGGAGGAGAGAGATTACTTAACGATCAATGAATGAGGCTGAGTATCTTATGAAGAATTATGGAGAACGAGGAGGGTGTTATCCGTCAAGGCCATAGGCTGAGGCGGATAAAACCCTCCAAGATCTCCATAATTCTTCATATGATACGATTCAATAATTCATATGATACATGATTCAATAATTGTTTTATTATTCATTCAAAATAATTAAATTTTCTAGTTTAAAAACATAGCTTAAACATGCTATACCTCCATCGCTGTTATAAGTTCATCTTTGATAGTGCACGTCTAGGGTTGCTCAGCTCCGCAAATATTCTCCAAATAGCAGATGTCACCCTTCGAGTTGTCTTCTTGCTGTTCTTGCCATGTTTTTAGCTATTATTTCGCCTAGTTCTTACTCTTGAAACGAGTTAAATGTCCGCCATTTTTGTTTTTACAACCAAAACAACTCAACCTTGTCCCCAGGTCTTCTTGGTTAACGGCGCTATAACTTGCAAGGAAGCTTCAATTTTGACATCATCGGTCGATTAATCGCAAAATTTTTCCAAAGTTGGTCATCAGTAACTGGTTATAATAAATTATGTGTGTGCTTTTAGCCAATCAGAATCGAGGAAATATTTGAATGAATAATAACTAACATTGAAGGCAGAGCAGAGCAAAATGACACTGAGTTTATCACAACTTGGATGTGAACATTTGCATAAATGTAGGCTATGTATTTTTAAGGTAAGCAAATGCTCTTACACAGTGTAGTTGCCAATATTTCTTCCAAAAGTAGAGAAAGAGTTGGAAATTATGATAAAAATGCTATTATTGGGCAAAGGGCTTTTAAAACCCCTGCCACATTTGACTGGTGCACACGACCAGACCAAGTTCCAGTGCCAATGCACCCACTGGAAATGTCAGCTGAAACTAGTCCCTGTTCCTTGGTTAACAGAAAAGCCAAACCCTTCTTCCACCACCACTTCGAGGCACATTTTGTAAGGCAAAAAATTCAAAACCTGTTTATGATATCAAAGTCTCAAGTTTGTAAATTATTAAAATGGCAAGTTAACATATTAATTTAATGATCTGACAAAATAAATCTTATCAAAGTGAGTTTTACATATGTGTTGTCTTATGTTCCAGGTAAAATTATATAAAAATATATATATATATATATATATTGAAAGGGTGTGTCTATTGAGGTCTTAATTACAATGACTCTTGATCTATGTTTAATTTTCCTTTTGTTTCACAAGGAAACACAAGGCACATGAAAAGGAAAGTCTGATGTTCTATCAGGCAGTACTTGGGGCCTTTCTATTAGTTTTGAATATTTATGAATATTGCATTGTGATTACTATATTTTAAAGAAAATTTAGGGTGTTTTAAAACCTTCATGGAAATCTAGACAGAAATGGGGTATGTATGCCTTGGAAATCTAGGTCAACTTACCTCTTTCACATTTTCAAGAGATTCTGGTGTAATGGAAAATTCAACTGCCTTTAATGCCTCTTTCTTAGTTGCAGCCTATGGCAAATTATAAGAGCAAAGTTAGAGAAATATATTCATGTGTTTCTCATGTCACATAGATGGAGCAAGACCTAGTAAAAAAAATTGTATTTGTACACATTGCTTTAACCTGGAGATAAGAGGATACATAACAAAGAATTTTGAAAAAAAAAATTGAAAAATATCAGGATCTAGAGACAAGAGTGGACATACAATGTACTTAGTACAAGTTGTCATAGGGACTCTTGAAAGTGAAGAAAATTAGACAATGGAGTGTAAGACTGGTGATTAAGATATTGATAAAACTGATTAGAATTGCATTGTTACAGAGAACTATGCTACTCGACGAATGGCCAGGTTGTTGCTTTCTGAGTACTAGCATCCTCATGGAATGTTTGTTGGCATATGAACAGCCAGAACTCAGAGCTAAATGAATAATAAGTAAATAATAATAATAATAATAAAGTAGTAATAACAACAACAATACTAATAAACCTTATTTTTAGAGCTCAACAATGTTAAGCTGCAAAAACAAAACCAAAGTCAATAGTAAAACTAGTACATAGTAAAGTTTCACCTTATTCTCTACAATAAATTCAGCTTGGCTCTGAAGATCCTTGTTTAGCAATGGCCTCTTCATCTCAGCCCTGAGATGATACTTAAACATAGTACCATGAAAACCCACAAAAATAATTATTAGAGATAGAAAACACAGTGTACAAAATTAAGAAAACCTCCTACGAGAACTGAAAAAGGACTGTCAACGCGTGACCCATGATCCCCTCTCATCCCATTACACACTCCCTGAGAATTTTTCAACAACCTCTTTTTCTCCCTATAGGAGGTTACAAAACAAACAGCTGCAACCAGTAAAATATAAGGAAAGTATAGGTGGTGGAAAGGAGAACACCTTCTGTAACTGAGCTACGTGATCATTACTTTAACTACTATTTACGGGCTGGATTACCTGAATGTTGACAAACACTCCATGGTACGTCTCATATAGTGGCTTGCTTCCCTTTGGTTTCAGTGGAATCTCAAAAGGCAATTCAGTCTTGCCATTAGGTGTAAACATTACAGTCATTTCAATCTACATCAAATAGCACTTTAGAAGCTTATTAATAAAATGTATGGCTTCCCAAGAGGGTACCGCACACACATGTTCTACAACAATACAAATATACAACACAACACAGCACAGCCCTAATACCGTGAGATATACGAAACAATACAACTTTTTTTAAAGAGGGAGATGTCATAACTTTTTACACTTTTCTAACTTGTGGCCCTCTTGAAAAAAAAATAATCACAGGGAAAATATATGCACAAAATATCCCAGTAAAACATACTACTTTATTAAAAATACAATAAGTCTATGAAATTTTATATCATATCATAGAGATTACAGCCAGTTAGAAAGATGGAAACCCTTTGCATTTTCTGCAGTAGTATTGTGTTAGCTGATAGTAGGCATCCATGCTTCAGGAATCTCAATTCCACTGCTCTTGTTGATGTTGCTGGGGTTGATTTTGGTCTGTAGTGGTAACCATTGCTTCAAGGATATAATAAGTCAGCTACAGCAAATCACTCCACAATAAATCACGCTGTTCAAACACCATGAACTATTTTCTTACCTTCAGAATCATCAACACTAGGATACTCTGGTATTTTAAAAAAGGTTGTTACTCTGAAACTTTGGCAAAACACCCAGTTTACGACAGCAATTTTGATTTGCTTTATATTCACCACTTAATGTCATAGTCCGAGATACCAAACCAATCAAATTGATTGAATCACCAAGAGCACTGAGTGTTTACATACTAAATCCTTATACAGCTGTAGTTGAGAGACTTAAACAGTTTTCCAAAGGTCTGGTCGTAGAACATACACTGTGCACAGTCCCCTACTTTTCTGTAAGATCATCAAGATCGAAGACTTTGCGCTTATGAGCAATTATATTGGATGGGTGCCAAATCTATTTGGGGGGGAAGCAAAAATAATAGAGGGACTGTTCTCACATCACTGTAGTTCATGTTCAGGGGAGTGTGACAGGAATTTCACGTCTTTTACCATTCCTTAATCAACAAACTTCTGCTTACGATGAAAAACATGCCAGATACATTTAGCTTCGATTTCTCATGTTTACAAAATTAATATCTCCTTTCGAAACAGTGATTACAATACAGTTACAAGGACATTTTCCCAAATAAAATCCGCAAACATGCACACTTGAAACATTTCCCAGTATAAACGGCAAGAATACTCGCTTCATCACCAATGAAGAGTAATAGAAAATCCCCAGATTGAAAAAAATTGACTTGCTAGCAAACGGTTTATGTCATCTCTTCTCCATGAAATGTCAAGTAGAGTCAGTGCCCAACTACACACCCAGGGTTGTCAGAAAGTTTTGAAGTAGAAGGCTGAGTTGTCAAAGTAAGAGGAAAGAACTGCCAAGCAGTGTAGCTGGCTGATACTAAGCAAATGGGTGACAACCCTGGACACCAATTGGAAATAAATTAATTCCCTCTCCAAAATGATGAAGATTTAAATAACACAAAAGTCAAAGTTAGACATACAGTTATTGTGAAAATGTTTTAAAGAAACGACGACTTGTCAACGACTTCGCAGTGTTGGCAACTTTAAGCTAACCATTGTCAATGCAAATCAACATCTATAATATATAAATTTAGCCAGATCTAAAAGCAAAGCTCTGGTTAATAATACTTATAAACAAAACAATTAATTCGTGTAATGCTAAAAGGAGATGACAATGAAAATGGCTTCAAGACTAATAGATCTAATTAGCAAAAAAACAAATTGCACGTGCAGCACACTTTTTCTTCTAATTTATATTTTAGCAAAAAGCAAATTTGCACACAGCATGCTTTTTTGCCTTTCCCTTGCGGTTGTTTTCACAACTACAACACTGTTTTGTGTGACTAAAACATCAAACTTCCTAGTTACACATTATTTTTATGGAGCTTCGCTATAACCAATCAAGTGCCTGCATTGCTGCAACAACACACTCCATGAATGCAAGCTGCAGTGATGTTAGGACAGTACCTCTATTTTTGCTTGCCTCTGTCCCACCACCAATATAAACCCTGACAGCCCCCTCAGTACTCTTTTTATATATGATGGCCGCTGCCCACCTGAACTGGTAAACACTCGATCCCGACGATATTATGAAAAAATGGGGGACGGTGAACAGTCTACTTAGAGCTTAAAGAAGTTGAGTGATGGGCCACTAAGCATTAGGGTTAGTAAAAATTTTACTGTAAAAAGCTAAAACAAGTTAGCGTGAATGGTATAATTTGCCTGGTTTAGCTATCTCCAAAGAGTAGTTAACAAGCTGGATTGGCTTGAGTGAGTTGTAAAATGCTTCAAAGACTCCAACACTTTTAGCACTGAGCTGTAGATTTACTGCTCCTTCCATGGTAAGGGTGATTCCATTGTGTGTGAGCTCTCCACGACTCTGAACAACTATCACACCTTTAACAATATCCTAAATAATAATAATAATAATAGCAATTAAAATCTTTATACAGGAAGTCGCCATCACCGGACCCATAGGTGGTTTTCAGACTAGACTTGTCATTAAATTAAAATTATACTACACAATAAAAACGCTAAGTACGTAAACAAACTTCATCAGTGATCGGTTAAATTATACTTTCTCAGTAGAACCTCTTCACATCGACCAACTTTCAATACTAAACAGGAGAGAGATAAATTGTAGTTGTACTTAAGTAAACAGAGGGTCAATGTATACACTCACATTGTGTGAGTGCGTAAACTGAATTATAAATATTGTTATTACAAAAATCCTGAGGACACTAAAGAATGTTGCAAACTATCCTACACTTTACCAACAGTTGTATGTAGCGGATACTTACACCCTCATAATAAATCTTGTTTACTCTCTTCAGGCGGATCTCCAATGTCGCCATTATGACTTTATGACTTTATGCCAGCGGAGCTGTCATTGACTACAGCGCACATAATGTATTGTGCACGAAATGTGCCCTACGCTCCGCTACAGAATTGGCATGCAAAGTTCTAAACTAGATATGTGAAAGGGGTACCATTTACCCAAAATGGTACAGTGGAACCCAGCTAATATGGACAGCAAAGGGGAATGTCATCACATCAGGGGTGCAGCCAGCCAGCAAGCCAGTTTTTCCTTTTCTGCCCGAGTCACATAGAAGTCCTTGTGAGGGAGGTGGGGGGGCGGGAGGTGGTCGGGGTTGGGAAGAGGACACAAAAGCAAGCACTGACTTATACACAATTTTTTTGACAACACAACCGTTCTTTTTACCAAAAAAAAATGCTGCGTTAAGTGAGTACCGTATTTATTCGATTAACCGCCTTGGGCGTAGCCTGAAATTCATCCGATTCGGCTTCGAGTAGTTTTCTCCTCTGGAGTAATAACGACTCGAAGTAATCGGATGAAATTCAGGCTAACTTGGGCGCTTAGTAATTTTTTGGACCTTGAGAGTGGGCGCTTATTTGAGGTGGGCGCTTATTAAATTTTCACCATTTTCAGCAAGTGAAGTAATAATAATAACCATTGGTGAATCACGAACAATTTCCCATCGAAATGACATAAAACTGCAAGCACAGCAAGTGTCAGCAAATCCTCGCCGAGGAAGATTTTCCATTGAAACTCCTCTGGAGAACGCCGATTAAAATTCATCGGCGAGCGGATCGAAGAAGACAACCGCGAAGCAGAGAACATCGCTTAGCACAGCGAAGGCAACGTAGTCAACACGAGAAACAAATACTCATGAAAGAGTGAATTTGTATGAAATTTATTTAGGAGGAAACGGTCGTTGGGTGCCCCTGGTTATTGGAAGGACTGATCGAATGACTTATCTCAAAATGTGACTCTTTAAGTTCGCCATGGTTTGCGATAATTTTTTTTTTTTTTTTGGGGGGGGGGGGGCAAACCTTGCTTTTAAAACATAGAGCACAGATTGAGTTAACGCAAAATACTTAGCCTGCGTAGCAGGCTCCTGGAAGTACTCGGCGAAAGAGAGAACGGGCACGCGCGAGGGAGACACGCGAGGGGTGAGGGAGCTCCCTCTCCCCTCGCGTGTCTCCTTCTGGGCGCCCGTTTTTTCTTGTGCCCACTACTTCCAAGCGCCTGCTACGCAGGCTACAAAATACATCACAATTGTCAGACCACATTATGCGTTAGCACAAACCTTGGTCCGAGTAAAGTGCACTTTTTTCGCCAAGAATGACCTCTGACGCCGGTCAGGTAAATTGAGTGGACGCGATTTGTGAGCTAAGAACTGAAGAGTTAAACGCCGTATTTTGCAGTAACCCGAATGTGGTATCGAAACATCACCATAGTTTGAAATGTCCCAAACTAAGACTTCTGCAACAAGGGGCATCTTTTGAAACGCATATGTTATTTCAAAATATGTCTTTATCTTTAAAAAAGGGGCGGTTCTTATTGGTCCGTGCAGTTGGTCGAACCGAAAAGGGTGGTTATACGGTGGGAGGAGTACTTTCATTGAGTGTAGATGAGGTTCATCGGCAAATCTCCCTGTTTTAAATCACAGAAGGTTTAATTTGCACTGCGATGCCATTGATGTTCTAAAGTAAATAGCTAGGTAGATGAATGTCCTGTCAATCATAACTTGAAAGTCTCTACTTTTTTGGGCTAGTGTCATTCTCTGAATCTTGACTGCCAAACTGAAATATTTGCTGGGTATATGCCGCTGGCCTTTCAGAACCCCTACCCCATTATTAAAAGTGTCTATTCTGCGGACCCTATAGAAGCCATCTTATCCATTTTTTGACAAATATAATTTTCGCGATCACATATTCTATGCATCTACCAACTTTTCAACCACGAATCTTTTGTTGAATTCCTACTTAGCATTTTTTCACCTCAAAATCTCAAAAATGTGCGACACCCTTATTATGCAAAATTAAGGTAAAAAAAAAAACACTGCAAAGACAGTGTACGATCAATTTTGCTCAACGTCGGATCCAAAAAGATCGTGATCAGTCAAAATAGATCAAATTGAAAACGATACGGTCAAGAAGATTTTTGCAGGGACTGATCAAACAAGGTGAAATAGAGTTTAGTTGCGAAATTTCGACTGGCAAATACCAGTCTTCATCAGATTTGTTGAGATATCACGAATTTACAAAAATATATATGAAGTAAAATAATGACCGGAAATTACATAATATGACGTGGTATGATGTGGCTACTTTAAAAAGACAAGATAACAAAAATAGTGTATATATATACCATGCATAGATATTAAATTCTGCAAGCAGAATACTGCAATGCTGATCGTACTACGTGAACATTAACTCTGCAAGACATCAACACGACAGAGGCTCAATTGTCTTAATGCCCAGAGGCTCAATTGTCTTAGCTTTGTGGGTAAGGTAGGCTTCGCCACAGGGTCCAGAGGAGATGTGTTTGTCGTTAGAACATCAAAACCCGTCGAAAACCTCTGAAAAAATGGGTTATTTTGATCGCGTTACAGTTTCGTTACACATTCTATTGACCGCAAACCAAGAGACTGAGGGCTCGCAAGATCGGCTTACAGTATAAAATACGGTCTTCGTGCCTCGGTCGCCCTTCGGGCGACGTTCCGTGCGCCAGCGAGGATATGGCTTGCGGTTATTGATTTTCAAAATGGCTAACAACAAAGTCGATCTGGTCAGATAAATAAGAAGCGAAGAAATCGTTTACAGTAGATTCATTAAGATCCCATTGGGCTAATTAATCGTGCTAAGCGACAGGTATAGACATTTTTCAAGGTGAGACTTTAAGTAAGTAATTCATTTATTCACACGAAACTCCTCTGGACCCTGTGGCTTCGCGTGCTTTCCTGAAAGAATCACGCCCATTTTTAAGTTTTTCAATAGGAATCAAAAGCATATGACTATCGGAATGATTGCTGGTTAGAAAGTGTTTTGAAACTGCAGTATGGATGTGATTACCAGTAGGGTTGAGTATAGGTCGTCTGTGTTCATTAAAACGGTCTTTGAGGCGACCTCTAGTTTCTCCAAATATTGTAGACTACACAGGCGACATTGGATCAAATAGATAACATTAAAAGTTTCACAAGTGATATGAAATTTGACGTGGTGAGTCTCACCTGTAGAATGAAAAGAGTGTATTGATTACGGCCATGTTCAATGTAGGGACCGGTGGTGCAATTCCTGTTGTTGCACCGAAAGGAACCGGGGGTGGGTCGGGAGTTACTGGTATCGGTACTGTTAGTTAACTGGGCTCTAACGAGGATGTCGCTAATATTTTTACAACGGCGATAAGCTACTAACGGAAGGCTTTTAAAAACATTTCTACAACGATCTGATAAGTACAGCTCGTTCGAATGCTTGCGAATGATATGCGCAAGGTTAGGTAATGCTTTATTGTGTCTGTGTCTTGGGTTTGTTTGTAAGTGCGTCAGTGCGAAGAATGTCGGAAGCTCTTTGTATTACGATCCAGCTGCGATTAGCAAGGTAATCTATAAGTTCGTTAGTACGTAGTTTGTAATTGTCTGGGTCTGAGCAAATGCGACGGAGGCGAAGTGCAAGGCTAAAAGGAATGGCGCGTTTGGTATGTTGAGGGTGACATGATGAAACTAGTAAATACTGGTGTTTGTCAGTATGTTTAGTATAAAGATCTGTTTCTATGTAGCCTGCGTAGCTGGCGGTATTGTGTGGCCGCTCGTGACGGCTTCACGGTCAAATCTCACTCGACTATATTACAACGGCTCTGCCGCCAAATCTCACTCGACTACTACACAATACCGCCAGCTACGCAGGCTAGTTTCTATGGAGCCATCCTTGACTGAAACCATGACATCAAGGAATGGTATGTTACTAGGTGAATGCGAACAAGTGAACTTGATGGTGGAGTGTAAGTTATAAAGATAATCAACAAATATTTTTAGTTTCTCTGGACCTGCAGTCTAAATATCGTCGATAAATCTAAGCCACAAGTATGGTCGATGGGGTGAGTTAAGGAGAGTGTCGCGTTCAAATTTACCAAGAAACAAATTAGGAAGGAGCCATACGCGTGCCCATAGCCGTGCCGTGTTTTTGAAGATAGTGTTTGGAATTAAATGCGAAGTTACTCATGGTAAGGATTATTCGAATGAGGTCGCAAATAGTTTCCGTAGGGATATGTTTATTAGTGCGTTTTTGAAGGAAAAAACAACAGTGACGTGATATCAAGCGTGACAAGCAAGGCACTATCAGGAAGACTGTCAATGGCGGTGAGTTTGTTAAGAAAATCAGTAATATCTTTGACGTAGGACGGTATAGTGCAAACCAAGGGTTTGAGATGAAAATCGACAAACTGTGAAATGCTTTCAGTAGGGTGACTGTTGGAAGAGACTATGGGCCGACTGGGATTATTAGCCCGTACACAAACGTTGTTTTATTTTTCTTTTCGTTCTTTTCGAAAACATCGGCGTGCTTGCGAGCGAAGCGAGCGCGCGAGAAGGAAAAATAAAGAACTATTTTCTTCTCCCCCACCACTACCCCCTTGCGCTCGCGGTCAATAAATCCCCTACGGTTTATATTTTATCACCCACGCTCGACGGACTTTTGTAGTGTATCGAGCTCCTAGACAGCTTAAATACTCTCACGAGCACATGGTTCGGACTAACAGAACAACACGACAGGGGTCACGTGACCCCGAACAAGTTCCCAGGACCGCACATTCCTCCCCCTCAAGTTCCTAAACAATATGTGGCATCTCGCCTTGAACTAAATGTTCATGGGGGCAGGAGGGGTCCATCAGTAATAACGCTGTGGTGGTCTTCGGTCCCTTACTGGATATCGTCGCACCGGAGTGACAGGGACTAAGCTTGGGTCTACGGGTGTAGTGGGTGGCTCCAACTCCCCACAGGTTACTTCGGGCTATTCACATCGGGTACTGCAACCTCCGGAACAACACTTCCCTCGTTGCTATGGCCTGCCCTTTGAGCTGTTGGACTGGGGCAAAGAGGCTCTGCAGTACGAGAAATTAATTGGTCATGATGTCTCCGAACTACAATTCCATCTTCTAGTTCAACTCGCGCCAGTTCCAGGGACCCACTTCGACCCCCGGGAGTAGTTTCTGACACTCACGGCATCACCAAGCTTCACTTCGCGCTTTCGGCTATGCTGATCACGTTGTTTCTTTTGTCTAGACTGAGCCAATGTACCGCCACCGAAATGATCCCCACCATCATTTCGGTGGCGGTACAGCCAAATGCACCCTTGTCGCTACATCCGGTCGCAGCAGATCGAGGTGAGATTTAACACTACGTTCCATCGTGAGTCAGCTGGAGATTCACCAGTGGTGCTTTGCGGGGTAATCCGGTAGATTAGAAGAAAACGAGCCAAATTGGTGTCAACAGAACCGTCACCCTGTTTCTTCATCCCTTGCGTCTGTACCGCTCGCTCAACCAGACCATTTGTACTTGGGTGGTAAGGTGCTGAGGTAATGTGCTTGATTCCATTTTTTTGCAAAAATGACTTAACTTCACTGCTCACAAAATTGGATCCACTATCGGACGCTACAATCTCTGGTAAACCATGTGAAGCGAAAGTTGACCTCATCTTGTCTTTGGTCACACTGGAGTTGGCAGAGTTCACACAGTGGATATCCAGCCACTTGGAATGGGCGTCAGTGATCAGCAAGAGCATATCTCCCATGAAAAGTCCCGCATAATCTACGTGCACTTGCGACTAAGGGGGCCCGGCCATTCCCATGGGTGTAATGGCGAACAGGGAGGGGTCTTTTGGTGACTCTGACAAGTAGCACAACTTTTCACTTCTCTTCTAAATTCGCGTCCATTTTTGGCCACCATACATAGCTCCTGGCTAAACTCTTCACTTTGACTATTCCCGGGTGAGTATTGTGTAATATGTTCAACACCTCTTCTCTCCCTTGAGGGGGTACTATGACCCGAGCTCCCCATAAGAGGCAGCCAGCATGTACACTCAATTCTTCTCTTCTAATAAATTAGGGCTCCAGGGCTTCTTCTTCTACCTCTGAAGGCCATCCTTGAAGAACAAACTGTAGAACTTGTGAAAGCACTGGATCGCGGGCTGTCCACAATTTTATCTTATTAACATGTACTGGGCTGGTGTTGATATTTTCTCGGAGGTGTACAATGTCCCCAGGGACGGGTGTGGACCCCGGGACATCCGCATTACCATTCTTATTTCCTGGGCGATACAACAGCTCATACTCATAAGCTAGGAAAGTGAATGCCCACCTCTGCATTCTGCTTGAGGCCATTAAAGGCGTGGCTTGTTCAGGGTGTAGCAGCCCCAAAAGTGGTTTGTGATCTGTGTAAATCTTAAAATGGCGACCATACAGAAATTGGTGGAACTTTTTCACAGCAAAAACTACGGCTAGTGCTTCTTTATCTAAGTGACCATAGTTCCTTTCTGCCGTAGAGTGAGTACTCGAGGCGTATGCCACAGGTCTCTCTGATCCACCTTCCATAACATGCGATAGAACTGCGCCAACACCGTAGGGTGATGCATCACAGGATACCACCAGCTCTTTCTCGGAATCATAATGTACTAGTACGTCTGATGATTGAAGCTGGTTTTTGGCTTTATCAAATGCTTGCTGTTCCACCTCCCACTTCCAAACGACATCTTTCCTCATCAAACTATGAAGTGGTTCCAGAATGGACGACAGGTTAGGTATGAACTTCCCATAGAAGTTAAACATACCAAAGAACGACTTCCGCTCAGTGGGGTTTTTCGGTGCTGGGGCCTCTTGAATGGCCTTCAATTTTGCTTCAACAGGATGAAACCCCTCTGCATCAACTCGGTGCCCCAGACACTCCAAAACTGGCTTCGTGAACTGACACTTTATTACTGCCTTGAATCGTAGACCAACTTCCAAGAGGCGTCTCAAAACTTTCTCGATGTTGTCTAGGTGCTCTTCAGTACTGGGGCCTGTAATAAGGATGTTATCTAACAGAACTCCAGTTGAAGGGATTCCTTGAAGCAAACCCTCCATGGTTCTCTGGAAAATACCAGGTGCTGAGACTACCCCGTAAGGGAGACGGTTATACCTGTAGAGGCCCTTATGTTTGTTAATCGTTAAAAATTCCTTAGAGTTCTCATCCACAAGCATCTGTTCATAGGCGTGGCTTAACTCTACCTCAGTAAATGTTTGACCTCCAACTAATTTCGTATACAGATCATCAAGCTTGGGGATAGGATAGCCTTCCAGTTTTGACACTTTATTAACAGTGAGCTTATAGTCTCCACAGACTCTTCCAGTGCCATCACTCTTCATGACAGGGACAATCGGGGCGGCCCACTCGGAATACTGGACTGGTTCAATGGTCCCTGCCCTTTCAAGTCTTTCTAGGTCTTGTTCAATCTTCTCCCACAGAGCATACGGTACTGGTCTGGCTTTATGGAAGATAGGGGTAGCCGTGGGGTCAACATGGATTTTGGCCTTTGTCCCTTGTAGAGTTTCAAGCCCCTCCTCAAACAGCTGAGCAACCAAACTTCGCACCAGTTTATAGGTTGTCGCTCCCACACAAACCAGAAAAATGGATCTCCTCTAGTCAGGATCTGTGATTTCATTCGCTTCCAAGAAATGGTTTACACGCTCGATGTAATGGCGCCAATCTTCAGTTTCGTTGCACTCGTCCAACTTCCCAAACGCGGGCATGATTCACGTAGACTTCCCTTCCTTTGTCTACCTTGCAGTGGGCGTCCGTACACGTTCCTCGTCGCCAAAAATGTAGTGTATCGAACGACTAAACAGCTTAAATACTCTCACGGAACACAACGAGTCAACAAGCGCATGGTTCGGACTAACAACACGGCAAGGGTCACGTGACGCCGAACAAGTTCCCAGGACCGCACAACTTTGAAGAGAAAATAGAGGGTCTGTGAACAGGCTAAGGATTATTGACTTCATGGATTTTAGGGAGAATATAGAAGCGTTCGGGTTTAGGATCCTTATGTAATAGGTATTGTTTTTTTTTTTTGTCGATAAGTTCATCGTTGAGCATTCGTTTGACGTATTCTGTAACTCGTTTCTGTATAGTGTCAGTAAGATCAGTATCCTGTTGTTCGTAAAAAGTAGGATTGTTGAGTTGGCGATAACATTCGTCTAAGTACCATTTTCTGTCCATTATCAGAGTCGCCGAGCCTTTGTCGGCTGACTTGATAACAATGTCATGTCTTTGTTTTAGACGTAAAGGTCGGCGTTGAGCTTTCGGTAGGTTGTCACGGATTCGTCTGGGTTCTGAGTGGTGAATAGGTCATGTTAACAGCGTTGAGGTAAGCATTAAGCGCGTCGTCTTTGTCGGTGGGTGGTGTCCAAAGGATTTTGGGGTGAAAGGGGTCAGATTGGTTATCAGTAGTGTAGTCGTGAAATGAATTCAGTAATGCGCAAACGTCGGGCGAATTCGTCAAAGTCTGCATTAACTTCAGTCCAGTCAATATGTCGGCGGCTGGGATATTTTTTTCTCTTGTCCCAGCTTTCTAGACAAACCTTGCGAGGAAACGCTAGTTACGCAGGCTAAGTCCTCTGGCGAGGAGTTGAGTTTCGTTATCAGTGAGGGTGACGTTGGAAAGGTTAACTACAGATGAAGAGTCAAGAGGTGCATTAGTCTTAATGGTAGGAATGGCTAGGAAGTGTTTTAGTGTGTTTGCGACGTAACCTTTTACGTCTGAGTGTGTTAGAAGTGACGTTATGTGGTGTATTATAAACCGTCGATCTGGATTGATCCTATCAACTTGCAACTACTGATGGGCAAGGGCATCGCCACGTGGAGATCACGAATAGGACTTTTCACTCCTTGCCAAATCCACCATATACGTCAACTACACGCTCATACCAAACCTGGAACCAATCAAGGTACCACTATGTTGTTTGTTTTAATTATTATAACGAAAAGCTATCCTCTTGGGCTCGTTCCTTAGAAGTCAGTATTACTTTATAACCGTCGACTCCGTAAAAACATTTCTACTCATCTTAACCAAGCTGACCACACTGATCATCCCACTTCCTCCACATCTCAACTTAATACACCACATAAATCTGGTACCCTTATAACAGCAACTGGAAATCTGCAACTAGCACTGTAAATTGGTAAATCATACTAAAATGCTACCGATGCGACCGGAAACTTGTAAAAGAAATCAATGATGAAATCAGCCTGAAAGATAACAGCAGGTGAAAGACGTTTTTTCCAGAATGAAATATACTTACATCCTCTAACTTGAGACATCACAACTGTCCCAGGCACAGTTCCAAGAGATCTCCATCAGTTTCGAACTTGACCCAAACGTCTTGACAAGATGAACCAAACAAAAATTGTTTGCCCGGCCTATTGACCAGATTGACGTTTAGAAATTCCATCAGGTCGTGTTTCTTTCGCAGGCAAGGTTAATTCAAGATATTTCCAATCCAGTCTTAAAATCAGGCTGTTAAATGTCCCCAGGGTCTTTGACCAATGAGGAGAATTCTCCAACTTCAGACGAAGAACAGTTTGAAACTATACACGCTCTGTTTATCCACAACATTAAAGAAAAGAAAAATACTATAAGTACCTAGACTAACTCGCGAAGGAATGTGAGAAAAAGCGTTTTGTGGGTCTCAAAGTGTGAAGAAGTTGATCCCAAGTAATGACAACTGTATAATCATAAATTTCGCTCGTTTCTTCGCACACGTCCTCTTTTCCCGTTCTTTTCTTTCGTGAATGCATCCATTTCTAAAAATGAACATCAATTTACATTCTCGCTATATATCCTACCACTGAACAGTATCAATCATAAAGGGCTGACTGAAATAGAGGAAACTGCTCAGCAGCGAATGACAAGCAAACTCTTAGCTTGTGACAGACAAACTTGTAGCTTTAATCCTTTTAATAATGTTCTAACATTGAATTGAAAGTTCGAAGTTTTCTCCCCCTTTTATGAATGAAATTGAAAAGTTTGTAAGGAGAAAAACCCTCGCCGGAATAGAAAGGCAAATCGATAACAAAATACACCGATGGAGATGCTTTTATGCTTAGTTCCTAGTTTTCCTCGTTGCTACAGCTTTAATCACAATCACACGTAATACACTTTAAAATTTCAATACATCATTGTAACATCTCCAAACAGTCACCACATTTTTCCGGACACTCCAAGCAACAACAAAAGCACACCCCAAGGCATTTACAGCATCCCTCACAAAACTGAAAGCCATCTTCGCTGCTACATTCCCTTGACAAGGCGGAGACAGTAACGACAGGACTGAAGGCTGGTGCTGAAGAGATCGTAACGCTGAAAGTTTAAAAAAATGAAAATGCAGTTAAGAATATAACTGAAGTTCCTCAACTTTCAAGTTGCGCAGAATTTAATTTTTTTGCGCAGGGTTAACAAGCACATGGGTAGGGGATTTTTCTATATCGGCGGGAATCGCCAGGGAGGTAATGCGTCATTTTCTCGTAAAAAGAATGGTGACCGATCATTTGAATCAGTGAAATAAGAAATTACGTTTTTGATTTTTGTAAAATGAATACAGACCGATTCTCTGAGTTGTAAAAAAAAAAATCCTCGGAAACGTCAGTTTATAACAGTAAGTGCTAAAAAGGTCGCATAAGGGAGAGGGTAAAGTATAGAGTTCAAAGGGGTTTTATTTTGTAAGGCGGCCATAAGTGGATTTGGGCTCCTCATCTGATGGTCCCTCGAATAGGACAGATTACTAGTAGGGGAAGAGGAGTACTGAGGGGCCACTTGTTGTCCTTTGCAATGGTATGCATCTTGTAAAAAAACGTTAAATGTAAAGCAGCAGTTTTACCTGGTCGGCTCCACAGTCCTCACTTGAACATCGTCAACACTGAAAACACAGAAACAGAAGTAAGAACATCAACTATGTATACACCAGACATTAATACAGTCGTTCCATATCAATAAATTGATTATTTCCGTATTGTGGCGTAAAGCGTGGCGGATTTAACCGCCAAATTTTGCCAACACAAGCTCCATTTTCTTAAATACAGTTGTCTTTTCCATTTGAAGCCGTGGTCTGCAACATTCACTGTTCATTATCAGTGCGGAAGTGATTTAAATTTTATTCCACGACCACTAACGACTCAAAATTCACGTAATCGGCTCATTTGTGAAATTTATCACCGTATGCTTGATAATGGAAAGCCGCTCCTTCCTAACTATATTGTAATTGAAGTACGCAGGATAGTGCTTTCGTTTTCTGGTGCGTGACATCAGAAGACATAACGCCATTTTGGTGCCATAAAGTTTTTCTGCACTCTGACTATTCCAGCGAACACATGAGAGAAGGCAATATGCATGACCCTTTTTGCGATGTGGACGATTTGGGATACGCTAAACTAATGTTGCATAATTTCTGTGTGAAAAACGAGAGTGACTTCATCCTCGGAGACCTAGGGGCAGTCGGGTCTTGAGAAAAGGCGGGACGAAAGTTTTCATGTACGTACTTGAAAACTTTCGTTCCGCTTTTTCTGCCGACCCAGCTGACTGCCCGTGGGTCTCCAAGGTCGATTATTTAAATGGCTTTTTAATGATGTTAAAATATTAAATGTGCCAAATAATTAATACGTATCGACACTCCTGCGACAAGGGTTAAGCAAATGCAAACAAATTAAACATTTAGAAAAAGAGCGCCACGATGAGAAGTACATACACACTTACCCTGTAGCTGTTGTCTGTATCAATGTGTTGAAATCCATTTCAACTTCTTTTTGCTCTGCATCTTTTTCACTGACATCTATCGCGTCTGCTTCGTCTTGTCCATCGTCCATTCTCAACTTCCGATCGGTTCTTCCTTTCACTGGACACTTAAAGTTCTGAGTTTTCCTTCTTGGCAGTCGACGAGGAAAGAACAAAGATTCCCGTGACACCAGAAGTGCGTGATCGAACTTCCGTAAACGTAAACCTCATATGGCCTTAGTCACGCAAGACCAACAAACAAGAGGTATCACATTTTACATTGAATACCAAATATCTCGGTCCATCCTTTATCAAAACTAACTTTGAGGTGTATTAAATTATCCACAGTCTAATTAATACCCTGATTAATATAACAGTGAGTTATTTTACGGAGATTCCTCAGCGACGGGTATTCGTCTGGAATTTTGATGAAGCGCAGCAACAAGGAAAAAAACTCCAACGAAGGGTCAAAATCTCAGCGTAAGACTCGTTACGAGAGAGAAGTCAACTCAGTCAACTTCTGAGCAAGCCCGTGAGATGACGAATAGCTGCTTGCGACAAACAAGCAAAGCATGTTTAGGAAAACCAGGTCTAACATAATGAAACCGGCAATAGAAAACTGAAAACTGATTTTTGCAAAAGGTACAAGTAAGCATGAACTTGTTTTTTCATTGTGCTAAATTTGAAATAGACAAACATCAGTTTTGAAGCAGCTTCTATGAAGAAAACATTTTTAAACCGTGTTAAACAAAATAGCTTTAAACTTATTTCAGCGGCGTTGTGAATGGGGCATTAGTCATCGTTGTTCGTCTCCTAGAATATCGTATGGCTAATTTGCGTGATAAGGGTTGAAAACAGAAAAAAAAATCATGGCGACTATCGTGAATAGGGTCTTTTGTTTTCATGTGACGTAATTGTATTTTTAGATTAAAAACAACAACGACAACAATCCTTCGAAGTTTTTAGCATAGTCAGATAAAGACCTTCTAAGAACTCGACAGTTTACAAATTTATTAAGTTTCACAGAAAAAATGTTTGCTTTTGGAATGGTTCTTACATCTAAAGACGTATTACAGTTCTAAAAACTGTATACGATCCCTCTAGTGATAACACATCGATTGGATGGCAACTATATCTTCAATGTCAAACCAAGATGGCGTCTCGATACAAAGCTCTATAAATTGAGTTGAAACATCTCACCTAATAACCCAATTCACTGCATAGACCCCATTCTAAGCAAGGCTTACACAGGCTTACAAAGCGCGAAACAAAACTTTCTAACCAACCCTACTTTCTCCATACTATGATTTTACAAGTTCTCCTTCGCTTTCTATTTTTTTTTCGTTGGTTGATGGCTAAGTATCAAATTCGGAAAACACAAAATGACGTCACAGGTGAATCACTAGTCGTCAGAATCGCACTCACTGAAACTCGCCAAAACACAAAGTAACAAGAAATATGCCAGAATAAGAGTTCCAACAATCAAATAAGCCAAGAGAAGTAGCAGGACGATGCAAAAACCTGCAAAACAACAAGGAAGAAATTTGTCAACTAAATTACGTGATCACATTAGTGACCCGCTTCACTCGGCAGACGAGTATTTTCGTCGGCACGAAATGAGTTAAGGGCATTTCGTTTTGAACTCATCCTTATCGTCCTATTTACGGCGTCCAAATAGTCTATTTGTGTAGCGTAAGCTTACATAAAGTGAGAGTGACTAATTAAAAATTGAGAGTGCTTCCATGAGCTACTAGTGTGAACTAGAGTGAGTTAATGTGAGTTAATGTGGGATACCGTGAGATCTCGTGAAATACATCGACATAGCATGAGATAACAAGAGATAATGTATGGTACCGTCACCCAGCATGAGTATAGTGCGATCCAAACGTAACTGTAGCCCTTTGGCGACCCGTTTTACAAAATCGTCTTTATCTAACGAGGGTATAAGAAACTTGACAGTGTTGTAAATGACAACTGAATCAAAAGTGTGGTTTCTGGAGATTGAACACAAGATGTTTGGAGCTTCCGTGATATTAACTAATTGTTTCATGTCGAGTACTTACCCTTTCCTCCTAATTGGTACCACTCGTAACCACTTTCACACTTGAAACAACATTCCACCCAGCTAAACTCTTTTGGTGGTGAAGGATCTCTAAACACGACCGGCGGGCTAGGTAGAGCCGGAGGTGCACTGAAAGTGGTCAAAAACAAAATATCTGTTACTTGAAGCCGGAGGGAGTGTGATTGAATTGTTATCGGGAGAGAGAGTGAATAGAGTTTGGAATAAAGTTTGGAAAACGTAATGTGACAACACACTTTCAGTGAAAAAACCAGAAGGTTTTATATATGTACATTAAAATAATATAGAAACGAGATTGAGTGAGTAAAAGCGATCAAAAGCATAGAAATTCTAGAAAAGCAATTTGATGGTTTAATGGTTCAATCCTTGAACATAGGCTATGTGATAGGCTGGCTGTTACTGTGTTGAATGCATGTGAAGATGCTTACTACATTTGCTACAAAAAACCGATAAAATAACACAGATCTCACCTCGGCTGTGCTGTAACGGGAACACTGAAAATGAAATAAAGCAGGCAATTCGTAAAATCATTTTTTGTAAAAAAGTAAAACAAATGCCCCACCTTAATTCCACAATCACTCTATAAAGCTTTCCTATATTTTATCCTCCTCCCCTATGTTTCAGCCCCCCCCCCACCCCTTATCTCTAATAAGCTCGCCACCCGTTTACCAACAGCTCAATGTATGAGAAACTCGTTTTCAATAATATTCCACACTCACTGGTATCAGGATGACTCTCTCACAAAGAGATATGTCCAAGTTTGCACGCAGTAGCAAAAATTGCGAAAAATTGGAGAAAACGCAGTTTTTGCTAAAATTACTAAATTCAAGTGGTAAAGGAGGTACAAGGATGTCCAGCAAAAACTGCGATTTCTGCAATTTCTGCGATTTCTCCAAAAATTGCGAAAAATTGGAGAAATCGCAGTTTTTGCTAAAATTAATTAAGTCAAGTATTACAGGAGGTACAAGGGTGTCCAGCAAAAGCTGCGATTTCTGCAATTTCTCCAAGAATTGTGAAAAGTTGGAGAAATCGCAGTTTTTGCTAAAATTAATTAAGTCAAGTGGCACAGGGAGTAGAAGGGTGTCCAGCAAAAACTGCAATTTCTGCATTTTCTGTGATTTCTCCAAAAATTGCGAAAAATTGGAGAAATTGCAGTTTTTGCTAAAATTAATTAAGACAAGTGTTAGAGGAGGTACAAGGGTGCCCAGCAAAAACTGCGATTTCTACAATTTCTCCAAAAGTTGCGAAAAATTGGAGAAATCGCAGTTTTTGCTAAAATTAATTAAGTCAAGTTTTACAGGAGGTAGAAGGGTGCCCAGCAAAAACTGGGATTTCTCCAAAAAAAATTGCAAAAAATAAGGAATACTTGCAATGATCCGTGGTAGGCATTTTGTCTTTTTTGTTATCGTCCAAGCACAAAGGTTGGCAGGTTTTTGTCAATGAGGTATTAGGAAAATACTTGTTACTCTATGATTCAACCTTGCATCCTCTATTCATTGTTGAATAATCCTAACTAATCCCATACGAATTCCAGTATCCATAAAAAAAATTTGCTCTCAAAATCTGCTCTTTAGCATTGTAGACCATTGTTTCCTTCTTCTCGGAGTTCACAATCAGCTTTGCCTCTCCTTTTCCTTTACCAAGTTGCTTTCTAAACCCACCACAATCTTCGAACTAGTCGAAGAGATAAGATAATCTTCTCAGGTTTGAAAATGTTATAGTCACTGAACCTAGTGTATCTATCCCAAATCTTGTCAGACCAAGAATCTCCGCCTTGTTCAAGAGATCAAAGACCTCATGAGGTATGGGAAGGTTAAAGCAAGTCATCCACGGATGTACTATGCTCATTTTTGGACTAAGACGGCGAATAATTGAGGTCTTTGCGCGGACCATGCTTCGTTGAAGCATAGGACATAATCTCGCCGATCCTGTAGTAATTGTTGCGCCCGCCAAAATTCGGGTGTCTAGAGAACGACGACCTAGAAAATGATGACCTAGAAAACGATGACCTAGAAAACGACGACAGGGATGGGGTAGCTCGAAGGATTAAGAGGTTAGAGGGGTACAGAAGGCGGGAAATAAGAGGACGATAGGAGGGAATTATGAACGGGTGAGAGGAAAATTACAGAAAAATAGTAAATATTATTTGTAAAAAAACGGCTAAGGGTATGAAGCCAAAGAATAAAACAGTGGAAATGGAAATGCAAGGTACGCGAGGTCTCCCCTCTGTTTCGTTTATCAAACAGGCGTTGCCTGTTATTGATAGATTTATTTGATGACAAGAATCGTGATTGACATCAATTGATCTATACATTGATTTAAAAGTATTTAGGTTATTGTGTTTAAAAAAAGAATCGAAGTGAGAAAGAAAATAATTTACAGTCTGTCTATAAATCCCCTTACCTGAAGAATCTGTTAAAAGAATTTGCTAACCTGTAAAGTGCGACTGTTGTAACGACCCCCCCCCCCCCAGAAGTAAGTTTACATTGAAGTTTTCTGAATTTAGCTACGAGATTAAGACGATTTGTGTTTGTTCTGATTGCAAATTATAAATGTGTTTCTTTTAGATCGAATAATTGTTAAAGCTTGGCTTGATATTATGCGGTTTGTGGTGGTCATTTGAGCTAACCACTTCCTAAGGAAACACCCTCCCCCTCTAGGACTGGCTGGGGTGGTGGCCAATAAAGTGTTTACTGATTAAAAGTATATCGGGTTATTTTTCATGAGAGATCGCTGAGTGTGTTAATTAAAAAAGGTTTGGGGAACGAAGTATTTCTAAAAGTCAAAATTTGGGAAAGTTTCACGTTTACGCGGAAATGCTCGATTGATTTATTGATTAACGCAAACCTTCGTTACACGTACCCCGCGAGATACCTACATCTATTGTTCTTGCGTTATTTTCATAACGCGGTTTATAAAACCGTCTCTCGCATTTTTAAACAGCGGTTACAGAGTGCCTAGTGTGGTCGCACGAACTATTGTTTTGTCTCGGACATTGCATTGTGCATTGAGTGAAAGCGATGGAAGAATTAAAGATGAACCTAAGTGAAATTTTTAATTTTGCTCTGCGGCGTCGTCTCTATTTCACATGATGTAATAATTTGTGAACAATTCAAAAGTTTGCGTTCTACCGGAGATCTCACTGCATATATACCATCCTAGGATGATACGATTCAAATCTTACAGTTCAAATCTTATGACATGTCAACCTTCATTGTGTCCTACACAATATTTCACAATTCTCGTTACCGATATCCTGCCGTTTCATGGATGGAAAGGTACGAGAAAATGTTGAAGCCCTTTTTTCTTTATTTTCAAAATATAAACTGTTTGTTTACGGTATTGAGATGTGAACAAAAACGGCACGCCTGATTTTTTTCCTGTTTGATTTATGTGGGCTTGAACTTCCCGCCATAAACGACGCGCCAGTGAGGCAGTGTATATTATTAAGAGTTGATGGAACTTTGTTTAAATTGATATCAGGATAATAAATAGGTCAAAGCAAAGCTTGGTTACCTTTGCAAGGGCGCCATTCCATTCAATCAAAACGTCTGGTTTAAATTTTCGGCAAATTCCATGCAGTACCGAATGGAACAGCATTTTCGCGATATATACCCAAATTTTCGAAAATTATTTTCGGGAAGTTTTCTTTCCGCATTCAGCTTTGCTCCCGAATGTCTAAAATTTCTTGTTGAATGATTCGCATTTCGAAAAAGTTTCTGGGAGTCGAGAAAATACTGTACCAATTGCCGCTGTTTCCAAAGTTTCTAAAGTTTTGGTTGAATGTAAAGCGCCCAAAATGCATCCAAGAAATTTTGTTCTGAGAGAATCGTCCGCACGTACTACGATGTGCAAAAAAGTGTGCTTCACGTGCAAATTAGACCTATTGACCCTAGCATTACTTATAACTAGACCAGGGTAACTAGCGGCTATGAGCGATTTGCGTGGGTGTTTGGCGCGTTTGATAAGATTACACTGAGATTTGCTATAAATATGACATTTGCAGCTTAATTAGATAGTAGAAAATGCTATTTTGGTTTTGTCCGGGGATTAGTCAGGTCGCTTAGCGTCAGTATCGTTACTGGCCGGATACAAGCACCAATTTTTGTATGCACTCTTTTTTCGATGTAAGAATTAAATTTAGTCGTGGATCCATCAAAAATATTTACTCTATCTCATCAAAAAGAGCGTGCAAAAATTAGGTTAATTTGCATAAATTTAAAATGGCGGCGCTAAGTACTAAAATTTTAAACAACTCCAAATTCGTGACCCTTGTAATGCAACTATAATCCGTGTTTGTTAAAGTAATGAAAAATGATGATAGCACTGAGTGCTGCAGTCCAATTCGCTCTTCAGTCATACGAGTTTCAAACATTATTACGATTACAGACCGGCATGGACAACACGAAGATCTTAGTTCACCAATCAATCAAAACCATAACAAAATGTTTCATAACTTTAACCTTTCCAAACATTAGAATATACCTTTTCCGAGAGTTCTTTTGCTAGTCGTTTAGAAAGAATCTACTCAAGAGCGCGTGGGCGAGATGGCGCGTACTGTTTGATTACTTACGCATGACGCTTTCTGATCTATTAAACTGTTCATTAAGCTGAAATCAGCGCCTCCGTAGGCCAATCAAACTAGAGAATTTTGTTGGGTAGGCATGATTTAAATAATAAAAATATTATTAAATTAATGACAAAGAATCAATTGATTTTTTGTTCAATAAATCTTAATTACCCTGTTTTAATTACTCTGAGTTAACACGCTCTCGAGCGAAATTAAATGATCGTCCTAAGTTGTTTTACTAAGGCATTCCAGTTAAACAGAATATTTTCCTAGGAATTGCGGGGAGTATCTAGGAACTTTCGAAATTTAGTTACTTGGGCAACTAAAGAAGAACCTTCTTAGTGCCTCCTTCTTCCTCGTAGATCAGTTTCTAAAACTACTCCTGATTTGAAAAATACGACTGACAGTTACTGTAAATCGGTATGTACTTTGAACATCTTAAGTTTCATATCCTTTCATCTCACTTGTCTGCGAGCGCTGCAATACGAATTGCAATTACAATTGCAAAGCGGGGAACACTTCAAGTTCGCTTTGCCACATTTGCAGTTGGAACAGTCTCCCTTGCATTTACACTTGATTAAATCTTGACAGGCTTTAGAAAGCTCTGGAACAGTTAGCCAAAGTGGGCTCCACACATTGTCTACTTGTCTCCAGCCATAGCCGCTTGGGGAAGGAATCATCTGCTGTACTTCGGTATTTGTAATCCAGATAGAAGCTTGGTAAACAGCCCTCTTCGTGTTGTAGGAGGGCTTTCTGCATCGGTGGCATCCTTTCCATCGTGATGTTCTTTAGACAGAACAGTTCCCTCCTTGTCTGGTTGATTGAAACTGAAGTGCTCGTTTTGTCGTAGACGAGGACGATCAGCCGCTCAATCTTTCGAAAGTTCTCACAGTTGGAATCAAGAGGCTCAAAAGGATGTGAAGCTAGGTAGACAAAAGTGTCTGTAACCTCTTCAAACGCCATCCAAGCTTGCCAGAACGACTTCTTCCCTTTTCCCCAAAAAGCAGAGGTTGTGTCGCATCCAGAAATCGTGTGAAGCATTGGTAGTGCTTGTGACCTTTTTGTGCCAAGGCTGGTGGACAGAGCATTGATGCTGTAATGTCTGTAGTTCTTTCTCACTCCAAAGGCGACCCAAATATCAGCCTTGGGCTGTGACAGTAACAGCTTGTGAAAGACACCAATAAGGACAACAACAACATCAGTGTCCACAGTGCGAACTTACACAGTCGTCAATCCCTGCTGAAGTGCGTGTAGTAAATGAACCACAATTCTTGTGTCGGCCTCTTCATGACTGCAGTTTGGCATGGGACTGGATGAACATACCTTTAGCACTGACTCTTCAGAAGTGATGTAAACCGCCTTTCCCTCGGGGAAGACAAAGTTTGCCACTTTATAGGTAAGAAAGTCAAACAGCTCTTTCTTGTTTGATGAATCATGCAGAAAGTCTGACCAGTTTCGTGGCAACTTGGTTTCTCCGGATACCTTTCTGAGGACCCCCTTTCCTCTCTTCTGACGAGTCGACTCCTTTAAACTTTCCGGTCTGTATGTGTCCCATACAACGTCCAACCTTTCTGTTCCTTGTAGATGACTCTGAAGATGAAGGATGAAAGCCTTCTCTGCGTATTTTTTGAATGTTGTAATTCCAGCGATGGACAAGCAGTGTATGATGACAGCACCATCCAATACTTTACAGCTGAATGTTTCAGGTGGCATAGATTTATGTAGTGGCTCAAGGCATTTTATCAGTTCAGACTTTGTGCCCCGCAGATAACGTTTGCCGAATTCTGACAATGAGGGAGGAAAGGATTGGACTTCATGAGAAAAGAATTCTTCCAAGTCCCCTTAACAGCTCTGCATTGAGATATACAACTGACCAAAAAGAGACACATTATTTTCAAGAGCTTTAATCTTCTTTCCTTGCTTCAACTTAATATTTGAACTGGGTTTCCTGAATAGTGCTGGCTTGTTTAATTTAATGGGTTCATGAATAGATCGTTTTCGTTCTTCCAATACTGTTACTGTACTGTTCCTTCCCTGTGTCTTCAAGGGTGTACAATGCAGTTATGACTGATTCATGAGCACAATCTTGACCGTCTAGGGATACAAGATCTGAAAAATCGGCCAAGAAAGGGTTCCTCATCTTCCTTATGATGCTAGAGAGACTAGTGACCTGCCTTTGGAAGGTTTTCTGTGTTGATAAACCTTGCTTATGATTCAGAAAGTTTTGGAGATTATCTGGATCGTTATCAGAAAAGTATTCGCTCTCGAACTGTTTCCGAAGTCTTGACAGCTCTGGTCCTGACAGCATCCAGCGTCGCAAAGCAACAGGATTTTCTGTAAGACCAATACAAACCCCGCACCTTTCACGTTGCAGTTTTCTGTCTCGTGTGCTTGATCAAATGGTATTCCAGAGAATGTATTGGCCGTTTTCGAAATAACCCAGTCACCCTGAATCTGAAACTCTCTTTGATTGGCCGAGGCAAAGATTTCATATCTCTTATATGAACGGGTAGCCACCTTGCATAATTGACATGGTCTAAGGCAAAGAACAGAAGTGCGTAGTTCTTCCAAAACGTTCACAAACAAATGAAAGTTTCTCTCCCTGTGAGCCCGGACAAAGATGAGAATAAGAGTTTCGTATCGCAAAATAAGGTCCCAGAACATAAATGTTGGACTTTTAGCTATCATCTGTAATCTCCAGGCTTCGGCTGTTTCTTCGTGTCCAGAGCCAATACAACTTAAGAAAGCTTCGCGTTGAAGGATATGCAAGGTTAACAGTGTGACTTGGTGGTCGTGTCTGGCACAGGTAAGGTGAGCTGCGTTCAACATCGATTGTGCAGTCCCGGCAGAAGATACTTCAGCTTTTAATAGAGCTGATGTCCACCCAGAGCCTTCCATTAAATCTCCAAGTACGTTCCAAAGAGCCATCTCTGTGTGCAAGCCTTCTGACATGGCTACATACTGTCCTTCGCCGTGAGTGGCTGGAAAATGCCATTGGACCAGCTTTGCCAGGGTGAAGTAAATTTGTGGCTTGCTTCACTACATCCATACCGTGCTTAATCATTGCAGGTGTAGCAGACTACTCATAGAAGAGAGGTAGCATTGCACACAAGGCTGGAAGCCCATGTGTAGGCGTTTTTTGAGAGGCGTGATAAGCTGCCTATGAATAGAGTCTCCTTTCTATTTCTTCTTTTTTTCAAAAGTCGCTGGAGATCTGCACCCATTCATTTTCCGCTTCTAGGGCTTTATCCAGGCAGACCTTTGTTTGCTCCACCTTTACCTCTGGGACAACAGTGTTAAACTTTGCTATAGCTACAGCCGGGACAGTAGTGCAGATTTCAGGTAGCTGAGCATCCTTTCCACTCACAGCGGCAGGAACCGTAAAAGGTGGTCTACATTCACCCGACTTGTTTTGGGATGGAAATTGGAACATACTAATACCAGTACCATGGAAAGAGCTTTGTGATGTAGTTGAACTGGGATTATGGTCCAGGTTGTCCAAAGCACCAAAACAGACAGCTGTGCAGGCAGACAGGGGATACAACTCCGTCCTCGTGAAAATGTATGCATATTGCTTTAGCAATCCAATCTTCAAGCTGTAAAACCCTTTCGTAGGAAATGCAGATTCCCAGCTGGTGTAACTGATTGATAAGATGCTTACTTCTGGTCAGGCCATGCATGTTCAAGCCAATGTAAACAGGGAGTGGTGGCTCGTGCTGTAATGAATGTCTTGGTTTTGCCACTGGATCAGCAGTTGATCGTTTCTTAGCGTTAAAGACTATGGTCTGGCCAATAGTGAGGCATGCTTAGGACTCTTCTTTCTGAGGATCTTGAGACTTGATAGCAGTGACGTGTCTTGACATTTTTCAGGAAAAGATCCGTTGAAGAGAATGCCTTCATGATTAAAAATGTCTTTCCTTATATAGAAGCAGCCCTGACCAAAATTAGTGCATCTTCTGAGAAGCCCCTTTTCATTAAGGCGTCTTGAATCATGTTACGCATTCCTTCTTTGAAAACTAAGAAAGTGTTCCTGCCGTCAAACTGTTCTTGAGCTTCCTTGAAGTATTCCAACAAGCGCTCCTTTAGCCTGGTGTTGTTTACTGATTTCGCATTACCTAGATCCTCCAGGCGACTTTCATATAAGGAGTGCAGGTCCGACAATTTAAACACGAGTTTTCCAGAATACACTTCTTTTTTGACATAACTTGCAAGCTCAACAAACACTCGGGAGTTACACACGTTTTCATCAACATTTTGCTTATCCTTGTTTGATTTTCTGACGTGACTGCGATATCTGTTGTTCAATTCAATCAAGCATTTCAGGTGATACTTTGCTCCGATTGCAATAAGATCTCCTTTAACTATTCTCTCAAGTAGTCGCGAATCATTAAGCTCTGTTATTATTGTTCTTATATTTGCGTCTGTCTCAAATGTAGACACCTGGCGGAGATCTCCATCATCTTCTCGAGCTCCTTTCTCACACAAAAAACACACCTCACTGTTCAACCGTTGTCGCTTACCGCGAGAGCTTGTTTCTGTCGAATCACTGCTGCGTTTTCTTTTCAGTTTTGCTCTTTCAAGTTTGCAGCTGCTAAATTTCGCATTGCAAGACTTTCTGCAGTTTTCTGCTGTCTCATCACATCCAAATTTGACTATCACTGGTAAAGAATCAATATCTTGAAACTGCTTTACGTGATTAAGAAAATTCGTATATGCGTCTCTTTTATTTCCTTTCTTTACCGGGTTTTCCAAAGCAAATTTTAAAGCTTCTGAGGTTTTCCTCTGGCATATAACACATAGGTTCCAGTCTAGCTCCATGTTTTGCGGTCACAAGCTAAAACAAATAAGGAATTTCTATAACAATGTATATATGCTAAAATGTTGGCTATTAATTAAAACTGAATTTAAGCTACATTAAAACGGGCAGCAAAAAAAACGTGCAACTTGTTTTGAAACATTGCTGCAAAACGAGTTGGATAGAGATGTTTCGCGTTTTACCACCGACTTTCGAACCTGTCTTGTAACAAATAAGGTTGCAAGGTTTTTTTCGTAAGTGGTAAAACGTGCAACATTGCTATTCAACTCGTTTAGCACCAATTTTACAAAACAAGTTGCACTTTTTTGTTGCCCGTTTCACCGTACTTTTGAGCAAAATTTCACTATAATTCATGATAGCTTGGACCTCTAGAGGTTTCTAAATATAACAACATTGTCTTTTAACTGCAAAACGACAAGTATACGTACCAGGTTAAGAAGCACTGATTTGGTCCCAACATGAAAGCACCACAACAACATGGCGTCTGAAGCAGCGCCCGAGAGTTTGAACATGCTTTTGTTTCGAGAAAAATTATTCAAATTGCACGCAAAAATCCACGTGGATCCACGGAGAAAAATGTTTAATAGTAATTAAGGAAACAATCTGGTGATTTTGATGCTTGTATCCGCTGTGTAACATTTCCGCAAAAGTTAAGCGACCTGACTAGGATGGGGCATTTCGCACTCTATTAAGCCCCCCTTCCCGCCGGGTTTTTTTTTAGGTCGTCGTTTTCTAGGTCGTAGGTCTTCGTTTTCTAGACACCCGCCAAAATTCCCTTTCACAACTGACTCAGCCAGCTTATTCAGTTCGTGGAATGTCTTGCCTAAACCCTTTAGGGTATGTGCGTTCCAAATTCCCCGCTGAAATTTTGATTTCGCTTCAGTGCATCTTTTATGGAACTTTAGTTCACCTTTGATCCGCTATCTTGAATTTTGCAAAACTAAACCCGAGGTCGCGCTCGGCCAAAATGAAAGTAGATTTAAAAATTGTAAAATCTCGGAAAAATCGACGCTGTTTAAAGGAGTTTTAACCAACGTATTAGCAATGCTGTCTTCTTCAGGGTACAAAAATAGTCTCATTTGGTCTTGTACCCCTAAGAAGGCAGCATTACCGAAACGTCGGTTAAAACTCTTTTGAACTGCATCGATTTTACAATTTTCAAATTAACATCAAGTAGCTATATGTTGGGCAGGGAATTTAATATTTTTTTTCACAAAATGGAAGTTGGCCACATTCCAAGCGTTGCAAATTTTAAAATGGACTTGGTACGTGAAAGTGTACTGCTACCGAGGTGAGCAGTCCGTTAGTCGCCAAAAATTTTAATAAAATTGCAATGGTTGCTTCGTATTCAACAGCTTTGTTGGGAGCTGTGGATTAAAGAACGAAGTATATTACATGTATAGTGTTGTTGTTTGGGTCCATGAGCATAAAGAACATCGATTACATGTGGATTCGCCCGACATTGATTTTTCCTTAAGAAAACATAGCAAAAAGTGTTCAAGTTTAAATCCAAAAACCTGTTGGAACCCTGTAATTATTGACCAGTTCTCATTTTTATTACATTGTCAGTACTAACTTAAAAGTTTTTTAAAACTAGGGTATCTAAAAGATAGTAATGCTGCGGCACATTCTGTTGATACTGGCATTAGTTAGGCAGTGAGAATAATTACTATCAGTCTATAGAAAGAACTCGTGGGAACGTTGTTTAGAAAATGATCAAGTGGTTATCAACTCTGGTTTTCCCACAGTAAATTGTAGGAAATAATAGAAATTCAGATCGTTTATCCATATATTTAACATACGGTGCACGATATTTTCTCTGGAAACACAATACTTTTCTTGCTTTTTGTTGCACTTTATTAAGTAACAGTTATTTAGCTATATATTTATAGAAAACAACAACACAAAAAATGGAAAAAAAAAAAGAAAGAAGGAATAAATAATTCGGTAAGACTCGCACCCTGCACCTTCGGCTCGACGCCACTACACCTAACCACTACACCACAGAGGCTGATAACGTAATGTTTAGGAAAAGTCTTTCATCTTATTCCTTTTCCATGAAACTTCCGCCGGCAAGATGATCGCCAGCCGCATTAACCGAGCTATTAACAGTGAAAAAACAATGTAAACGCATATTCCATGGCAATAAATGAATGAAAGAACATAATTATGCTTTTCAAAACGCCGATACACGTCCTCGCCTGCAAAGTAGGACACAAAACATATGTTTTGTTATCTCGATTTCGGCTGTTATTTTGAAGCGAATGGTCAAAATCACATCCATTTTCGGCTCATACAGTTTCTTAAGAATAGCATTGCATGACATTTTCTCACTTTCACACCACCTTCTAGCAAGCTGGAATTTGTATATCCCCCGTGTTGCGGAGTCGAAGAGCAAATGCTCATCTTCTCGTCAGGTTTAACCACAGGTAACCCAGGCTCTGTGATAGTACCACAGTACAGTTCCAGTAAAATTACAGTGTTTGTATGGGGTAAAAATATCATCCTAAAATTTCTAGGAAATACTGAATAAAGATCAATGAAACTTACTCTGCAGTTAAGTCTTATTGTCCTTATTGCTCCAACGAAGTTTCGTGATAATTTGCAGTAATTTGTTCAAATTCACTCTATCTACAATAATAATATACTATTTTTGTAGATAGGGTGAATTTGAACAAATTACTGCAAATTATCACGAAACTTCGTTGGAGCAATAAGGACAACAACAATTAACTGCAGAGTAAGTTTCATTGATCTTTATTTAGTATTTCCTAGAAATATTAGGATGATATTTTTACACTGTAATTTTACTGGAACCGTACTGTAGTACTATCACAGAGCCTGGGTTACCTGTGATTTAACACCTGGACGAGTCAAATGCTCTTGAATTGAAATCCAATCCCCAAGTTAACCATCGTACTCATCTGAAAGACTCCTGCGTGTCTTAAAATTTGGTAAGACCTCTAACCGTGCTGTAGAAAATTTGCCACAAAGAAAACTCTAAGTCTGAGCAGCGAACGATGCACTCTCTCAATCACCGAACTTCCCCGTGTTTTTATTTGAGTTGTTCGTGGCACAATGCACTCTGGTTAAACGCAATGCATTGTGGTAAAAAGTGTGGTTAAATGCAATGCATTGTGGTAAAAAGTGATGAATTCGAGTTTTCGTCGCCCCTTATTGCTGCGGAGCGACCGAAGGGAGCGCGCAGCAACATAATCAAGATTTAAAGGAAATATATAAAGGGGCGACGAATTCTCGAATTCATCGCTTTTTACGACAATGCATTGCATAAAGGGGGGAATTTCATATATCCCATGATGCATCGCTTCATACTATATTATCAAGCTTCCGAACGCACGTGATCCTATCAGTTCTCATCAGTTCGACAGGGACACGACAGTTGAACAACGATGGAAAGCGACTTGTTTTGCCGATAAAACCTTCTGTACCTTTGCTGTGTCGATCTATTTACGATTTTCGTTCTACTATTCCAAATATATCTCTTGTTAAGTCAAAGAGAGTGTTTGGCCGCCGATTATTAGTTAACTACTGTAACTAGCCTTACGATCGCAAGAAGCTAGCGAGGAATGTCTTTGCTTCAGTACGTCCTGTATTAACGTGCGTTGATAAAGCTCTCCATGGATTTACAAGCGATTTCCACGGACATGTCTTGAAATAAGTACATATTCTAGGTGTGAGATTTCTCTTCGTTGCTTGTTTGTGATCGCGGTGCTCATATTGTCAGTTCAATAATTCATCGATACAGTACATCAACCGTTCGTTGCCCGCACATGCATTTACTTCAACAAGCTCGGCCTATGCAGTCGAAAATACCGAGACCGTCAAAGTACAAAGTGGCGTCTAACTAATGCCAGTATCAACAGAATGTGCCGCAGCATTACTATCTTTTAGATACCCTAGTATATTTCTTTTAAATCCTGATTATGTTGCTGCTCGCTCCCTTCGGTCGCTCCGCAGCAATTACTTTTTGGGCAATCAGATAGAGGCCACGAAAGAAGAAAATAAGGTGCTAGTGAGTTAAAGCAATCAGGTTTAACTATGACCATTTTTCGGTGTCTCAGTCCCGCAACCGACCTAGCCGATGTTCGCCATCCATACTCCCCAATGAAGTAAATTGGCAATGGACTAGGTGTAAAAAAAATGTTCTTAGTCTTCGGTGGCAGTCCCGAAGTCTACGAATACTGTAAAACAAGAATGACTGATTCGAATTAAGAAGGCTTAGCTGGGGTTGGTGGAGCTATTAATATATTATTTAGCTATTTTAGGGATGAGCATTAAAGACCCGAGGTATATTACTTTTGGATTTGCACGACGTTGATTTGTCAAGGAATAAGCGTCAAAGTGAGGGCATATAGTGATCCACAACATTTCGCAGTGATGAATTTAAAATATATTCAAGATCGACGTAGCAATCGTCGAGATTTCTAAGATCGTGCAGAACGCTTGACCTATTTAAGTAATGGCGGCAAAATAATCCAAGCAAAAAGCATCTTTAATAAGCGGTGTTGTAGAGTGTTGTTTGTCATCGGTCAAATCGAATCAATCTCGCGGTTAACCTTATTCCACAAAGCAATTCATGGTGATGGCGGCCTGGCCTTCCCTAGCCTCCCACGCAGACGTTTTTAGGGGAGCTCGTTTTTTATCCCTCCCCACAAACGCCTGCTCAACCGAAAACAGCATTCCTTTCCCATTGTTTTATTTGCGTGGTAAGTGACCAATCAACAGGATCAACCGTTGTGCAATAAAGTGTTGACAGGCTAAATGAGACTAAAACGTGACCCTAGAGTCACCGTTTTCCTTTCCCATTGTTTTATTTGCGTGGTAAGTGACCAATCAACAGGATCAACCGTTGTGCAATAAAGTGTTGACAGGCTAAATGAGACTAAAACGTGACCCTAGAGTCACCGTTTTCCTTCTTTTCTTTCCTTCGCTAAGGTTATGCAGTGTATGGAGTATTCTAAAATTTGACTAAATCTCGTTTTTGCCGCTATGAATCTAACATTTATTAGAGGTCCACGAAGCTTTCCCAGTGTTTCATGCAGATCGAGTAATTATCAGATTACCCTGCGGTCAAGGTCAAATTTCCAGAATTTGGAAAGTACAATGTGATTGGCTAAGCATGGGAAAGGAATGTTGTCTTCAATTGAGCAGGCGTTTGTGGGGAGGGATGAAAAACGAGCTTCCCTAAAAAAGCCTGCGTGGGAGGCTAGGCCTTCTAAGACTAAGTTATGAAGCGCAGAAGACATTTAAGGAACTCTATCCAGAACAAGTTTATTGAACTGCTGCCAAATACTGAGACTTAATAAGAATAGTTATTTTTGTAGAACTGCCAAGAACTGGAATGCATTACCAAGCGAAATTGTTAACATTGAGTCCGCAGATCGTTTCAAAAAAGTGTTATTTGAGTATTTTAGGCAATGATAAATTTTAATATTGCATAATGATTGATGCTGTGGAATTAATTATCCATTATTTCTTTTGTAGAAATTTTTTTAACGTCATTACTTTTAATTTTATTTCATTTTATTTAGGCATCTTGCGTGATAGTAACCCCGTTGCAGGACTACAAATGTTTGAATAAAGGTTAACTTTAACAAGTGCGGGCGAAGCAACCTCGGGCGAATCCACTTTAGGGCAAAACGACCCCGTAATTTAGATGTACTATTGAAAATAATTGTTACGTTGAAGTGAATGATGCTGTATTTAAGATGTAATGTGAATAAATAACTTTGACCAGTTGCAAAATACATTAATGATGTTGATCCCTTGTTCGAAAACTCCTAGTTTAAAGAAGGCATAAAATGATGAAACTTGAAATACAATGGAATCTCACGAATATCACTCGAACCTTTAGATAACAAACCTTTATTTAAACATTGGCTGCCTTGGCTTTTGCGTGTAGATACAGCAAAAACCCGCAAGTAAGAACCTGACAATCAAGAACCTGTTACCCTAAAATTTGCCACTTATACCCCCTATAAACAAGAACCTGTTTAGCCTAGAAAATTAAAAACAGGTTCTTTTTATTGATACCCTGGGTGCCAGAGACTTTTCTAGCGCGATTAGTGAAATGTAGTTGCAAAGCTGTGCAAGAATCCTGTTTGGAGAATTAAGAGCTTGGCATTGCTGTGCAAATAAAAGTGCTACTTTATTGATGTAATAAAACAATAGAGTGCAAGAGGTTAATATTGTTGTATCGCATTTTGAAATTGAAAAATAGGCTGATAATTACCATCTTGTTTTGTAGCTTTTTTTTGAATAAGAACCTATTTAAGAACCTATATAGCCGAAAATTGTGTTATAAGAACCTGTCTAGGCTAACTCCAGAAAATGTAGGTTCTTACTCGCGGGTTTTTACTGTATGCTTTAATTGCGCTGACAGGGAAATGCCAAAATGGCAAGGGAAGCGGAAACTTTTCGGAGTTATAGCAAATTTGGTAAAATCGGCAAACGGCTTTGTTTTAAGTGATCACGAACACGAGGAAAGTGAACTGATTACATTAGGAGACAGATCATTCCAGGTCGCAGCTCCGGCACGCTGGAATGTATTACCGCGTGAGATTCGTTCTATTACAGATCTAGGGATTTTTAAGTGCCATCTGAAAACGCACCTCTTTAGGGAAGCTTTTTATTAATTTTTATCACGATAATTACTAGTATCTTAACATATGTTGTGTATTTTAATTTTATCATAAGATATTTTAAATATTTATGAGTTAGATACCCTGTATTAAATTATTATAGATAGAAATCATGTAATGCGCGCTTGAACATTTCATGGAAAGCGCGCAATATAAGAATTAAATTATTGTTATTATTATTATTATTATTATTATTAACATGACGCAGAACTGCGAGAAATCGCAAGTAACGCGAAAAATCGTCAAACTTGTGATTTTTCGCAGTTATCGCAAATATTTTTAAAGCCGCAGCTCGGTCTGGTTAAGAACTGCGAAAAATCGCAAGTAACACAAAAAATCGTCAGACTTACGATTTTTCGCAATTTTCGCAAATTTTGTCAAATCGACAACTCGCTCTGGACTTCAGTGATTATTAACATGACAAAGAACTGCGAAAAATCGCAATTAAATCCACAGCTCGGTCTGGTTAAGTGTTATTAGCATGACAAAGAACTGCGGAAAATCGCAACTAGCGCGAAAAATCGTCAGACTTGCGATTTTTTGCAACACACGAAAAATCGCTATTTTGGCTGCTGCGTGCAATCCTGGACATAAGTGCTGACAAAACAAATCACTTTCAATCAATTTGTAACTTGATCTTTTCTCGAAAACTAACCGCTTAAATTAGATAGTCCCTCTCTGATAAGCCTCCTCCTCCCCCTCCTCCTTCCCCCATCCCCACCCCACCCACCTTTAAAAGTGGTTGGGTATTGCAAGGTTACATAACATCTCTTTGAGAATGGAATTCTACATTATTGCATTTCTGACGTAAAAACCTTTATTATCGTCTGGCTTTTTTAAAAAGTTAGCGGTGACAGAAAGCCGCAGCTGAGAGTTCTAGCTACAGGGCAGCAATCATTTTGAGTTAAATTAAAGTTCAATTAATTACCTTCCAGGCAAATTGATATCTCTTCTAGTTTCTGTTACCTCCGTGATTACATTTCTGAAATAAATCGAATTTAAGGTATATCAGAATCAAACAAAACCCCAGGATTCATCTTTTACTAATGGATGGGTTTATCTTAGGGCCCATGTAAACGCAAACCAGGGGCGGATCCAGGATTTTTGCAAAGAGGGGGTTGTTGCCCCCGCAGGGATTTCGCCCAGAAGGCGAAATCCCGAGGAGGCACTCTAGTAACTCGCGCGTATATTAAGGAGAGTACTTACAGTTGAAACATACAGTCACAGTCAATATAGCAAAAATCTCGATATGCTTGAACAGGGGCCTCGAGGAATCGGTGGAAATGATGACGTTTCTATTGTTTGCGCCCGCAAGTACGAAATGGTTAGGATGACGTAAAACACAAAAAATCCCGAAGGAACAGTTTGCAATAGGTAGATTTTGTGACATTAATTGTGTACTCATACTTCGATACTCTTTTGCGTTACGTGTTATCAGTGACATTCTGTGGAGCAGTTGTTTTGAAAGTTATGGACCAAAAGACACTCGTTAAGCGCAGATGAAGTTATAAGGTGCGTATAACTGGGTGTGTATAAACACTTGCACGGTTTGCCAGACACCAGTTCACAAATCTTTGATTGGAAACCTTGCCAGACACTCTTTCTCTCTCTTTGACCGGTAAGACTCAGCCCCAAACAAGCAAGACGAGTGAACAACGGCTAGCTTATCACTAGCAGAAGGATGGACGATTACAGAAATTCGCCGACAATCAAATTCTATGCTGACTTATTCCCTGCTCACAGATGTCCTTCCGCTGTAAAGTTTAAAATAAGACTAGAATGCGTGAGCGTGAATTGTTCAAACGTCCTTTTAATTACTTTCCGGCAAATAAAATGAACTGAATGTAAACAGTGAAAGAGAAATAGCGAAAAATTCAACTTCTAATTAAATCTTTTCTTATGGTTTAGAATAAAATATTCTCGAAACTGAGAATGTTTTGATCAAAGCTATGTAAATCGAACTGAAACTGTGCATGGAACGTAGCGTTTCCTGTATTTATCTCACCTATTGTAAGGAATATGTGTGAAAATCTTCATTATGAATCGGTATATTTCAAAGAGCTACACAACGAGCAAGAATACTATTGACCGACAATATACAGAGCGGGGACAGCTGTAGTGTCAACTATTACAAGTAAGTATGAGAGTTCAAGGCAAACGTCCCAGGGCCAAAGAAATGGGGGAGGGGGAGGGGTGGATAATGTTTGAATATGTAGATTTTCTTCATTTTAACTTCAGAGGAATAAATTTGTCAAATTTGGGACACAATCATGGGATTAAGGACTAAGAGTACAGTGCAACAACGATAGTTGTTTGTCTCTTGCCTACCCGCCTATTTAATCAAACAGACTATCTTGAAAGGGCCTTCTTGGATGAACTTTTACAAAGGCTTGCTGGTATATCTCGTCTACCTCTACCTCGAATCTCTGGAGGTAGTGCGTGGCGATCACTGCGAGGTCAGAGAATCGCTCTTTGGGCATTGTTGACCTAGAGCAGGTCTTGATTCATTTCATCAGTGAAAACGATCGCTTAGCTTCTGCGTTTGTGATCAATAGGGTGCAGGCAATGACCAGAAGACGATAGATGTTTGGGAAAGTATCTTCATCGCAAGCACCAAGTGCTAATAAAAGGTTGTTTGGAAGCTCCCTATCTGTTGACTACCAGAGTGTTTTCCATCTAAGTACCTCAATTCCAAGGGATTTGGGAAATGGATTGTCTTTCTCCCAGAACAGCATGCCTTCTACTTCATCATCCAGCTGCAGTGCCTTATTCACTATAATCGATGGCACTAGACAAAGCAAATTGCGGGCGCGGCGATCTTCGCCAAAAATCGATCTTGCATTTGGATGATTAAGCAGTCAAGAAGAGGAATAGCTACAGTCTTCTTGTAATGATCGATTGAACTGGAACTTATATTATAACTCATAATATTATTTTTGGTATGAAAAAAAGGGATAGACATGGGTAGCCAGAAAAATGTGAAAACTTCCCAAAGGGGGCGTTGCAAACTTGCTGGCCAACAACGTCCAACATTTTTGGGCCCAACATGTGGCGTGCCTTTGAACACGTTGTCGCCTTCAAGTTGGTTGCCTATGTTAGATGTGGTTGAGTGAGGTTTGAAATACTTTTAACTTAACGTGGAGCCGGCAATTCCCAACAATACTTTTTTGTCTCATAAATCACTAACGCGGCGATATGTTCATGGCAACCATTCCAAATATAGAGAATCAAAGCAATATATATCAGCTGAAGGTATATCTTTGGACAGAAATATTGTTTTAATTTTCTATATTTATGACGATTATCAAGAACGTAAGAACGTGATAGCATTGAACCATAGCTCAATAACATGGCATGCGGACCAAAAAGGGCCGTTGATCTTAATAAGGTTTCAAAATAAGAATATATGAGGGTTTTTTTTTCCTAAAGCAACGAAGTCGAAAGTGCGTTTTCAAATTATTCCGGAAAAATACACGTTGCGTGATTTAAGACACGCACAAACCAAACTAACCTAACCAAGATTTTATTCAGTGATAAGACAGGAGTGCTGAATTGGTTATAAGAAAATCACTTAATGGTTTCTTGACCACAAAAAACACAATCGTCTTTTTTATATAGCGGCCTCAAAACAAATAGAGAAATGACTGCATTGGGTCGAAAGCTTATATAAGCATTGCTTACTCCAAACAGATGATTAATTGTGTAAAAAGTGTACATATACGAAAATGAGCTTAGTCTGTCGCTGATTGACCTTCCATTGGGCGTCATAGCTGAAGTTCGCGAGAACACAGCTTCTGAAATTACTAAGTAGGTCTTCTATCACGAATTGTTGATCTCAATATAAGCTATTAAAAGACTAAAATGTACTACATCTTCACGTTATTTTGTTTCCTTTTTATAAAAAATAGATTGACAAAGGGAGAGGTGGGGATAGTTTTTCGTTGCTCGCATTTTCAAGCGATTAGTCGATGAATCAATTCACGAGCTAACAGTACTTTCGCGTTCCTCGCTCGAATTCAGTCACCGCGCGCATAGCCTGTGTACAGACGTCCCCCCTCCCTCAGGAAAAATCGGGAGAGGAGATCGTCCGTGAATCGCCGTCGTTAATCGTGTTCCGGTATACATTTGCATACATTATTTTTTTGTTTTTTCGCTGACAGTTGAAAAGGCACGTGTAGGTCGAAAAATGGTTCTGGCGTCTATGCACAGGCTAGCCGAACATCTTCACGCAATGTCCACCCAAAAATCCAGATATAAGATCTCTGATTACAGTCAAGCCAGGTCAAGCGTACCTCCCAAGATTCCATTAATGTATTTATTATTCGAAAGTTGAACCGTTGGTAGTTGCAGATCTCAGATTCATCTCTGCGTGCATTCTTGCATGCGTAATGAGCCGTGAATTCGCACGCGATTCAGTTACGAAATTTCTACCAGCTCAGTTTCCCTGAATTTGATGTAACTCAGTCTTCTAATATATTTAATCCATTCAAAGATTTTAAATCTAACCAAATGCAGAGAAGTTCTCTTAAAATATTCACTGCTCATTACGCATACAGGAATGCCGATTTAAATTTGACACCAGTTATGGGAACGACTAACGGATTCATTTTTTCAAGTAATCAATTCATTAATAGAATCTTTTTGGGGTAGGCTTGACCTGCCTTGGTTGTTTACGTTGGATTTTGTATGCCTTCTCTTTTATTTACAATACCGACCGGTACAGACAGACGCACCCGCAACCGGTGCAGCAAACATCAGTGGTCTTAACACTTCTCATGCCTTCTCATGCCTTTTCGAGAGAGCCGAAATACAAATACCGGTAAACAAATATGAATGTCCACAAAGGCTGAGCTTTTCCCCGGGGAATGTATTCTGAGGTTCATTCACCAATCACAACACTGGAAATTATTTGCGTCACGGCATTAACATTACAACCAATCAGGGGAACACGATTATCGTCGGCGATTCACAGACGTCTCCTCTCCCGATTTTTCCTGAGGGAGGGGGGACGTCTGTACACAAGCTTCGCGCGCACAAAACCGCTAGTTTCGGAATCAATATTTATTATCATGTTAGACTAAAAAGGCTGATCATAATTTTAAAATATGAAATTTTGGACGCTTTTCAGCAGAACAGAAGACCAACAAAAAGAGCTCCGCGACAACTCAATTTATACTCTGAGACAAACCTCTCGTTCCTATAGATCTGGAAGCCTTTTGCGGAGATTAGAGACCTACCCTTGCTCATCAGGAGCTAATACTGTCTTTCTCGCCAGTTCAACGCCTCCTATGACGGTACGCTCTTCTTTAACCGCTAACATGGCTCCGATAGGTGTTCTTTCTCCGTCGAAGTCAGTTTTCTGTCCACTTGTGTGAAATTGCGTGACAGCTTTGTACAATTGATGACTCAATCCTTTCCGGTCGCATCAATGCTTGGTAGAAAATATGTAGATTAACTAACCTCTCAGTGCAAAAATACATTCTTCCTTGATGTTTTAACTTGCATACTAAACTCAGGGGACGACAAATAAACGCGTTCTCCTCCACGCTTTTAGAAGTAGTTATTTTCCCCTCCGTTCTCTTATTGTATTCCATCTTTGCTAAGGAAGCAGTGTGATCTCCAAAATAACAATTAGGAGAAGCGTGGAGGACACGCGCTTCTTTTTCGTCGTCTGAGTTTAGCCTTTTTAGTATTTAGGTAAAGTTCTCTTCAGTACTTAACTAGACTATAACAGAGAAATGAAAACAAATTTGACTTGGATCAGGTGATCTCAATGTGGCGCGAGCTCGAGGGCGCGAAGTGAAATTATTGCAGACTGCTTTGAAGTAATAAAACAATAACTAGGTTTATAACTTATTTTATTAAGCTTGTGGAAACGATTTAGCTCACAGCCAAAGTTTTTTGAAGTATTCTAACGGAAAGAGATTAAAATCACCGGCGACTTCTCTCAGACTGAAGTTTTACTACGCACGCGAGCTCAATGCAAACGATCACTTTCTAAATATGGTATTTGAATTAAGGAACATTCACGAGCATCGGTCAAAACGTTATACTTTTCAGCCCCTTATGAATTTCTGTTAAATATCATTTAAAAAATCCATCTTTTTGGCTAAAGGTACTGAATCTTGACGGTAATTGGACTTTTTATTTCATACATCAAGCGTCTGATACCGGCAAAGTGAACATTGCCTTCGACTTCCATAATCAATCGATCAACTAACTGAGGTAGTCAAGTAACACTTCCGCGTTCCTCTAAACTCAGGCAGCATACCAGATAGTTATAACAAAACATTAAAAAACCTCAGTGGATAAACCGATCTAAGCATTTAACATCTAATGCTTGGTTTTTAAGCTATTTACAGTTATACCTGGACACTATCTGACTAATTTAGTTCAATATCTTACGCATTTTTAGTATAAAAGATGACCATCACGCGGAGCTCCAAACGTACTCAATGCGAGGGCACAAACTTAAATAAATCTTGTTCTTTTGAATAAGAAGGCGAACGAAACACTTCTGTCGTGGTGATCAGGCTTACCTTGCACTATAGCAGCTACCTGACTGTCTTGCTCGCCAATTCAAAGCCCCGGGTTCAAAGCCCCCTACAGTGTATAACATTACCTATACGTTAGCTTCACCAAGTTGTTGGTCCAACAGCACAAGTGACTTGCTCACCGGTTTTTAGTTTCCAGTCTTCTTACTTGACACCCCCACCCCCTCCCCCTCCCCCCATTCCGCTGACGTTTTAAGCCTTTCGGTTTCTCGGTTTAGGAGAGCGTATGCTACTTGCGACTTGTTTCGTAATAATCGCTGCTTCAAACCATGTCAGATACTGGAAATGTGAACTGCCCTTGCCTTAGATGAATGAGTTGTATCTAATGAATATTCCAAATTCATAGATAGACGTAAGCTCATTCTACTTCTCCTAAGTTGGTGTGCGCTCTACGATTGCGATGCATTGTGGATTCAAAATTTTCAAGATGGCGGCGAAGGTCGAGAAATTTCGCAGGTTATATGCTTTATTTTTCAATAGATACAGTTCTTTCCTTAGATCGTTTTTCTCGATTTCATAAGCTAATATTTGTTTAGATTTTTTCTGTGTAGAAAAACAAATCAATATTCTTCATTTCAATCTAAAACGTGGAGCCCGAAGATTCCTCTTGGAAGAGCATGAAATTTGAACCCGGTTTTTAAGAAGCTATAATTTCCATTATTTTGCCCGTCGAAAGTAGAAGATAGTTGTAAGTGTTTCTACAAACCTTGTTCTACGCTAATTTTTTATCGCTCCCCAACGCACCCCACGTTTTGTGATGCTTTTTCCGAATTGAAACCGGCATGTTTTCATGGGAAATTATAGCCTCGCGAACACCAATGTGACATGTTACTGGAAGTGTTACTGTTGTAATCACAAGCTGAACACAAAATAGCGGGGCAGCAGCTACTGGTTCCTCCAAACAATAGCATTAGGTGAGCATAAAATGTTCGAAATTGGTATATAAATAGGCTGATGAGTACTCTGATGTAGGAATGTCTGTTTTTGTAACTTAGGACTAAAAAAAGCATAATAAAATTGCAGTCATACATGTGATTCCCTTTATGCAGGTATAAAATCAGTAGGATAAGAATTACAGGTATTAAATTAAATTATAGGTTTGATTATACGGTTAAGCCCTGAGCATTTCCTTTATGAAAAATGGTTTTTGGGAGAACTGCAAGAATAGTGCAGTGTAGAAGAAGAGTTTCATAACATCCACCAAGCTTGCACTTTACTTTTGTCGTGTACCCAGTGCAGCGGACACGGAATGTTGTGCACTGGAGATTAGGAAGTGTCAACCACAGTATAGAATTCAACAGCACAAGTTGACTCAACAGCATTTAATTTGAACACCAACTCGTCTGAATTATTGTACACATGCGGTGAAAACTAAAAGGGGAAATTACAATGTACAAGATCAAAAAAGGGGATAAGACTAATTAAAAAAGAAGCAAAATTGAAAGGAAAACGAAAACTAAATACAATAAGCTGAAACTTACGTCTGATCCTGTCTAAAGGGCTAAAGAAACTCCAACGTTACGTAACTCCGAAAAAGATAAAACTGCTCTGAAAACTCTAATGTTGCTCCGTATTAACTCAGAGGCCATGAGGGCGAGAGGAATAATTGTTTTAGTAAAATCCAACTAGTTCGTCAAAAATATCGAGAAAAAAAATTTAGCTAGTTAAAGCTAGACTTTAATCCTTTTTTGCCACCAAAAATCCCGCGCTTTTCGCTACCAAGGGGCTATAACATATAGTCTAGTAGTAGCTTCAATCAGAACGCATGCAGCATTGATAATAGACCATTAGTTGGATATACCGTGAAATCTCGTGAAATACATCGACGTAGCATGAGATAACAAGAGATAATGTATGGTACCGTCACCTAGCATGAGTATAGTGCGATCCAAACGTCACCGTAGCCCTTTGGCGACCCGTTTTACAAAATCGTCTTTATCTAACGAGGGTATAAGAAACTTGACAGCGTTGCAAATGACACCTCAATCAAAAGTGTGGTTTCTGGAGATTGAGCACAAGATGAGCTTCCTTTATAGTAACTAATTGTTTCATGTCGAGTACTTACCCTTTCCTCCTATTTCGTACCACTCGTAACCACTTTCACACTTGAAACAACATTTCACCCAGCTAAACTCTTTTGGTGGTGGAGAATTTGGTAAAATGACCGGTGGGCTAGGTAGAACCGGGGGTGGGCTGAAAGTGGCCAAAAACAAGATTTATGTTAAGAGGGAGTTTGATTGATTTGTTATCGGTAAAGAGAGTGAATAAAGTTTGGAATAAAAAATACGCGATGTGACAATACACTATACAATGCAAAACCCAGGGCCGAGTTGTTCAAAGCTTTGTTAACATAACTCAGGGTTTGTGCGAGATTTCAATTCAGATTTGAAAGCTTAAAAAGCATTTCAGTTCTAATTCTTTTTGTCTACAGGTTGATGATTGGAAGCTCTAAAAATATCAGAGAAAATTATCCAAGAAAATGCTTTTGAGCACAAGAAAAAAAAGAAACCAGGGTTAAATTTAACCCCAGGTTAAGCGCTAATCGGCCTTCGAACAACTGGGCCCAGAACTTTTTTTAAATATACACATCAAAATAATGTATAAACGAGATTAAGCGAGTAAAAGCGAACAAAAGCATATAAATTCTAGAAAGTTAATTGGGTGGTTTAATGGTTTAGGTCTCAAGATAAGTCTATGTAATAGACTGACTGTTAAAGCACTTTTCAATTGAGTGTCGAAAGTAATCCGGGATTGAATTGGTTTTGCTTTACTGTGCTGTTTGATTGGTCTAGAAAACTCGCGCCACCCTCTCAGCCAATCAGATGCAAACTAAAACCAATCTTTACTTGGTCACTCGCGTTTCCCCACGCTACAGGCCGGTTAAACGCGTTTACTTCGAGTTGTCATTGGCTCCGTCTTATAATTTCCTTTATTCTGATTGGCCGTTGTGATTGCTTTGGTTTTGGTTTTCGACACTCAATTGAAAAGCGCTCTAATGGTTAGGTCTTAAGATAAGGGTATGTAATAGACTGACTGTTATAGTGTTGAATACATGTGAAGATGTTGATCATGAATTCATTTGCTACAAAATTTGATAAAATAACGGAGATCTCACCACGGCTGTGTTACTAAAGGAACACTGAAAAGAAAACAAGGAAAACAATTTGTAAAATTCTTCTGTGAAAAAGCAACAAAAATGCTCAACCTTAATTTCATAATTATTCTATGAAGCCTCTCTCACCCCCCTCCCCATTCAGCTCTCATTTTTGAATAATCCAAAATTATTAAGCCTCCACCCACCCCCCATTATACGCTATGCGAAATTTGTTCAAAACTATTTAATGATGATCTGTGAATGTTAAATTTAATATTTCCCAGACCCACTGGTATCAGGATTACTCTCTGACAAAACAAATCTCTTTTTTAACGGAGTTCAATATTCGTAATAAAGTTGAGATGAGATGACATTTATTAACTTGATTAATTCATTTATTAACCATTTCAGACCCAGTTGAGGTACTCCAGACTTAACTTTAAGCAAACAAGTCTTAACTGCATGTTTTTGTTTCATAATAACTCAAGCGAAAATACGTTTATCGCAACCGTTACGAATACTGTTGTGAAGAAACCAGTCAAGGGTTTATCAATTGTTTGCAGTCATCGTGTGAGTCTTGTGATTCAAGGGCCTGCAAAGCTGCACACATGCGTGGTTTTAGCCTTCGAGTGGTTTGTCCTTGGCCGTTATTACGGGTTTATTTTCGAACAATAACTTTCTTCAGGGGCACCCAACGAGGATATAGTTCAAAACCACTTAACATAGCATTGTTGAACGTATTCTAGTATTTAAACGGTAGATATAGGCATATTTTTATCCCCTAAAAACTTTTCATCTGTTCGGATTTCCTAGCTGAAAGTCTAGTGATCCGAAAATTCAGGGGCACCCAATGGATCTGTTCTTCAAAATATCTGTTCTTCAGGCACATTTTTGCTGGCTGGGAGCTGTGGAAGAAATAATAGTCCTTGGAAGGAAAGTGTTGCCGGGAAAAAGATAATTCAGGGTGTCAGAGGGGATTTAAAGTCTAGAATAGCTGCTACGGGTTACTTGTATGGGTTACTTGCCACTCAAGATCTGAATTGTGCCCTACGAAACTTCCCAGTAAGTCAGGTTGCAGGTTGTAAGGTTGCTGGCTGGGAACTCTTCCATCAGTCTTGCTGGGAGTGAGGAACAGATAATTTTTTTCCAGCAATCTCCCAAAATGCTTAAAATAGTCTCAGAAAACTTTATTCACGCTTTGTTGTTGTTTTTAGGTCTTTTTCTCAAAATTTCCCTTTGGGTGCCCCTGAAAATTATAGGGATCAAAACTTACCTTTTCGAAAATTTCAGCCAGGAAAAGGCTCCCGAAAATTCTAGGTGGCCTTTTTTAGGGTAAATATCCGTTTAAAATGGGTAATTATACCATTTTGTAGATGTTCGAAAATCCTAGGAGAGGCAGACAAGCAAGAAATTTTAAAACAAATGTTCCGAAGATTCTAGTTCTCAAATCGTCTTCCGAACAGATATTTTCCCGAAAATTGTCGTTGGGTGCCCCTGTTTCTTTAGTGGTCTCTTGGGTTTGTCGATATCTACCGACCTAAAGTTCTTGTTTAGGCTTCAGTACTCTAAGATCGACTTTGTTGTTTACTACCAGATTCTCGAGGTCAAACGGCCCGTAAGCCCACACATGTCTGTCAGTAGGCTGTGTGAGAACATGTCCTAGTGCTAGTAGGTAGTTAAATCAGAGACATGAGTTGAATTAGAGAACTGATGTGATCCAGAGAGATGGATTAGAGAGACGATTTAGCGGATAGTTGTAGAAAAAAAAACTTGAAAATAAAGTCTTCGTTATTCAGGCTCTTGGTGCCTCCTGTTTGCGCTTGGTAGCTCCGGCTACTTTCCCCAACAGTCCCACAAGACTGGTGGAAGATCAGGGGAATGTACCCCAACAGTCCATCATGATGGAAAATCGAAGCAATAAAAACAAACCACAGGTATTTCTTGCGACAGAAATAATGTTTTAATTTTCTATATTTATGAAAGTTATCAAGAACGTGTTACCACTGAAGCGTAGCCCAACAACATCGCTTGCGCACCAAAAAGTGGTCGTTGGTCTTTAGTTAATAACAAGATGGTAGGATTAACGAGGTTCCAAAATGAGGATATGACTCAGCCTTCTCTTTTTAGAGCAGTTTCCGAAGTTTTTCTTTTCTTAAAGCAACGAAGTCGAACGTGGGTTATCAAATTATTCCAGAAATTTAAGACACGCACAAAGCAAACCAACGCAACCAAGATTTTATTCAGTGACAAGAGACAGGAGTGCTGAATTGGTTATAAGAAAATCACTTCATGGTTTCTTGACCACAAAAAACACAATCGTCTTTTTTATATACCCTCAAAACAAAAAAATTAACGACTGCTTTGCGTCAAAAGCTTAAACGTTGCGTACGCCAAACAAACGATTAATTGTGATAAAAGTATACAAAAGGTCCTGAAGGAAAATGAGCTGAGTCCCGTCGCTGATTGGCTATTGATTGGACGTCAAAACTGAGGTGCGCGAGAACATAATTTCTGAACTTACTAAATAGGTCTTCTAGGACGAATTATCGATCGTAATACAAGCTATTAAGACTGCAGTTTACTGAATCTAAAGCTATTTTGTTCGTTTTTTGTGAACAATAGTTTGACAAAGGTGAGATGGTATAGTTTTTCGCCGCTCGTAATATCATGCAATTAATAGATGAATTAATTCATGAGGTAACAATACTTCCGCTTCTCTCGGTCGAATTCAGTCACCGCACGCACAAGACCGGTAGTTTCAGAATCAATAGCTAGTATCATGTTAGGCTTAAAAAGCTGATCATATATTTACCAAGATGACGTTTTCAGTCTCAGTTGAAATATTGGACGCTTTTCAGCAGAATAGAAGACAAAAAGAGCTCCACGTGAACTCAATTTAGATTCATATTCTATTACTAATCTTACGTTCCTATGGATTTGAAAGAGTTTCCTGGAGGTTTGGAGACTTACCCTTGGTTATCAGCAGCCACTACTGTCTTTCTCGCCAATTCAACGCCTCCTATAAAGGTACGCTCTTCCTTAACCGCCAACATGGTTACGATAGGTGTTCTGTTGGTTTGTTAAAACTCTCTCCTGGTATCAGTTTTCTACTCACCAGGCTCCCTACTGATTTTGAAATCCTCAGTTCTTCTCACTCCTTTCTTCCTTACGTGCCTTTCTTACTACAGAAAACCTTCTGATCTAATTGCAGTTCTACAATTAACGAACACTCCCGCATGCATAATTACTGATCGAGTCAAAAACCCGAGAACACTTTGATCTGAACTAGACAGGTTAATTGAGCATCCACCAATAACATGCGAGACTAAACCACACAAGAATTGCAAGAAAACCAGGCGAACAATCAAAAGCGATCGGTCATAAAACTATATGCCTTGCTGAAATTTCTGTCGTCTGCCGCCGATATATAGACTAAGTGAATTTTCTTTTTCCTAGTCCAGCTAACCTACGGAAAGAAAACCTAACATGTGAATTGTGCATGCTTTAAAATCAAAAAGCAATTAATTAGTCACTTAAATGTAAGAGGTATCGTAAGAACGATATAGAAAGGTCACTGCAAGAGGTCAACTTTGACTAAGGACAATCAGCTTTTAAACCACAAAAACGAAAAATGCAGAGATACTATTGCCTTTTGTTACACATGCCACCCTGCAGTAAAAAAGGTTAAAAACCGTGATGGAAAACTGGAGTGTGATAGAAAATCGGGTCATCAGATGTTTGCAAAGTATTCAAAAAACTTTACTAGTACTAGTCTCTAAGACATGCTTGTAAGAGTAACACTAGTTTGAAGGCTTTGACAATGGGGCGCAACCAAAAAAACACAATGGGAGTCCGTGCAAGCCTGTCTTTGATTTCCTTACAAAGTTTTTTTGTTCCGAATTCCGTTGGAAATACGCTACAATCTGAACAGCTTTAGCTCCAAATCGGTCGTGCAAATTTCATTGCAGGCTCCTCCCCGGCCAAAAAATTCCGTCAGGTGTTTCTTGACGGCTGCTACGCTGGATTGTTTTGAAAGGTCAAAAGTGACCCTATGCCTTTCGAAAGCAAAATGGTCCCCACTGATCGATGAGTGCTCTCCAGGTTTCCCAGAATACTGGTTGCATACGTGTCGAAAAAAGAGACTCCAGTCCCTTTGAGCACAGGCTCAAAGTTTATGAGTGATTTTATGACCGATTTTCCAAGAGCAGATAAGAATTGACAATGCTGAAAAACTATGTTTTATTATATACATACTGAGAAATACTCACCAAAAAGCTATGTCGTAAATTTTCGTACGCAAATTAGTTCTAGCCAATCAGAGGAGCGAACGATGGTTTTCACACGTGAAAAAAACGATACGTCCAATCAGAATCGCGAACGATGTTTTTTCACGTGTGAGAAAAATGATACGTCCAATCAGAAGCCACAGAGGTGTGCGAGTTTCGCGCCAAAATTCCCGCCTTTTATTGCAGCTTGCAGCGCCGCTTCGCACACATTCAACGAGAAAAGTTTTACTCAAGGAGTTTTTCTCGCTAAAAAAGTGAAAAACATTTCGGAAATGGAGTGGAATAGTTTCGTTTGTTTCACTGTCGATAAAAAAAATACGGTAGAGAGCCGGCGAAACAACAGTGGAAAGGGATAAACAGAACGAGACGTAAGCTTTTGTTGTGCTTTTTGTCGGAGCTACTTTGCCTTTCATTTAAGCTTAAGCTTATATTGAAACCGGCCATTTTACTTAAATTCACTCATTTTCAATTGTGCATTGAGAACAAACAGTTAAGATTACTTATAGTTCTTGGATTACCTCACCGTCATTTATGTTTTTAACAAACGTTTTTACTAAAAAGCTGATACTTCGTTTTCGTTGTCATTTTGCGGTAACTGTGTAGCGGCAAATTTTAGCATTTTTGAAAGATTTAAAATAAAAAGGCCCGCAAAATGATGAATGACTCAGTATGTATATAATAAACACAATACCACATGGAAAGTGCTTTGTACGGTATTTACGCACTCGTTGTTTTTGTATCAGAAATCTTACTCGTTCGCTGCGCTCACTCGTTCGATTTCTGATACGTCAACAACTCGTGCGTAAATACCGTACGCCAGCACTTTCCATGAAGTATTCTCTATACACTAAACCCCATTCAGACCCTCGTCTCCCTGATGTTCTGGGTTGAAGCAATTCAGTTGTTTTGCCCTTGTGGCCATTTCATGCAATCCCTTCGCTCCAGTAAATACAACTGTTCATCATTTCAAATTCAGCTAAGCAAAATGAAAAGTTTCAGCTGAAGCTTCGAGCTCTTTCTTTCGCAATTGTCATGTTGAAAAGGTACACGATGTCATACGCCACAATTATGCGGGATTTTATCCAACAGTTGACTTTCTAATCCTACTTTTTGCTCTAAAATCGAAAGCATTCGTGTAATTTCCACCTCTCCGCACTATTTCAGTTTGTGGGGCTTTGATGATCTGACATTTTGACAGCTTTTGTCTCATTCAACCAATCAAATCATTTACACCATTCTAACAGGAGTTCTGATTGGCTTAATTTAGCGTGCTTAATTTAGCTGACGCCCCTTTTTTGTCGCTTTGAAAATAAAGTTTGTTTTGAAAATGGAAAGGAATGCGTGGGGAATTAAACGGATTCTTTACTATAAAACAAATAAAGAAGCTTTGACTGTGCTTTGTTCTGTTATAAAGCACTTAGGAAGCGGCTAGAGCACTCAAGAAGTAGGGAGAAACACTCCACTAGGTCTTGTGTTTCTGCCTACACTTCTTTCGTGCTCTAGCCGTAATTTAGGGACATCCAGTATCGGCAACGGCTGCTTCCAGAGCCCCTCGTTTCAAGACCATGTGACCAAGAAACGACGAGCTCTGGGGACGAGAATGGGCACCACATCACGCGAAAGCCCGACAAAAAACACGCATGCGCGCACGATTTGAGCTTTCAGTCTTCAAGCACCACGTGACCAAGAAACGACGGTCTCTGGGGACGAGAGTGACCTTAGCCTGGCACGGACCCAGGGCTTCCCGGACTTCCTCCATGGTCATGGTGGCTGGTAATAAAACCAGTACATGCCAATTTAATACACAGCCCTCTTATCTTATTCAAACCATACATTTTGTACCCTGGCTCTAGACTGAGGTCGTTCTCGAAATGAGATGGTAAAAGCCCCTTAGAACTTTGGATATAACTGTTGCCTTTAGTTTCTGTAACATGAGTTGCTCTGGGTTGCGACATATTAACTATAAGTAGTTATGTAACTGACGTGTCTGGTAAGCAAATTAACACTGTCGCCCTGCAGTTTTGAAATCAAAGGATAACACATCCACACGAAAAACAATAACTGAGAAAGGACGGTCAAGAGGTGAGTCTCTGGCCTCAGAGTTAATGGATATTTCAAATCATACTTTTTAGATGTACGTATGGCCAGTATACAGCCGTCAAACGTTTCATGCATGCAACATTTCTATTCATCTCGCGTTTGTTTTGGATCACACCGCCATGTACGCCTCCATAGTCTTGGCCAATAACAAATCTACAAATTACCTGACAGGACTAACCACAATTTTGCTCTTGTCTTTCTTTTCTGGATACCCAAAGTACCCGCGACGTGCAAGTGTTGTACAGAATAGGCACACTGATTTGAAAAAGTCTTGAATTGACAAGCTTCTTTGCAGCAGGTGAGTTTCATCTTCGCTACTGAGTCTTTCTTCAATATATCTTATTTAGACAGAGGGAAGATGGTTGCCTAATTTATTACTAATGAGCAATTATGGCGAAATCAAGAGACGTCAAATAATAAACGTGCAAGTAACTGAACTGGTAACGCAGTGCGAATTTTAGAAGATTTAAAAATACTCTTATACATAGCATCCGTACCAAAAACTATTTGACCAAAGTACCGTACCGCACGCGGTTCTTGCGTTGGTTACTTCCTCCACTCTGGCCATCCTAATCACTGCAGGAAAGAAAAAAGCTACTCTCATGTTATAGAAATCGTCCATACTTATTATGTCCTAAGACGAGGTGTTCTTGTATGACATGCTAAAAATGGGTAGCCGCTAGCCTGCAGAAAAGGCGTTATTTTTTCGCGTTTATCAGGTTATCAGGAAAGGGAAAGCGCGAGGAAGGCGTGGGCAGGAATGGAGCGCCAAACACGCGCAACGCGTCCGCCTCAAGTTTGTGCTCTTTAGTGTGGAAAAGCCACTGCATATTACTGTACAGCTTCACCCAAATAAGGGACGACGTCTGATATTTGCAGGCTTCATACTACGCTAAATCATAATGTAATTAACCACAAGGAAACCAGAGTAGAACACATAGCAACAAAACTATGGCTATGCAGCCTGCAAGTGTGACATAGTGATACAGGGGTACATGTCCCGCTAATGTTTAATAGATACCAGTCCAAAAGATAAGTCAGAAAATAACAGAGTTGAGTTAAACGCACCGTAATAGTTTTTATTTGAGATGCTTGTAACAATATTGTGTATTTCATACTTTAAAATTTGTATTATACAGTAAATCCATAGGCATACGGGCAATTTTTTGCCACGGGGCGGTGGAGGGGGTAAACTATTTGCCCAAAAGAATTCTCGCAAGTTGCCCCAATGTTTACGGAACAGTCGAAAAGAAACTAGGGTCATACGATGTAACAAAAAAGGCCTACACATGAAGTGAAAGTATTCTGACATATGAGCTCATAAAACACGTAAAAAGAAATTGCTGTCTTTGCCATTTGATTTTGACGGCCGAAGATCAGTCAATCACGATCCATGTCATTGTTGACTACAGAGCGGTGACATATGCCCTTTCAATGTTGATAAGTGCGATGTTACTGACACTTTGTGCCATGTGTACACTTTGTGTATGCATGGTGCTGCCGAGGTAAGTTTTCAATCTACACAACGTAGTGAATGATCGTTATGCAGAACACAATGTAGCAGGTATCACTCCAAGGATATGTACCGCATTACAAAACACCAGAGACATATCAAACAGATCATTCTCTAGCCTGCGTCAGGCTAGACTGCAAAACAGTCGGTTTTTTTTCTCAAAATCAGTAAAGAAATCGGTAAAGCGTGGCGTAAGAGTCTTACCCGCGCGAAGCGCGCGAGCCTCACACTCCCTTAGGTGTTTTTAGCGTCTCTCCCCAGTTTCGCTCTCTGTTTTCAGCCTCGTTGAACTGCTCGCGCGTACTTGAATACGCAAAAAAACGGACTGTTTTGCAGTCTAGCGTCAGGCTAATCATTCTCGTGCATTGTCGCCAGCATTTCTGGAACAGTCAAGTAGCCTAATCCGAGCACACGACGAAAACTCGCGTACATTTTCTGCTTGGCTTCGAGAATCTCGCCGTCGATTTTGAGAAAATTAAAAAAAATTAACCTCGGCGGTTAGAACTAAAGAGGTCAAATATTCCTCTCGCAAAATAGCGCTTAAAACAGCACGGGACGGCGAAAAAAACACGACACATGACTCAGTTAACATTTTCTTCAAACTTTTATTGAAAAATTTGCTTTAAATTCTGCATTTTGGAACAAATTATAGCCACCGTATTGTTCATATGTATTTCTTCTATAAATTACAAAAGATCGTTGCTCAGATTTCAATCAACAACGGCCTAACAGAGGGTGGTCTGCCTGTGGTTAGCCTGCGCCACGTTTTGCATTCATGCAAATATTTATGGGGGTCATTTCACATTTAGACCCTGTTTACATGAAGTAGGGGACACCGGTCTAGTGCGGTAGGTCTCTTTTGTTTTGTGTTCCCCAGAGCGTGAAAACAAAAGAAACCAACCCCACTAGACCGGGGTCCCCCACTCCATGTAAACAGGCCCTTAGACTACAAGCAGTCTCTCTTTTTTCTTGGTCCGTCGAACAAAACGCCGGAGACACGCAAATGACCAGGCGCGTGACTGAAGGCGCGAGACGGGAGAGGAGCGACAAAAGAGAGACTACCCGAAAAGCCAAAGAGAATTTTTTTTCACGGTCTAGTGATTTTTTGGCATGAAAACTGTAGTGTTGACAGACCAGGCACGTGTTAGAGTTTGCTTGAGGTTTCCAACAGTTCTTTTTTAAAAAGCGCAGCTTATGCAGTGCATAGAGTTAAAGTCGATTCTAAACTAACTGACTGAGCAAATCTTAATTTTTGCCGCTGGCCTCCCTTTTTGAGGTCATGAAGCTGCATTGGGTCTGGCTATGCGAGCAGTCTCTTTTTTCTTCTCGGGCTGCCGCCCTCGTTTCTCGCGTCTGGAGGCTTCGCCGCTCAATGCTCGCGCGCGCGTGCACTCCCTTTACCAAATCTAAGAGGGACCGCTCGCAGTCTATTTCACATTTATGGATCTTTATGTCACGGTTGTGAAGACGTTCCATTAACTTCAATAACGCTATATACTTTATCCAAGATTTGGAAAATACGAGGAAGAAGAGGATTGAATTTTTAATACACAAAAGTTAGAAAACTTGGCGGACCGAAAAAGTAATCAGCAAAAAGTCTCAGTCTGGACCGATAGCTCTGCTTTCCTTTATCTTGTTTTTACAAACAAACGCTTATGTAAAGTAACAAATGTCATGTCATGGAAGCGCGAGGATGTCTGGTTCAAACATTAAAAAATAAATGCTTATTTTGAGAGAATATGCATAGCCTGAGTGTCAGGCCTTCCTAAGGGGCTAGGGCAGAGGAGATTTTGGGGGAGGGGGGTAGGGAGAGCTCTCTCCCTTTTTCGCTTCCATCTTTCCCCTTTTCTCCTGGAAACGCCTGATACTCAGGCTAGAATATGCACATATTTGTGGCAAATCTCCTCAAATGCAATTTTTGTAACCATTTGATTCTTTCCGCGTAGTATCTACACGCTAAGTGAGGGGGGGTGTAAGGGTTTGCGGTGTTGCATTTTTGCACAATTTTTGGTGCGGTTTTGCGGTGATTTTTATTTTAAGTTGCAGTATTGCGGTTTTACAAAACCAAGCGGTTTGCGGTATTTAGAAATTTTCGGGTAATTTCAATGCGGTTTCTGGTTTTCTTATGTTATTCGGTGCAGTATTTACACGTATCTCTGTGCAGTTTTGCGGTATTGGTACCCCCCTCATGCCCCCCTCCTAAGTACAAGAGACCTTTCACGTGCAGTTTCCGGTTCGGTCAAGTCTTTACCGCAAGAAGAAAACCTCTCGTCTGCGTGGTTGGGATGTAATTTTGGCGCAGCATGCCCAAATAATGTCACGCAAGCCGGTAGACCAATGTACCCCCATTATGGGGTTCTTGTTGAAACTGATCTACAAATTGAAATACATTCAAAAGAACTTTTAAGCATAGCTTATAATTTATTTTTCTTGCAATGGTTGTGTGTACTTTCTATACAATAAAGTAATAACGTTCGGCCGAATCAAAAGGGACCATCAGACACAACATGAGTTTTACATGGCAATTTCCTGGGTGAGGCTTTTTGCAGGAGAGGCAGGTACTTCTGCCATTTTAAGTTGAGTAGGGCTGGGTGTTTTGTTGCATTTACCATCCTGGCTTTGTGGCCGAGGGCTTGTGCGTTCTTTGGGGCTTGGAGTCCTTAACACAGCTTCTTGTTGTGGTGTTGGGCTTCTGGCAATATTTTGGCCTTCTTCTTGCTTTGGGCTAGGAGTTCGGTGCTTGTCTACAGGAGCTGGTGCTGTATCCTGAATGCTTGATGACAGTGCATTTGTCTTTATCGTTTTTGTTTTAAGAGGTGCTCTTTGTAGATCCCATGTTCCAACAAACTCGCCCCATGGACTTTTCGATGACCGTGGTATTCCAGGCAAAATATGTCCACGATCATTGCTGATTGGTTGGGTAAACCCTTCTAAAGTGGACGGTCTCTACAGACAAGTAAAAATTAAAACTCTCTCAGTTATTGATTATAAGTATTGCATATTTTGTCTATGCTACGCAGAAAGACACACACACACATAAGAGTGAGGGGCCTTAAGGTCAGTTCTCTGGTCCACGCTGGCAGCTATTTCTGCCTGTTCCAGTACCCAGATTCCCGTACTTGGGGTGACAAAAGGAGACAACCTTGGGAACAAGGTAGCCTCCCTGCAGACTTCCTTTGGGGTTCGTTTGTCACGCCTTCATTTCTCCCGCTAGGGAACAAGGCTGATATACTGCTTTCTGCTTTGAGGTATCCATAAGTGCAAACTGTCAGTCTGCTTACTCAGTCATCTAACAGCAAATACCTTTGTAATTATAAATAGGAAAACATTTAAGAGTATAGACATATATCACTGCATTAATATTTAGAGCAGAGCAATTACTTGGTCTTACTTCTGTAAGACTGTAGTGCAGATTTCCAAAAAGTGCCTGTTTAGTGATATATATATATATCATGATGTAGAACGCAATATTATTAAGTCGTAAGTCCTCGGATCGAGGGTGTCCTAGATTACCCTTGTTTAAAACGAACTTGTCAGGAGAAACCCTTGTAGCGCAAGCTGCATGCCAAAATTGTTACTGCAAGGTAAGAGGTGAGATATATTTCGAAGGTTCAGTTCAGCGCATCCATCTGAAGTAACATATTAACTTTCTACAATAATAGGCTATCATTACAAGCTCTTTAAAATAACTAAGATTTACCTCTTTAAATCTTTTCGGAATTTCCCAGTTTTGCAATCTTTGGGCTAAAAAGGCTTGATCATACTGGAATACGAATTAAAGGAAGTTATCATAAGCTTTACAAAAAGGCAGAAGACGAGCAATGATGAACAAGATTTCCGACGATAACTATTACAACCGACCAGCAAATGTCCAGTTTTCTTTTGAGTTTACAAAGTGCACTATGGCTGCAAGAATTCAACTAAATATCAGCGTTATGAACTGTTTAAAAAAGAGGAAAAGGATACCTGATTTGCGCTAAAGTGAGTCGACATCTTGTTGCTTTGCAAGCATCAATTTACCGTAGTCATGACAACGGTGGGCCAGTTCTCGTTGTGGGCCCCTGGCGCCTCCGTTCCATGCGTTCATGTTTGTGGTTTCAAAAGTACTTCTAATCTGTGAGTTAAAACACAACTTTCGCTATTAAATGCACGTTTTGATGCTGAAAAATAACAATTTGAAAACATTTTCTCAGGAATAATAGAAATATTAAAACTAGCCCGTCAACTGTCATCCGATGACATTTCAGACTAGAAATAAACGCGTTTTCGGTGATTTTCAGAAGCTCTTCTTAATTCTTAGTATTTCGGTCAACAAGACACACCAAATTTAACATAATTCCATATTTGTATCCATGGTTAACTCCCAGGCTAACTTAACCTATAAACATAACAGCAAATTATTATATTGCATGTGATGCGCGCTCCCAAGGGGGGTTGGGGTGGGGTACTCCCTTATATCGGCTATGTATGTGCCGCCCATCGGGTAGAGCTTTTGCGCCGTTTTGGTCTGAACACGGGTATACACTTTGCCTATTTTGGTCTAGAATCGGGTATGGTTTTAGGAGGAACTACGGGAGTGTACGGGAGTGTCGTTTCAATTCCAAATGAATAAGAAAGAAAGAGAAATTTGTGAATTCGAAATGGATTTGAATAATTTTTTTGTTTGCGCTCTGATCGAACAGTAATGATAACATAATTTCCGCCTAAAGGCCAGGGGCGTCTAAATTTTCTATTTATCTTTTCGAAGATTACAGATTGGCTTGTGTCTTCAGCACTCATTGAGCTCGTATATATATTTCGTTAACCCAAAATGTGCTCCGCGGTCGCTAGTGGACACTGCGCAAAAAAAGTGAGCGGGAAAACGCGCCACACTCTCCACTATCTAAATCCCTCAAACAGGCTAGTTCTCTGCAGGTTCTTCGTATAGAAAGCTCTTTTTCGCTATCGTTCCAACTTTCGCGCGGAACGCTTGCTACGCTGGTTACCAACGTTCGCGTCAGGCTGTAAACTGTTTCAGCACCATCAAAGCCTTTGCGTCACGAGACAGTTATAAAAATGGCGCCTCTAAAATGGCTGAAACGGGTAAAAGCAACACAAACAAAATCCTTGTTTAAGAACTGTTGAGTAATTTTAATCACTTTAAAATACACGCTTTCATGGAAAAGTGACATAATGTTTCTGATTACAACAAAAATCCAGTTGGAGAGGACCCTCTAGGAACAAGGTTGCCCAGTGGTATATGTGGTCTGATAATCACCTCAGACTGGTTTAAGAGGACCTTGGACCGTCTGAGTTGCGGCTAGTCCCAAATATTTTTTCTCACACTCTTCCTGCTGTGAGGATCGGTTTTCTGATTTAAATTATGATTTACTTTCCTCATACTCTAGTGTAAAGTTCAGTTCATAATAATGCGGCTCATAACAAAAAGCTTACTATCTAGCAAATAACGCCTGACCTTTAGCCAAGTCCTTGTCATACTGATCGGCATTGATTTTTTCTTTTGCTACTTTTATGTATACGTATCAGCATAATCTTCTGCCTAGTCGTAGCTTTGGTAACCTTTAAAGTAATTATGTCCATCCATCTGAAACTCGCGTAGGCTCTCAGTATAGTCCTCATTTTTGTAGACCTCATTTTTTTTTAAGCTACAACAACAACTTTATTGACTTTATCTTCGACATGAAGATTTAAACAGTTCAGTATCCTTTATCGAGGACCAACAATCTGGAATCGTCACCTATTTCACTAACCAGCTCTTCTTCCATATTTGTTGTTTTAAAAAAGAACTGTGGCAGGATTAGCTCAGTCGGTAGAGCGCTTGACAGCAGAGCGGGAGGTCGCGGGTTCGATTCACGGGGCTGAACCATTACTCAGGGTCTTAAAAAAGTAAAAATAACTGAGAAATGAAGGTACTCCCTTTGCACTGCAAGTGGCCAGACCTTCGCGTGGCTCGGATGACCACGTGAAATAGCGGTCCATCCAATCTCCAGTAGGAGACGTAAAAATAGTGTCTCCAATAAGTACTCAAGTGCTAAATGCATTGACACTCTATAAAGTGCATCTCATCGATAGTCGTTCTGTCGCTGTACTCATGGAGGTAATTAGTTTAACCATGCAGGGTTAAAAAGTTTGGGACGGCGAAAAGACATGACAGTTTTTTTGCAACATGCGTTGTTTCATCATGTTTGTTACCTGAGTTTGCGTTTTGCTTTCACTGAAATTTATAACTTTGTTTGTTAATTGTTAACAAACCCCAACACAACCTCCATTGAGGACACTTGCCTCGGTCCCGTGGGTGTCCCCAGAATTGAGGTTCCTCTGCACTTCCTTGAGATGTAGTTCTCCATGCTTAGGACGCAATACGCCAGACGTAACTAATCGATGACATCAATGAAATCAATGAGTAATCAATAGGTAATCGATGGGTAATCAGTTGACAAGTCACTGATTATATCCGATATTCAGTGAGTAATCGATGAATAATCGATAGGCCCCAAAATTTTCAATCACTGATTAGTTATTGATCAGTATCAATAATCTAGGTGGTACGCAAATCATGATAAATCGAAAAAAATAATGAAAATTTCTTTGATATAAATTTCACGATACAAGCTTTATTTAATGAAATGATCATTTAATAACAATGGCATAAGTTACTGCCAAAGAGAGGGGACATTAGTGATTCACTATGTGAAGTTAGGTTATTAATGTTCTCCAGCTTTGTTAAGAAACGTTTGCTAGTCCTTGAATCGAAATGAGATACATTTATGGCCAGTACAACTCGTTAATTTTTTCTCTAGATCAAATTTACTCATTTAGCTCAGTTCTATACATCTGGATAAATAGGACAACCACCTTAGACGCGGATATCTTTTACCCGGTAGTCACTCTACGGTGGCTATTTCTCAAGTCAAAAACCCTAATAGCCTCTAATAACCAAGAGAGTAAGACTGATAGCTACTAATAACTCGATCTTCTGAACATCTCGTTTTTGATATTTCAGTTACTGTCATCATCATCATCATCATCATGACTTTATTAAAGTGTCAAAATATAGTATAGCACTTAGCTGAGGGTAAAAAATCCTCTACTAATTAATAAGACTAATTTTAATTTGACAATTCACAATCCTAAAAAAGCTAGCCTAGATGAACATCCTATAAAATTATACAGCAATTTACAACAAAATGATATGGATATTACAATAAGATGATACAGTTATTCACATTAACTAGAATGTTCAATAAAAAAGTAAAATAATAATAAAATAATAATATGCAAGTTCAATTCCTATTTGGCTATTATATTTTCAAGAACCACAAAAGTAAATTTTTATCATCGGAAATAAGTTGAGAAAAAAACTGCTTGATAGTGTATGAGATGTGTAATCAATCACTTTAATCGGTGGATGATTAGATAACCGATCAGTAATCGAACGCATCAATTACTCATCGATGACATCAATGAGTAATCGATGTCACTGATGCGTAATCGATAGGCCACAAAATTTTTTGTTATCGATTAGTCATCGATTACCCATTGATTGCAGCGAATTATAGCGGAGCTCTCGCGCGCGTAGCGCGCCAGCGAAGCACCATGGGTAAGAAAATGAAGTGATTCAGCCATCCGAGAAAATTTGCTAATAACGTGACCGTATGACCGATCGACCGAGCGACCGTCCGTCTGCACCACAGACATACCAATGTAAAATAAGTCAATCAACAGGTATGGCAGCCCAAATGCAACTCGAGGATATTTTGGCGGGAAATCGCATAGCCACCGGCGTCTTGTAAAGCAGAGACAACTAAAGAGTCAATAAAGACGAAAACGGAAATAGGAAATTGTTTTAGTATCCGTGTTGTCTAAAGTATTCAGCTTAGGTTAATAGTCATTTCCACAAATTTGAAATATAGAGCAGGACAAAGACAGAGATAAAGGGAAAGTATGCGGCAGGCCAGCGAAGCTCGCCGAGAAAAAGGGCCACAGAGATCTTATCTAGAGCGAGAGATAAAAAACGAAGGAGAAATTTTTTTGTTGAAAGAACAACATGAAAATTTTGCATCGTCGGTGACAAAATGAGAATGCTAGCGGCCACCAATGCAATGTGAAAATGAGCGGCAGCAGGAGCCCTTAACCCTGGCGGCAGTGAAAAAAAAGTGAACGAGAACACGTACGACATTTCCTCCATAAAACGTGTAACCACAGGTGATGTTACACGGGACGATTCGCAACGACGATTTTTAGAGCAACACAGCTAAGTAATGTTGGAACAATGTTGTAACTATTCGAAACAATGTCGTAATAATGTTGCAACGCTGTTTTGCGTTAAAAATCGTCTTTGCGAATCGTCTCGTGTAACACCTTACGAAGTTTCTGGATTGTAGTCATGCAAAACAACGGCAAAGAAATGTACAAAAAATGTGTGCTGCACGTGCAAAGTTGCTTTTTTAGCTAATTAAGGTGATGTTACGCGAGGCGATTCGCAACGACGATTTTTAGCGCAACACAGCGTTGTAACATTGTTGCGACATTGTTTCGAATAGTTGGAACATTGTTCCAACATTGCATAGCTGTGTTGCTCTAAAAATTGTCGTTGCGAATCGTCCCTTGTAACATCACCTTTAGACGTATTGTTGTTTTTCACCGTTCTCCGGCGTTGCCTTCGCCGCTTAGCATTACACGATTTTATATTTTGTTTGAACAGACTATAAATATTATTGAGAGCTTCGCTTTTAGCCCTGGCTAAATCTATACACAGTGAAACCTTACGCATGGTTTGGCGTGATTCTGTGGGTGTTGAGAGTTCTGGGTCAGTTAAAATCAGAGTGCGCGGATATTTTTCATCAGACCTTTTTCTGGTTGTTGAGCCATACTGACGAGCCCCACAAAGGGCGAAAAAGCTGTCTATGGCTACAATCCCGCTCTGTTTTGAGTTCTTTCGGTGTCGTGTTGATGTCAGTCTTGCAGAGTTAATTTTCACGTAGTACGATCAGCATTGCAGTATTCTGCTTGCAGAATTTAATATGTCTAGTGAAACCTGTATGAAGCGGACACCGTATTGATGGTTTTCACGGTGACGTCATCAGATTGCAAAGTCAAAAAAGCGAGGTTTTACGAATTCTTATTTACACTAGGTTGAAGATTAGTAGGAAATACATCTTTGTACAAGTTTCCAGCCCCGAAGCATGTTTCATTTCGAAAATACAGCAGTTTGAAGTTCCGAGTTTTCACAGTGCGTGACACCAAAAGAGGAATGCTATCTCCTTGAAAAAAAGTCTCTCCGCTTGATTTTCGGCAGTTTAACCATTTCAAGTATTAGAAGATATGTTTATGCGCAAGTATGCTAGTTCTCGAGTGAAAAGGAAGAGCTTTTATAGAAAAAGTGAACTCCAGATGTTTTTGTTGATTTCCGGCGGCCATATTGGTGGACAGCAGTTTCTGTCCACCAGTATGGCGTCTCCATACAAAGCTCTACAAAGGTGCGTGAAATATTTCGGTAACTAACTCAGAACCTGTGGGCCACAAAGACCTGAGATTTGGACAAATTGTTTATATATTAATCTTTTATAACATTTCATTTTCTTGGCTTCTTCCACTGGACGGTTTCAGATGTATTTTTTTGTGTCGTGTTTATTGCGTGACAGTGAAAACGAAGAATTAAGCGGACACCCTCTATTAACTGAGCGGACAGTAGCCGAAGTCCCCTAATTTATTTCCCTTATTCACTTTAAATGAAACCTCTATTAAGCGGACGCGGACACCTAAAAAGTACCTGAAATGGTAATTTCTATCGTTGCCAACCTGTATTAAACGGACACTTGTAATTAAATTCCACCACCCAACACGCCAGACACCGGAAATGCGAAAGATTGCCTCGAATTGCCATCCACAAATTTTTCGATTTTTATATTAAAAAAAGTGACTTGACGAACTTATTTTATTAGTTTCCCAGTACAGTATTGTTTTCTCGTTTTCGTTTTATAGAGCTTTTTTCACTCATCTGACTTCTTCAAATTTGAGTTGCAATCTATGTTTAAGGTGCTATGATCAATTGGTCCATAAAGGAATTCATGCAAACGTATATCCCCGGGGGGGACTCCGCATATGAATGGGGTGGGGATGCTCGTCGGAAATTTTGAATGAAACCCCTAAAGGAGATCGATCTGGGCGTGGCCCAAGCGTTTTTTGACCCTTAAAAGAGACGAAAAAAATATCCATATCAAATATATATTTTTATATTTTTTGGCGTGCAACCCTAAACGAGACCTTCACGGCTAAATACGATGGCGTTTTGCCCAGAACACCCTAAGTGAGACCAAAATCCGAAATTTACACCCCTAAGCGAGACGACGAGCATCCCCACCCATTTCATATGCGAAGCCCCCCCCCCGCCAGGCGTATATCGTAATAGTCTCTGGGAGTATTCTAAACGTTTCCACTGTTCATTTGAATGGCATTTGACACCTCATATGACGTTATCTATTAAAACCTGTATAAGAAGGACACCCTGTATTATAAAGCGGACACTACAGCATTCCCCGAGGGTGTCCGCTTAATACAGGTTTCACTGTATTCAATGACTAATCAGTTGATTACCGAATGATTACTCATCGATTGCTCATTGATGGGAACAACCTCGTCCCCAGGGTCTTCTCGTTTTCCAACATGAAGAGAAGCGCTTGCGATCAGCTGGGGAAATTGTCAGCGGTTTTATGACCTTATTACTCTCCTGATTGTCCTCCTGATTATCACAAGATTTTTATTAGCCAGACAAAATATTAGAACAGAAATGCCGCGAAAACGGAAAATATCCTCTCTGGAAAGTAAGTATTTCTTGAAAGATGACTATATATTTAATGTTTGGTTGATACATGCGTTTTTAGCGATTTATCTTACGGAGAATTAACCAGGATTTGAGAAAGAGGCATCTCGCCGATCTAGCGTAGCAAGAAAATTAAATATGGCGCGGGTGTGCTGGCCGGAATGGATGTAAAACAAGGGGTATAAACTGTTGATGGCTAGAAACCCGGGTTGAGGAGAAGCGTGCACTCGTATTGTATCATGAGTTTTTCTCAACCTCCTTGTCTTTTGTAGGTTTATTTTAAAATAAAGCTCTCTTATCACGCAAGATCGCCAATGTCTACCCCAGTTGAGCCTCGAATTCATGGGCATCGCAATAAAATACCATACGGAGTTAGATTCATAAGATGGATTGGAAGAGAAAGGGCAGCAGCGTATGTATTTTCTCACATTTTTTTAAAATAAAGAGTCATTGTCGATAAAACGCGTTAACGATATCGTTTGTGTTGACGCATGGAGTAAATCACATCCACTGTCCTGTTATGTTTCAGTTACCGAGGCTCGGTTCTTATTCTGACATTTTTTGCTTACACCACTTATCATCTATCAAGGAAACCTATCAGTGTTGTCAAGGTTAGAAACAAAAAACTAACGATCATATTAATTCATATATGTGGGTATTAGCCTGCGTAGCCAACGGAATTGTTATTGAGCGCCAGCAAAGTTTGGCAGAGGAACTGCTAAGCCTTGCGGAGAATGGGGAGGAGACGCTTTTCGACGCTTTGAAATCCCACCTGCCCGAAGACTATGGTTTTCTCAAAGGTTGGTCTCTGTACGAACAAAAGGGAGTCGTTAAATTACAAAGCGATGGAACTATTTAGTGATAATGTGGCTTCATTATGCAGTTTCTCTACCATCAACATTGAAACAAGTTTTTCATCGAAACATACGATGTCCTGTGAAAATGCCTGGAATTTTACTTTCAGATTACATGCACATTTCATTTTGCAACTTTACTTGTCAGTCTTCTTTGTTTTGCAGGCTTCCTCGGATAATCCCTGCTCACCCTGCATGCAGCAAAACAAATTTTATTTTTTGTGATTACACACATACTTGTAATTGAAACATGCGGGTTTCGCATTAGAACCTTGCTCTGATTGGCTGCTAAAATTGGTTTTGATGAAGTGCCAAAAGTGGGTGGCATTCAAAAATCAAGTTGTCTGGCAGGTAGTCTGCTACACAGCCGTTTTTAGTGTCGTCACGCAACGCTCCTCCCCACTAACGGCTGCTGAAAACCGAACTGCATTCCTTTCCCTTTGTGTTTGTGGTCTAACGAACAAACCAATCACGTACAAGAAATTTGACAATACGTGAGCCGCAGGGCGCTAGGAAGCGAGCACGCTTCTCAGTTTTCGACAAATCAATCAATCGTCGCTGAATTTAGACGGGCTCTCTGTTTTCAAGAAACGAAAAGGTTAATTTACAAAAAAGGTTGTTTTAAGCGGTCAAGAAAGTTCCAAGTGAAAAGAAGGTTTGATAGGCCTAGAAAACCTTTACCAGGATCGGTTGGTTCTTCATTTAACGTGCATATGTGCTGATATGTAGTGAAGAATTTAATGTACCGGATGTGCTCATTGTGTTCTGTGAAAACTAAACTCTCAAGGGTACTAAGTCAAAAAGCAATCTTATAAATTATCGATGAGCGATTTCCCGAAACTATACCTGGCAACTTTATGAGCACATCCATGTTGTGAATCGCAATTTGCTCGACTTTCTTGCTGTTGCTGCTTATCTCCTAAATTTTGAAAAGGACTCGACTACGACAACACTGTAGTTAATTGCTTGTTTTCACGCGACGATTTTGATTATTCTGTCATTCACACATGGGGCAACGATAAAAGCAAAGCTGTGATTGGAGGAGTCACAGTACCGCAAAGGTGGCGCGAACACTTTCCAGAAAATGGGAACTGAATTTTAATTGGCTAATCACGGGAAAGGAATGTAGTTCGGTTTTCAGCAGCCGTTAGTGGGGAGGAGCGTTGCGTGACGACTCTAAAAACGGCTGTGTAGCAGACTATCTGGCAGGTGGAATTTTCTTTTTTCTGCACTTGCTTATCAGGGCAATGCTGCAACTCACATGACAAAAAAAAAACAATTCCGCCAGCTAAATGGGCTATGTGGGTATAAAAATACTGATGATGTAACAAGAGTAAAAGTATATTGAAAAGTATGAAAATGTAGAATGTAGACAGTGCTGGAAATAATTTTTCTTACTTAAAAGGACATGTGTCCTTTCAAACCTTTATTCTGAAAATTGGTCGGTCATTAATTAGCATACTGTATTTACTGGAATAATTTTTCACACCTCAAATGCGGTTTTTTTTTGAGGGTGGCTTTAAATGAGATTTTGTTATTTTCCATATCAAACTGACAAAATTAACAGGCTGCAGTGCCTTTTCGGGGGTGGCACTTATTAACTTTTTGTCCCAAATAGGACTCTTATTTGAGGTGTTTCTAACTCAAGTAACCGTTATGATTTATCCTGGTTTTGCCTCAAATCATTTGATAGTCCATGGCAAGAAAACCCAAGCAATGCTTCTGGGTAATTGCACACTCTAAAACCCGTTCTTCACATTGACTCTTCTAATTTGTAAGAATAATCTTGACTCCGAATTTCGCATGATTCCAGATGCAATTTTGCATAAATCTCAAACTTTGAAAAACAAAACAAATAGTTTAAATAGACTGGTAGAATGAACCATCTGGCAAGTTCATATAATTTTGCTGGGATGTGATTTATATTAAGGTGGAAGCTGGCGTAATTCACAGAACTGAAATGTTCGTTTAGAATATTTCCTCAAATTTAATAATACAGTACATGTAGTGCAAACCTCATTTGTAATTAACCGAAACAGTGATTTTTTTACATGTATTTCTTTGAAAATATTCCTAAACTCAAAAAAAATGCTTCACATGTCTTACGATTTTAAATTAGTCTTAGAGAGCATTCCTGTCTAGTAATATTCAAAACAATATCTTGTTGCTTATGGTTCACAGCCGACTTCAAACATCTACATGTACGGCTTCAGCAGTCATTAATTGTACTATTGTGAAGTTATTTTCTTTCATCTCCTTAAATTCACAACAAAATTTACTTTTAAGCATTGCCTTTCCTTCTGGTTGTTGTTCAAAGTTGTGACAAAATTCCGCAGAAGGTTTTTCTTGTTTGTCGTACAAAGCTTTCTTCACCTTTCACACTGTTGAAACAAGCAGACATTTTGTTTTTAAAGCACGTGCTTTCACTTGCAAAGATTAGATTTCCATGCAAAGTAGAGCCCAGTGATGAGAGCTGCTTCATTTTGCCAGATACTGAAAACATTTTCGACGTTTTCAAGTTTCCTCAAAGTAGATAGTCTTTCACTGCAATGCAAATCTTTTCTTTTTACCATGCTGTTTTTACCTTTTCATGTTTTCGAAATCAACACTGAGATGTTAAGAAGCTTCTAAGACAAGAGCTAAGCAAGGTTTCAGCCAGAAGGGTGTCCAGCCGTCCTATGGACACCCATTTTTGCAAGAAATACAAGGAAAATTCACTTAATCTCTTATAATTTTTATGGGAAAACATGCCTTCTGGACGGCCAGTTTTCAATGTCTGGCTAAAAGCCTGGAGCTAAGTCAATTAAGTGCTCTGACATGATGTCTAAACATATTGGAATATTAATCGAACATTTATGAAATTTTGGTCAGACAATGTCCGATGTCCGACAGTAATTTCCAGCACTGAAAGATATACATTGTGTACAGTCATCTCAGTTTGTGCTAAAGTTTCTATTTATTATTATTAATTTTTTTCTGAATGCCTTTTATTGTTTTGTTAAATTACAATTTTTGTAACATGTTTATACTTTTTAACTTATTTATACACTTGCTGCATTGTTTGTTTATTGTCAGTGTGTAAAATTAATGGTCTGATTTGCTGTAATTGTCAGATGAGTGTGGTTTCCTTTGAACCATTATTACAAAACAGAGCTGTAGCAGTAGCTCCTGAAGCCTGTTACTACTTTTCCATCATATTATTTATCACTCCTGAAAAGTTGAGCACTCTAGAAAATCATTATTATTCTAACCAGTTGAGAGTTTATACTCTCATGTACGTTTTTTTTATTGTACGTAATTGAACTTTTTAATGACAGAGGCACAGTGAAAGCAGTGTTTTGGAAAGTTTACTGCAAAATGTTTACTGTAAGAATAAAGAGAATTATGATACAGTTGCTGTTGTTTGTTTTGATACAGTTGCATTGTTTAATATTCTCTTTGTTAGGGAACACTTAATCCAAACTGTTCTAAAGCAAATCCAAGCTGCCATGGATGGAAGCCATTTAGTAAGTTATGTTATCAAAACCTACAGTTGAACCTCCAGTAACAACCACCTCTCCACAATGGTGACCTCACTGTAACAGCCTTTTTTTGGCAGACAGTCCATACATTGACTCTTGTTTACAAAAAACCTGTCTACAACGACCACCAAACTTCTCAGCCATTTTCTTGTAGACCAGAGTTGACCATTGTGGAGAGGTTCAACTGTATTACATGTAAATTTGTCTGAACATTTTAAGAGACTTCAGAATGGTCTGTTTTAAGCTAAACATCATCCGTATCTATTAAAAACTTGGTTTAAATTAGAGAAGATAGTTGTTATTGTTTTATATCAAAGTCACAAGTTCCAGTTTGAATGAATACAGAGTTGTGCTTTAGCAGCTCGCAGTAGCCTGTGACTTACATGTACTATTGTGCTCTGATGAAAGGAAATCTTTAGCTTTTGTGCTAAACATCTGTGCTGGGCACTTGCATCACAACTTTACAGCTTTTTGGCTACTAAATTTTTTCTCACTGTACAGTTTTGATACTTGGCTTGTGATCACAAATCTTTCTTTCATCTTTCTGACAATTTGTTATTTACCAGTAGTAAATAAACAAACCTGGATGATTAAAAATCCAAAAATGTGCAAAAATGGTTATTTAATACAGAAATGGTTATTTACCTAATTTGGTCTTAGCAAGTGGCCACGTGGCCCATTTTCCTGCTCATTTCCCATAATGACTTGCAGACTTCTATTTCCAACATGGCTTCTTCCACTTCTTTCACTTTCCTCTTTTCTCTTTCATTTACCTTCTTCCACCCTCATTTTCCTTCATTTACTTTCATTTTCCTCCGTACACCTTCATTCGCTTTCATTAATCTTCATTCACCTTCGTTTATTTTAATTCACCTTCATTCTAATTAATTTACCTTCATTCACACTCATCCTTCGTCATTTATGTTCATCTACCTACATAGGTCTTCATTTACCTTCTTTCATCTTCATCTACCGTCATCTTCCTTCATTAGCCTTCATTCACCTTCATCTACCCCCATTAGCCTTTATCCAGGGTCACCTACATTCATTAGCCTTCTTTTACCGTCATACGCCTACAGCTAGGAAAGTAGTGCTCAGAGATTTAATTAGAGTACCGCCATTAGTCTTCATTAACCATCATCTACTTCAGCTAGTTTTCATGATAGTCCAGAGATTATCCAATGAATTGTCGTGCTGTCACATTATTCATTTCTGACTAATTTGTTCCCTTGTCCTTTAATCTTCAGACATTACACATATTCAAAAATAATTTTGCATTTCCATGAAACGTATCGTGTTTTACATTGTTTTGTTATACAACAGGGTCTTACAATGTAACGACGTTTTTTTTTTTTCCCGACTGATCTCACATTTTGGCCATAAAATTTTGATACCCGATCCAAAATTGTTGCAAATTCTGATCCCTGATCCCATGAAAATCTTTTGATACCTGGATTCAATTCTGTACTTGCTAAAAACTGAATGAAATACCAAATAAAGTCAGTGTCTCTCTTTTCAATTTCTTTTACAATTTTATTGGTCACATCATTTGCTGACTGGAGAATTAAGGTTGGCTCCGTCTGTTCTTTCGAGTTATCTTAATTTCGATCATAATCCGTTCCACTTTAGAGCTCCCATAATGATGTATCTTCTAATAAACCTTTCGCACGCAAGTGGGGAGGAAAGTTGTAGTGCCAAAGGCGACCCAACCTAGTGGGATCTAGGGGCATACTGCCCCGGAAAATTTGTAAATTTAGGGTCTAGGAAATCCTATTCCAGTGTTTTCTGCGGGACATTTTCGGTAAATTAATACACAGGAAAATGCTAGTTTCCTACTCCTGAGATCTCTTTGGGCAAAGATTGGCTTGACCAATGATCAAAAGTACCTACAGAATTCCACAAAATTAGGATGATTAGAAAATCCTGTTGCAATACGCTTTGCGTTACGGGCAGCCATCTTGGATGAGCCTCAAAACTACTCAGGGACTATTTTTCTCGCTTCCTCCCAAACCGTCCCCCATCTCCTAAGTGGTTTTGACACTCATCCAAGATGGCTGCCCGTAATGCAAAGTGCTCGATATTGACGATCTTACGGAAAAATAGGGACTGTGAAGGGTGAACAGTCTGTAGTGCTATGTATCAGATTTGGATCGGTCAGTAGCTAACTTCAAAGCAGCTCGGAGCCATTTCTGCATTTAACCGCGCTATGTTTTTGGAAGAAGCCATGTTGGAAATACAAGTCTGCAAGTCGTTATGGGAACTGAGCGGGGAAATGGGCCACATGGCCACTTGCTAAGACCAAATTAGGTAAATAACCATTTCTGTATTAATAAACATGTTTGCACAGTTTTGGATTTTTAATCATCCATGTTTTATTTACTAAGTAACCAACTCTCCAGTTTGATTATAAATAACCAATTTTCCATTTTGCCTGCATTTTGGTTATTTAATAAATGCCTTAACCAATTTTGCATTTTGGTTATTTGATAAATAACCAATTTTGCATTAATAAGCAATCTCGCATTTTGGTTAGGGTATTTAATAAATAACCAATTTCGCATTTTGGTTATTTGATAAATAACCAATTTTGCATTAATAAGCAATCTCGCATTTTGGTTATTTAATAAATAACCAATCTCACATTTTAGTTATTTAAGAAATAACCAATCTCGCATTTGGTTATTTATTCGCGTTTTGGTTATTTAATAAATAACCAATTTTGCATTAATAACCAATTTCGCATTTTGGTTATTTAATAAATAACCAATCTCACATTTGGTTATTTTGAAATAACCACTTTTTAATTTTTGGTTATTTGCTAAATAACCAAATTTCAGTTTTGATTATTTGTAAATAACCAATTTTATATTTTGGTTATTTAGAAATAATGAAACTGTAATGTGGTTATTTGGAAATAACCAACATTTGGTGCCCGATATCTGATTGGTTAAAAACCTATGGTTTATTGCACCGGTAAACTCATAGAAAACTGAAACATGCTTTTAAGTTATTTTATAAGAGCTATAGACCACACTTTCTATGGGTTTACCAGCATGATAACCCACTTGGGATGTTGGGAGAACACTCGAAAAGCTTGTAGTACAAGCTTTTCTCGTGTTCTTCCAACATCCCAAGTTGGTTATCACGCCGGTATTCAGCTGAATTTCGATTGGCTGAATTGTTATGTTGCTAAGAAAATGTCATGCTTGATTTCATGTGGGTTACATAAATACAAGACCAATCGATGGTAAACTCAAATCACAGCCACGTCTATGAAATGACAGCAGTCTAATCTCTTGATAAAGGATAAGCAAATGATTATTTCATGTCTGGAGAAAGGAGAAAAAGGAACAAATTTAGCACTTGAGTTAAAAATCAGCAAGCAGCTGATCTCAGATATATGCAAAAACAAAGAGAAGGTCCTGAAATTCACCGATAGCATCGAGACTAGGGAAGGGTTGAAAAGAAAGTCCCGTACCGTTGCAAATGATGAGCAGCTGGATAAAGCAATATTGACCCTTTCCAAGTAATTCAGCTTCGAGGAATGATGGACTGCTATGCGATCACGTAATTCATTAAAACAACTAGTATGCTTGAACATTTTAGAGTGCTGTAAATGCGTGAACACTTGAAACTGTACCTTTTTTATTTGTAAATACATAACAAATAGACCGTATATAAATGCAAGTGGAGCTAATTCACAATTAACTTTTGTTTTCTTTATTCTCTATTTTCACTTTATTGTCTCATTAATATTCATATTTTCGATTATGTGGACTCTCAATTATCCAGACTATTTACTCAAGTCCCAATGAGTCCAAATAATAGAGGTTCCACTGTGTATCCCTTGCTACCCTGTAAGGGAAGTGTACAATACTTGCACTCCATTTCCGTACTTCTTGTTCAAACTCCCGATAACTCAAACTGTTTTTGATTTCCCTTGAAGGTTCGAGTTATCGAGAGTCAACTGTAATAATATGGCTGCTGAAAAGAGTCTTTTTTCTCAAATTAACATCTATCAGATCCATTTCCCAAGGGTTGTCTGTTAAGTGTAAATTTGCATAAATAGGCCACGTATATTATTATGTTACTGCCAAGAGAATGTCATGCTTGATTTCGTTTTGTTTGTGTAACACAAAAACCAAGTGATCGTAAACTCAAATCACAGCCATGTCTATGCAACTAAAGCAGTCTGTTCTCTCAATCAGTTAGTACGCAGCTCCTAAAAACCTTAAATTTCATTGGTTCTCCATAACACACAGCTCCATTATTTTAAGAATAGAGTCATTTTTATATTTCAATGTCTATTGTTTTCACAGCCAATACTGTAAGCCCTTGTAAAGAGCTGTGTGGCGCCCCATCTCAATGAAGGATAAGCAAACAATTATTCAAATTTAGCACTCAAGTTTAAAATCAGCTAGCAGCAGATCTCAGATATATGCAAAAAAAGAGGAGATCCAGAAATTTACTGACAGCATCGAGATGAGTAAAGGATTGAAAATACATTAATACTTACAGTCCATACATAAACTCAAGAGGGAGCTTCTTCACAATTAAATTATGTTTTCTCTATATTTCCTGACAGTATATGATTGCATTATTGTGCCATTAATATCCATACTTTCAGTTATCTAGACTATTTACCCAAGTCCCAAAGAGTCCAGATAATCAAGGTTCAGCTGTATACTGGGGTCAAGAATCCATGTGTGACCACTTACCAAAAACGCCAAAATGATCGTGACCACTTTTTTCTGGTGGTTATTGATAGGAAAGAGTTTTAAGTAAATATTAAAAATTGCAAGGACTTAAAGGTTTCATCTCCATCAGAAATGCACCTTTTTGCATGTTTTAACAATTTCTGAACGAATAGTTAGAAATATTTCCAGCGACTATGTTTATTTACCTGATGTAGTGGTTACTCATGATGTTTGTCATTACATCTTATTTAACTTACAACCCATACAATTTTCAGTGATGCAAAGCACTAGGCTGACCCAAGATAGCCGAAAGTGGTTTGTAGTACGGCAAAGCTTTCTTCTGATTCTAAGCTTCAAGGGCTTGTTAACGTTAATGTGAAAATTAGAAAATGCCACCCAAAGATGTTTTGCACTTATGCTGGGACAAACGGAGAGCCACTGGGTATCACTCCAAACAACAAAAAACACAAGAGTGGTCCTGAGAAATTTCTAGTTTTTGCCCGAAAGACTGTAATTTGATATCAGTACAGTGACTATATTGTACATGTATTACAGAAATAATTACTTTGCTATTGATAATGTCCTACAGATTAAACAGGATAGTCTAATTTCATGAGAGTTGAGGCATCTTTTAATATAGGAGTAAGGACTCATTGGTTTTTGAACTGGGACCCAATGGTTCTGGACTGGGACTCATGATTTTTCATAAGATGAGTCCCAGGACTCACTATCAGCAATTTGTAACAAAATCACTGATGGTAGACCTTTGTTATAAGTTTTCTAAGTTTTCTTGATTATGATTTTCTGTGTAGATTCTGTTGACAGTGGAGATGAGCTACTTGGAGCACTGGACCTGGCATTTCTTTTTTCCTATGCTGTTGGCATGTTTTTTAGGTTAGCTTGGAATGTTCTTTCTGAAGAACTGTCTGATTCCATAAAATTACCTGTTACTGGTCAAATTTGATTTCTGGTTTATTTTGATTTAATCTAGGTTGATCCTCAATTTCCTATGTCTGCTAGCACTAAAACACAAATTGAGAATCAACCTAGGTTAAATCCAAATTAACTTTAAAGCAAATTTGACCAGTAACATATCCATACCCTAACATCTAGACCTCTTACCACTGGAAATTCTAGGTTGCTCAATTCCCTCTTGCCTCTAGAATTCTAAACTATTGAACTTCCCACAAGTACTGAGAATTCTGTAATCAGGGATTTCAGTTTTTTCTTCCAGCTGATTTGAAAACTCCCCTCAAACTCCCAAACACCTCTGTTGAGTTGAATTTCACACCCTCCAAAAAAATGCTCCGGTTTAATTTTCAGCCCAATGAATAATCAGTGCAAAGACCTAGATGAAAGAAGCTTCTGGCTTCCTACCTGCAAAACTGCATGATGCATGAAAGTAGTTGCCAGTTATGTGAATTTTTAAGTACTGGTTTTCTACCAAAGTGTATCGTTTACATCTGCGAAACCTTGTTTGGCTTCTCTGCATTAACAGAAATAAGTATACTCAAAACTCTTTTGGAATTACATTCAGCCTAAGGCAAGTCTTGTGAGAGGGTGGTAACATTCTATTGAACAGTACTGTAACTTACTATCACCCCAACCTCTGTTGTGTACTTTGCTTATTTATAAGTCAATATTATTTTAAAGTTATCCCTATTTCTTGTTACAAGCACAGGAAAAAATAACATTCCCATTTTTGGATATTTTAAGGTATTTAAAGAACACCCACAAAAATCCCAAATTTGGAAGAGTGAGACAAGTCCCAATCAGGGAACTTGGTTGAGAATTTCCTGGTTGGGACTTGTCTCACTTTGCCAAATTTGGGATTTTTATGGGTATTCTTTAAATACCCTAAAATATCCAAAAATGGGAATCCGTTATTTTTTCCTGTGAGGGTGTCAAACATTTTAGCACACTGTTTTTCTCTGTAGTGGCTTCCTTGCAGAGCACATGGATTTGAGGCATTTTCTTACAATTGGCATGATCTTAAGTGGGCTGTTGACTATTGCATTTGGGATGGGTTATGTGTGGAACATTCACTACTTTGCGTATTTTGTCACTGTCCAGGTACCTATGATATTTTTTCTTATGTCTTACCCACTATATGCCATACCCAGCTATTGTTACAAGACTTTCATTTATACTTTGCTAATACTGCCTCCGGTTCGCTGATTATTTTTTTAACTTCTGTTTCTGTCATTTCTTTCTATTGGACCTACTAGTATGGAAAATCCAAATAATATCGTGGATTTTGATTATTGTTTGTTAAAACAGCATATTGCACTGTTTGTTCTTAATTCATTACTACTGATCAATAACATAATAGGTAATTATTATTATTATGTGGGCAAAACGAACTCTACCAGATGCAGTAAGCTGCCACTTTGCATTTCTGTGATGTCAGAAATGCTGTAAATCTATCAATATTTCATATTTTGAACAAGCCTACCAAAGCAGAATTTTAGTAAAAGTTTTTTTATCCTGCTAAAGCAATGTGTTCCCAACTAATCCAAAATCATTCTTAAATAGTAAATGATAACTGAGCATGCCAAGTATTTTTACTGTAAATTAGTAAATGCAATGGTTTAAAATATTAACATATATATATATATATATATTTCTTATTTTCAGGTATTTTCAGGTTTTTTTCAGGTGAGCAAAAAAGATTACCATGTCATATAGTGAGTCTATTGCCAGTAATAAAGTTAACATATAAACAGAATGTATAACCATCACTTTTTGTCTTCTGGGCTGGGTTAAGACAACCCAGGGTAAGTGGAAAATTTGAATTCAAATACAAAGGTTTAAAAAGTAAATTAAGGTAAATTCATTTTGTTTACGATTTGATGATTGGAAGCTCTAAAAAGAATAGAGAAAATTATCCTAGAAAATAATTTTGAACAAAATTAAAATAAGCCCAGACTGAAACTTAAATCCAGGTTAGTGTTAGTGGGCCTTTGAACAACTGGGGCGTGAAGTCTTTGTTTTCTAATGTGATGATACTTCCTTTCTTATCCCTGTAGAGCTCTGGCTGGCCCAGTGTTGTAGAATGTGTTGGAAATTGGTTTGGAAAAGGACGGTAGGCTCAACTTTTTTCTCTGCTTTTCTATTTGTTCCTTGGCTTACACTTTATACAAGTGGCAGAACAAATCATACACCAGTCATCATTTTTTCACGTTTTCTGAACACTTTCACAGCAACATTTTGTGAATGACATTAAGTCAGGCTGCAGCATGTGTTTCTTAATCAGAAAATTTATTTTAAGAAAGAGCAAAGTTGACATTGTTATGGAGGGAATTTCACTTTTTTGCATGTGAAACCCTTTTTATTAACCACCTATTTCATATTGAAATTGTAAGTTTGTAATATTACTATTACTACTTAATCAATTCAGGCGTGGCTTGATAATGGGAATATGGAATTCTCACACATCAGTTGGCAACATTTTGGGATCTGCAATAGCTGGTATATGGGCTAGCAATCAGTGGTAAGAGCTCAAAACTATTTTACCTTTTGCAATGTGCAAAACCATTTGCTTCTTGTTTCTTATAGCTTGTTGTCTTAATTATGAGGTTTTTGTCTTGACAGGGGGTATTCATTCATTGTCCCAGGATGTATAATTAGTGGAATGGCAGTCATTATATTCCTTTTTCTTGTAGTAGGTGAGTATTATGTCACACTACAGAGATCAAAATTCAACCTTGTTGTAATTAAGTAACTAACAAAAGACAAGTGAAAATTAGTTAATGATAATAGTATTATTGAATGAGGCTGAGTATGATTGAAGAATAAGAACAACAGGCTCTGATGGAGATCTGTATAATTCTTCACAACATATGAAAGCTGAATTCAATAGTTTTGTTATTCATTCAAACTATTTCTAAATTCTTAACAACATTACCTCCTTGAAGACTTTCTTTAAAACATTGGCCTGAATCTCGGCACTGTTTCAAGATATAAATAGATGTTTTTTGTTGCAGATTCTCCTCAAAGAGTAACATACATCAAGCAATATGTTTTGCATATTCTTGCATTTCTTCCTTTCAGTTTTAGTCAAAAAATCATCCATTTCATCTCTGCATAGTGATGAAGACAATGTTTTTGAGTTCACTTGGGAATAAACAGATGGGATGCTAGGCTGCTAGTATGAGGGTATATCTATGACAAATTTCAGTAACCTAAAAGTGAAAAGGGAGAAGTCAAATCTGAAATATACCGAGTCAAAGTTGGTGAAAAAAGAGCACGCTAAAAGGAAGAAATACTTAAAAAGGCAACTATCATATAGGTGTCACGCAGAAAAAGGCATCACGCAAAAAGGCAACACGCTAAGAGGCAACGCGGAAAAAGTTATCACGCAAAGAGCCAACACGCAAAAACGCATAACGCAAAGAGGCATCACTCAAAGAGCCAACACGCAGAAAGGCATCACTCAAAGAGCCAACACGCAAAAAGGCATAAACGCTAAAAGGCAACACGCAAAAAGGCATCGAAAAAAAGGCAATTTGCAAAAAGGGCATCACGTAATAAGTTTACGTAGGATCCAGGCCTGGATCTTTAGTACATACTGCTATCTTTAGTACATACTACTACTCCCTCGTAAGGTGGGATCATCCTCATATTGACGGAAACTTCCCACTGCTGTTAACGCTGCACGAAGAACCGCTAAAACCTGTCCGCCATCTTGGTAAAGATGTGCCGGAAAGAAATGCAATCGCTGTCAATTCCGTTTTGGACTTGTTGTAATATATCAATCAGGGCACGCATACGGTACCAAATAAGCACCTCACGAGGTGAGCAAGATGGAATGTCTTGTTCGAATACCATTTCGGTTTTCTTGCAGTATGTACTAAATAATCCTGTTTAAGATCCAGGCCTGGATCGTAAGTAAACTTCTCACGTGATGCCTTTTTGCAAATTGCCTTTTTTTGCGATGCCCTTTTGCGTGTTGCCTCTTTGCGTTATGCCTTTTTGCGTGTTGGCTATTTGTGTGATGCCTTTTTGTGTGTTGCCTCTTAGCGTTATGCCTCTTTGCGTGATGCCTTTTTGCGTGTTGGCTCTGCGTGATGCCTCCTTGCGTGTTGCCTTTTAGCGTGATGCCTTTTTCTGCGTGATACCTATATGATAGTGGCTTTTTAGTATTTCTTCCTGTTAGCGTGGTCTCGTTTTTACCAACTTTGACTCGGTATATTTCAGATTTGACTTAACGCTTTTCGCTTTTACGTTATTGAATTTTGTCATAGATATACCCTTATAATTTTCCCCCTACTGATAACGCTGCACGAAGAACCGCTAGTATGTACTAAATGATACTGTTTAAGATCCAGGCCTGGATCCTAAGTAAACTTCTTACGTGATGCCCTTTTTGCAAATTGCCTTTTTTGTGATGCCTTTTTGCGTTATGCTTTTTTGCATGTTAGCTCTTTGCGTGTTGCCTTTTTGCGTGTTGCCTCTTTGCGTTATGCCTTTTTGCGTGCTGCGTCTTTGCGTGATGCCTCTTTGCGTGTTGCCTTTTAGCGTGATACCTATATGATGGTGGCTTTTTTAGCATTTCTTCCTTTTAACGTGGTCTTTTTTTTTTACCAACTTTGACTCGGTATATTTCAGATTTGACCTAACCCTTTTCACTTTTAGGTTACTGAATTTTGTCATAGATATACCCTCATATGCTAGGCTGCTGCCTGGAAACAAGATTAATAGAGAGGAGAGGTCGGTATGTCACGTTGCCATGGTAACAAAATTTCTGGATGACAACAAACCGAAAACGTCACTTAAGTGCATTTGCATTGTTTCTTATTCAGTTTCAATTAATTTGTCAAATGTTGGCTGAATTTTCTGTGGTTGAATCCGAAAGGACTCTATTTAGGTTGAAAAAAAGAAATAAAAATTGTGTTTTGTTTGCGTACTTTATAAAGCGGGCGCGTGAAATCAGCCAGTTTCACGCCATAGTCGTGCTACGACGGCTAAGAAATGTACAAAAAAGCATGATGCACGTGCAAAGTTGTTGTTTTGCTATCTACACTACGCTTTTTTGCCAATCAAGCTTCCCATTGTTGTGATCCAAAAATTTTGCTACCATGGTAACGTGAACGTCACACTCTTCCTCTGTATTGATGGGTTATTAGGCATTATTAAAATCCAACTAGTGGTCTATTATCAATGCTGCGTTCCCATTAGTTGAGCTACTACTAGGCTATATGTTATAGCCCCCTGGTAGCGAAAAGCGCGGGCTTTTTGCCGGCAAAAAAGGATTAAAGTCTAGCTTTAACTAGCTAAAATTTTTTTACTCTCGATATTTTTGACCAACTAGTTGGATTTTACTAAAACAATTATTCCTCTCGCCCTCATGGCCTCTGAGTCAATAGCCCGTGAGGCCTCATGGGCTATTGACTCAGAGCCCATTCGGGCTCGAGGAATAATTGTTAAAGAACCCATCAAATTGATGGGTTATTGCCCACATCGTCCAAATATGGTAAGCAACAGCTTACCATGAAGATTCGACAAAGTTGAATCATGCTGGATTGAAATTAGGCGTGAAAAACTAAAGAAAATCGTTATCGAATGTATCTATCGGCACCCATCAAACGACCGTGAGCATTTCCTTGAAACCCCAAAGCAGCGATTAGACAAATTAAACAATAAAGAAAAAGAAGTATTCATCGTAGATAACATTAATATAGACTTCCTGAAATACAACAATGATAATCAAACCTCCGAATATTTCGATATGTTGCTCAACTGTGGATTTTTGCCGTTGATCACCAAACCCAAACGCGTCACTGATCATTCCTCAACAATTATTGATCACATTTATTCAAATGTATTCCGCAAAGTCATAAATGCGGGAATCTGCTTAGCTGATGTTTTCGGACCATCTACCAACATATTATACAGTCGCAAATGAGCTGCCTGTGTCAAACAAAGCAAAATATTTTCGCGATTTTTCTCATTTTGACAGTGATTCATTTTTAAGAGATGTAGAGGCTATCGAGTTCTCTGGCCTAGTAAATGATGACGTTAATCAAAGTACCGGTATTAGCAACTTAGTTGACATACTACAAAAAATTTCTGATAAACACGCACCTAAGCGCAGATTAAATAGCAAAAAGAAAAGACGTTTAAAGAAGCCTTGGATTTCCAATGCCATTGCCACTTCAATCAAACGGAAACAAAGACTCTTCAAATCTCACTTTCTAAGCCGAGATCCGGAAAAAATTACGATTTACAAAGTGTTCAATGATAAACTGAATAGAATTATTTCACGGCACAATTTAACCTTAATAGTGAGACCTTAAAAAGAACTTGGAAGCTTATCGGTTTGCTCATAAACAGGAAAAAGGGTGGCACCCCGCCAGTAATAACTAAAGTCATCTATAATGGTGCTTCCTACACAGATAGGAAGAATATTGCCCGTCAGTTTTAAATACGCATTTCATAAATGTTGGTAGTAATCTTTCTGCAAAGCTCCCACCGAGCGATATAAATCAAACAGTTTTGCATTTCCTGGAATCTACGCACATGAAGTTCAAGATACGATAATGGGACTAAATCTGAACGAATCTTCCATAGGGGTTCCCCCAGGATGTATGAAACTGGCATGCCTTTTTATGAGGCACTTCCAGCAATCTATAATCAGTCTTAACAACAAAGAACCGTTCCAGATATAGTTAAAATATATAAAAAAAAATAACTCCTATTGAGAAGGGGGGCGACGCAACCGACCCTGCGAATTATCGACCAATTGCAAGTCTATCAGTTCTTTCTGAAGTATTTGAAAAATTGATATTCAAGCAACTTAGTAACTTTATAGAAAAGCACAATATTCTGTTTGGATATGGATTTCGTATAGGTCACTCAACATCTCAGGCCATAACTGAACTCACTAATACTCTAAGGAAGGCCATTGAGAGAAACGTATACACCTGTGGTGTTATACTAGATTTCTCCAAGGCATTCGGTACTGTAAATGACTAAATTTTGTTCAAAAAGCTAGAAGCATACGGTATTAGAGGTCTCCCTTTAAAATGGTTCAGTGGCTACCTAACAAACAGGTAACAGTAAACTGCACTAGGAGACACAAACTATGGGCTGTGGAATACCCCAGGATAGCACACTAGGACCATTACTGTTTCCTATTTATATAAACGACTTACCCAGCTGCTCCGATAAGTTAAGTTTCAAAATTTTTGCTGATGATACCAACGTATTCACCTCGGCGAATAACCTTAAAAGCCTTAAAACTCCTGTGGACTCTGAACTTGAGAAGGTGAAAGAATGGTGTGACGAAAATAAACTGTCAATAAGTACGGCAAAAACTAATTTAATTTATGATAATTAAGTCCACTAAAAAAAGGATATGTCAGTGAATATTCAGATTAGAAACAAGGATGGAACGTACTACTCTTTGGTTCGCAAGGGCCATATTAAATGTTTAGGGGTAATGATTGATGATTTTATCTCATGGAAATATGGTATCTCATATATTCGCTCACGAATTTCCAGAAATATCAGGATTATATCAAAATTAAGGCACTTTTTATCTGTTAAGCAACTTAAAGCAAATTTACTACAGCTTAATTTATCCTTACATCTCATATGCAATTTTGGCTTGGGTTATCACCTATAACTCGCACCTAAAAAAAGGGCAGTTTCAGCAAAATCTTGTAGCGAGATTATCCTCCTTGTAAACACACATGGCAAAGATACCGAGAGTGCTCTTCCATTGCTGAATTTGCTAGACATACGCACAGTATACAACGTTTATTCTCTGCACGTTGACAGTGGCAGTGGGATGAATGTGTTTCCAATACGGGGTTGCTAACAGATGAAGTAATCTAAATTGAGCATTCCTATAGAGATTAACTTCTTAATCTGTACTTACAAATCTAAGACAGCAAAATTTGAAAACTTCAAGTAACTGTCCCTCGTACCCTTAATTCCCTCGCGTAGAGATGTATCGTTTTTTTTTCCCACTGCGTTGGAAAGCGCGCTAGGTGATATTGAGAAATTCTGGAAACACGTCGTTGGCCGGTCAGCTCCAAAACCACCCTCCCCTGATAGCTACACTTACATGAAATTTCTAAGTCTCTTCTAAATTCTGCTCTTCTAACCTTATTCTAAGTCTAAGTCCCTTCAATTATTTTTAGAATAAAAAAGGAGATTGAGTGTGGCATAAGCGGGATTCGAACCCGCGGTCCTAAAAACCTTAACCCACCACCTACACCACTGCACCATAGTGGATTCGACCTCAAGTTATGTTTTCGTTTTACATATTTATAGTGACAAACCTAACAGTAAATGAAAGATAACCATTTCACTATGTTTAGTGCGTAACCCCAATCACTCTAACGTTTTTCGCGAAATTTTACCGGGATTTTGAAATGTCATAACCTAAGAGAATACGTATTGAACGTTAGAAGACTTATTTCACAGATTTAGTACGAACTATTGCTATTATAATATTGCATTTTTTTATGGTGTAGATCCCAGTCATGTGGGCTTGAGTTCTCCTACTCAACACCGAGAAGTGGAGGTAAGTTTACACCCCAACTTTACAGTCTGTATTAACAGTGAGAGCCAACTCCGATGTTAAATTTATGCAGGGGAAACTGAGTGTGATTTAGTCAAACAGGCCAGAGATAAGAGCAGAAAATCATTACACAACCTGCACCTTCTTAAGTTATTTACCAACAAAGTATCTTGAATTTGGTTCTTTTTAACTCGTGGATTACGTGTAGCGTAAGGAGCGAGTAATTGTGGGCACTGCGATATGCAAATGTGTCACTGGGGTGTAGACATACTTCGTAATTAGTCGTCTTGCACGAGAACGCCCGATATCGAAACGACAACTGTCGTAGATCGATCGTTCCCGTTCCGCGATCAAGAAGTGCTGAGCGTGCATTGTGCCCAGAGCTTTTCATGTTATTGGCGACAAGTTGCCTTCATGTGGACTTTGAATGTTTCAAGTTAACACTATGACCGACTTTGAGACAGAAGGTTATGAACTTTTGAAGCTTTTTGACTCGTCCAGGCGATAAACATGACGAACAGATCAGCTATTGCTCTGTGACTACCCAAGCTGGGCCAAGCTCACGATTTTTTAACTTTTCTCACGACAAGACTCCCAATCACATGGTTTTTAGGGAAATATCATTCTGAAATGAAATGTTTCTTTGTTGAATAAAAACGGAAATGTTTACTGTTGCTGAATCGTAATTGATTCTCCTCATGTAAACGCAGAGAATTGCAAGCTGTACAACGCCGTCAGCAAGAGACTTCGCGACAGTTTTTCAAATGCGACGAAATGAGTTAAAGTACGGCTTTTACCGTTAAAACCATGCTTGCTTTCCTCGAATATATCTTTCAATTCTTCATAAATAAAGCTCTACCAGCTTCAGACAGCGTCCACCGGCAGACTTTCATGGGCAAAAATGTTATTAATTAATTTAACGCCAATGTTTAACGTTAGTTGTCGTGGCGCAATAGATAACGCGTTGACCTTACACGTCAATGGTCTGGTGTTCGACTCCCGCCGGAGGAAACTTAAACATATTTTCATTTTTTGCCAGACTTAAATTATACCGGTAGACTAATTGCCAGTTCAAGATCAGCTTTCATTTCTAAAATGATTAATCCACGAGTTTGCCATAGGCACCCCTTTGATTTACATGTGTAGTCAAATGCTGATTTTTCAAACAACCTTGGGAAGAGCAAATTGGTTCAAATAATTGGGAGGTTTGAAAAATTGGGTGTAAAGTTGCATTGTTCGCCCTAGCCTGTTCCAGGCTCTCGGGTAGTGGGGAAGACGCGAAAGTAAAAGGAACGCGAAAAGTTGGCGAGGCGAAAAAGAGGAAAAGGAAGAGAGAGAGAGCCTGCTCTCCCCAGTTTCCTCCCGTTTTATTTTCGTCTTCGCGCTTTCTCAATTCAGCGGGCCCAACTATCTCGGAGCCTGGAACAGGCTATGTTCTCAGTTCGCCCACGAACGCAAACGTATTTCCGGTCATCGTTTCTCTCCACCCGAGAGAAGCGACGACCGGAAATACGTCTACGTTCGCAGGCTTCGAGAAACCGGGATTCTACTGCATGTAAAACTTCAGATATTTCTTTCTCTGCACGTTTTGCAGATTTGTTAAAAGCAAGGTTCCGACTGAGAGCTTCCTTTATGAACGAATTAATTCACTAGAAGACTTGGTCTTGTAGATGATTGTAGTAAACTGTAAAATATTCTCACTGAGATACTTCAGCAAGTTTCCTTAGTACTATAGTTAGTTCCCTCTTCAAAGTTGATTGGCTGATTTTACTTATTTATTACTCTAGCCTCATCAAGTGGATACCTCGGTAAACAGTCAACGGTTTATGGAGGTGTATATCGTATATGTATATATTTATATATTGTGCATTAATTTATTACCACTTATGAGATCTTAAAAGTCAAGTGCTTTACCGTTAAGAAAAACATTAGGGAGCTTAAGCAGCAACGTTTTTGAGCGACGCACGTCAACCGGAAGTGGCCTTTTTTCATTTTTTGACGGTGGTTTCGCGCAAATTTTCAGTCAAATCGCCTCTCTAACAGTAAAGAAGCTAAGGAATACAAATTTTATATCATCAAGGCATGTTAAGAGGGAAAATACCTCACTTCCGGTTGACGTGCGTCACTCAAAAACGTCGCTGCTTAAGCTCCCTAATATCTAATACCCAGCCATTCGATGCCCAACATTAAAGCACCACAAAGCCAACTGTGTACCATCTGGAAATTCATTAAGTTCACAAAAAGCATATTTTTGAAAGATGATTTCAGAAGAAGCGGCTGCAGAAAGATATAGAGAAATATTGTCTGAGGGCCTTCTTGTCTTCAGTTTTACAGAGGGTGTGGGAAGTCTGCAGTAATCCCTAACAGCTGGTAAAATAACAACAAACACACTGTCGTACAAAACACAGTTTGACGTTGCTCCTGGAAATCATTGTGCGTGCTAGGTTGCGCTGATTTCCAAAATTAACTGTGGCCAGTGAGAAGACAGTTTGTGAATGCAATATACAATAATATAAATTAATGCTTGCATTGAGAAATTGATTTCATCTTATTACTTGTAGAGTACCATCAGTGAAAGGGAAGATCTTTTAAAGGAAAAAATTAACAGTGGTTCAGCAGACGTCAAAATTAAACAGGTTGGTAACGTCTGCTTCTTTCTGGTTAGCGTCATGGAGATCTCATCAATCTGTTAGTTAAGTTCAGGATACAAGGACTGTTCAAAGACAAACTATGTCCATGCCTTCCTTCCCCCTGCCCTCCCCTCCCCCATCACAAAAGTCATGCCAAAAAAATAAAAACAAACTACTGTTATGTAAACTACTTTTGCCATATTATCGCGCTCCCGATCGGCTGGACTGATCATTAGTATTATTTGTGATGTTGGGCATTTTATGCCGTATTTGCATTCCTGTCAGTTCTGAAAGAAAACTTTTATTGAACTTGTTTTTTTTTTTCGTGTTAAGCTTATGTTTAGGACACAATTGACATGAGTTTGTGGCCGCTTGAGGTTGGTTCAGGGATCATTGACAGGTTAAAAATTGTGTAATATTTTGTTGTTTCAGTTACCCGATGGTTCATCATCCTCTGAGGCGTCATCAACAGTAACAAATACAGCTGATGTTCCTGCTGTTAGTTTTTGGCGAGCTGTTCTTATACCTGTGAGTAATAGAATTTGTTAATTGCCTTGTTCATCTATTCCTGAAAAGCTCCTTTGACCATCATGTGGCGTTAAGGTGAATATTACTGGCAAGGCATAGGCCTGGTTCTCAAGAATCCTGGTAACTTTTCGGGCCCTGGCGGAAATCAAAATCATATCCAAATAAAGATGTAAAGAAAAAAGCAAAAATACCAGTCCATTTTCTTTCGTTAACTGTTGGTTTGTCATATTATTTGCAAATCTATTACAACGGCCTCTATCTTGAAGATTAACAACAACAGTTTTCCGGGACCATAACGGGTTCCTGGTATACACTTCATTTGCTTAAAGAATATTCTGTCATATGTTTCTTGCAACATATTCTTCATTATATGTCTATATCTGCTCGGTTTAGTTGAATCTCTTCACTGTTGTAAAATTATTTCATCAACTTCTTTACTTAGCTATTATTTTTGAATGTTAAGTTGTTTTTTTTTGTTTCTCTACAGGGAGTAATAGAGTACTCACTATGTTTGTTCTTTGCTAAACTGGTCAGCTACACTTTTCTCTTTTGGCTTCCATTTTATATTCAAAACACAAGTAAGGACTTCTTTTAAGTATCCTCAAGTCCCGAAAGTAACGATGCCCCGTTTAATAGCGACCTCGGGATTGTTTTTTCTATTATTTTTTTCTTTGTTATTGGTTAGAAGTTAAGAATAGAGTTGAAATGCTAGTAACGGATTGAAAACTGCAAATGCATGATTTGGACGCAAATAATGGGACACTTACTGTGAAGTTCTATTAAGTGAACAAGTTATCTGTGCTTGGATACCTAGAGCTTATGGGGGTAAATTGTGTTCTAAACTTTATTTGTCCCGGCGATATTTTTTGTACATTGAGTAAAAGTAAACATTTTTTATACTTCTGAAGGAAGCGACCCCAAAAGACTGATAATTTTTAAACTCTCGTGCTCTTAAAGTTGTCCTGTTCACAGTGCATCCTCCAACACGTCAGCTCACTCAAACAATAATTTGACCCTTTGAACCTCATAATGGGACATTCTTACAATATGCTGTAAACTTTCATTGCGACATTGTAGATAATTTTTGAAACATTTGTTCATTAAATTATCCTTCAGCAATTACTTTGATTTCTTGCTTTACTGCCAGGCCAATTCTGTGCGTAATAAAAGAAAGACAAAATGCTCAGCTTATAACAGAGTACAGGCCCTCTATAGACAATGATGTTTGAGCTTGCTTTTGCATCTTTGATGTGTAGGAATTGGTGGTAAAGTTTATGGAGCTACAACTGCAGCCGATTTATCCACACTGTTCGATGTAGGAGGGATTATAGGTAAAGTGAACCATGCCTAACTTAAACCATTGTGCTGTTTTGAATTTCAACTATGTTTCCTCTCTTATGGACTTTAATACACCAATTCTGGTGTAATGGCTTGGCTTGTCTGTCTCTTTTAAACGGACTGAAAACTGAAACTTTGCTTAACTGGTTTCTTCTGCACGAACGGTCAACTGGTGTAAAAAAGAAGCGGTTTTAAAAGTATTCGTGTGGACGGTTCCTAAGTGGAATATGATCGTCCGTCTGGGTGAGTCGTTGTGGTCCTGAATAGGACTATGGTGGATAGTTAGTGATGTTCCCACATCTCCTCAGACAGGGTTGCCACGGTCAAGAAAAAGTCATGGAAAAACGAAAATTTTTCAAGGTCAGGGAAAAGTCAGGGAATTTTTAAAAAAGTCAGGGAAAATCTTTGATATTGTCAAAGTCAGTGTAAAGTCAGGGAATTCTGTTTTCCTGCCTATAGTTCATAAGTTTTCTTCAAGACTTTCAAATGCATTTTCTTTCGGAAAGATGAAAAGTATGCTGTAAGGCAGGCAAAGCGATCAATTTGACACTCTACGCCTGACATATATAGTGGCTGTGGTCAGTGATTTTGGTTCTGAATGTTTTCTTTCCAAATTCCTTCTTCCTCTTGAAAATTAAGAGAAAAATATCGATGGCCTGCAAAAAAGGCTAAAGCGAATGTAAACATCGATTGTTTCTCATTAATAAAAGGTCAGTGAAAAGTCAGGGAATTGTTAACTTTCTGATGAGTGGCAACCATGTCAGAGTCAAAGTGAGTTGCATCTGAGAAGGCTGGTGTGTTTTCAAATGCTAGTATCAATAGAGATTTTTGAGAGCTTCAGTTGAATGTATGTAGTCCTCGGAGCGACGTTTGCTCGTCCATTCCCTCCCACGACAGTCAAAGAAGAGTTCTCATAGCTGTTGTTTCACTTGTTTTTCAGGGGGAATCTTTGCAGGGTTTGTTTCAGACAAAACGAAGTGCAGTGGGATCACGGTTGTTTTCATGTTAATTCTAGCAGCTCCAATGGTTAGTCAATTGCACAATTATACCCGCGAACGTCTCAAGGAAAATTTCCTCTTTGATTTTCTGTTTACCATTGTTACGAGGCGAGCCAAAGGCGAGTTTCTGGCGCGAAAGACTGCTGTTACGGCTCTTGCAAGAATACGCCGAGCCATTCTTATTACCTTTCTCCGGCGTTTTGCTACGTTGAATTGGCTAAACACAAGGCGAGGCTAAATCAAATTTATTGTTGCGGAATTTCATAAAGTAATGTAAATTTGATTGTCTGTTTTTTTTCTCCAGCTGTTTATTTACAGATTCTTCGCTAATTCCAGTCTCCAAGCCAATATATGTAAGTATAAATCTCCCCGATTTTGTTTGAGGGCAGGGGTCGGCTGTACACAGGCTAAATAATTATGCCCTTTATTGACATACACTGGTGACGAAAAGTCTTAAAAAGTCTTTGGTCTTATAAAACTTTTTTGGCCTGTATCAGTTTCGTAACTTCCTTGCAGGGGATCTCGCTGTCCCGAAGAGTCGATTTTTCCCTTTTTAACTCAGTTTGAGCATTCTTATATGTAACTAGTGATCATAGCTCGAGCTAAACTAAGTACAGACTTCAGCAATAACCTGCGTAGCTGGCGGTAGAGGAAACGTCATTCACGGCCAGACACCTCATAAACGAGCGATGGAGTTGCAGGAGAAGGAAACGAGAATCCTTGTTTTCTTCTCTGCGCTCCAGCGTAACCGACGGCCTCTCAGGCAAAGGAAAAACAGTGCAGCTTTGTCCGCGGAAGTCATAAATTTACCATTCGTCAACCTAACTTGCCACTTTGTTCACAACAGAAATTTGCTGGTTTCGATACTGAATATCTATAATAAATAACTTTTAACTTCCCTATCTAAATAAAATTAATCTTTATTACCGTCCATGAATGTGGGCGTTTAATGGATGAGAGGCGTTAATTCTCATAGCTGTATCAAGCTCAACAAAAATAATAAGCTTTCAGCGAAAGTATCAAAGGAGTTTATATATACTGAGCGGAATATCCAGTCCATCAGTTGATCCGTTTAGGCCGTTAAGAGACCCATATCGCTCTTTCAGATCTCAACTTCGATGTCAGAATCCGCGTTCAGGGTCTTTTTGTTATCACACTGACTCTGAACTTGACATTGGACAAGATTCAATGTGAAAACCCTTGTTAATCAAGCAAGAAACTGAATAAGTTAAATGCTGTTGCGCCTTTTTGCTAATTTCTAGTATTTTGGAGCGTCTGTTAGACAGGGGGCGTTAAATAAAGTAACATCGTAGTGGGGGGCGTTTATTAGACGAGGCTTTTATTTGAGAGGGGGCGTCAATTACATCATTTATGGTATGTCCCTCTGTAAACGTCTAACTCGGCTGGTAAGAGGTATATCTCCGCCTTTTGACCATTTCTAAACTCGAGAATAAAGCGTGAGTTCTAGCTTGTCCTTTAGGAAAGCATCTCTCACGTTTTGCTTGGCCGAGCCAGTTCTTGCTCGTCATAGCTAATGATTTTGTTAGAGGATGACTTGGCTGGACGATCCTGGGCCCTTTTCCATCGTGCTAGTAAGCTTTAAAAGTTACTTGCCCACTCGTTCCGAACGACCCCTGTTTTGTAATAGGCCTAATGTGATAAGTGGGCTTAGTTGGGCTTATAAGATGCTAGTTGCTCACTACAACAATCCACCTCTGGTTTCAGTTTTAATGATTGCTACTGGGTTGTTTGTAAATGGACCTTATGCTTTGATCACCACGGCAGTTTCAGCAAATCTGGTAAGTTATGTAGTCGTCACTTCAGCGACCTATGGCTTATCTATATTTATTAAAACTTTATGAATTGTTTACAGGGAACGCATCAATGTCTCCATGGTAACACGAAAGCAATGGCAACCGTAACAGCTATTATTGATGGTACCGGCTCCATGGGTAAGGAACAATAACAAACAAAGGTCATTCCTGTAGTGCTACCAAAGATTACCAAATTATGTGCGGTCATATATCTTGAAATCATGATCCACATACGTCCATTTGAAAGGGTATATCTAACACTCAAGAGCATCTTTCATCCCAATAAATCCACGTTGCTTAAAAACAAACACTCGACTTCGACTGGCTCCTCGGTGCCGGGATCCGGGTAGTAGTTAAAATACTCCTTCTCTTGCTTTCTATATGTTGGTTTGTTACCTGAGTGAAGAGAACGTGTTACTTGTTACAGTGCAAGAATTAAAGCAGACTTGTATAATTTAAACTGAGCAAAGTCTTTTTCAAACTGCGAATCAAGGCCATATTCAACACTAACATTTTCATCACAATGATACATGGAAAAAAATTGGAAAAAAGAACTAACAAATGAATTAAAGTTGCGTTTACGGGATTATTTTAACAGCGCTCAATTAAATAGTTACGAGTTTATGCTTGAAAATAAAAGCAACAGATATAAATGTGTAATGGGTATAATAGGGGTAAAAACTTAAGGAGAAATTAGCACAATTTAACAATGATTTCATAGGTTAATAATTTATTAATGCAGCGTATTGACACCTATATACCCACATACACCTAGTCGTAAAAGGTAAATAAATGAATACATAAATAAAACTATTTGGCGTTTAACCTTCAAATATACAAGGGCCGCCGCCTTTTCACTTTCTTTCAATATTTTAATTTCATTTCGTGTAATAATCTTCGCTCAGGGGTTTTTTTTTGTCTTTTCTTTTCTCCTTGGACTGACCAGTTCCAAAGCTCTATAAAATCATCCGGATCGTAGCGACTGCGTATGTCTGAGTCTTCCTCATGCAAGTAGTTCCGGGGCGTTACGGAACTATCCCGAGGATTGGAGAGCTCCCCAAATCGCCTGGAGTCTATATGAAGCGCTTTTTCCGTATGATAGTTCCGGATCGTGTCGATCATCGATCCATCAACCCCGACCCCACTTATACCCTACTTTTTATTTAACAATTTGTGATTCTTGGAAATACACAAAGGTTGCTGCAACCGGAAATGATATATCTGAAGTTGCCAGTGCCTCAAAATTTTATGATGTTCTTATCTATTATAGGCGCTGCACTTGGTCCACTGCTAACTGGGATAATATCACCTACGGTATGTCAGCCCATGTGTACTCATTCGTTTTCAGGCATATCCTCTCTACTGATAAATACATGCATAAATAATTACAACTTAGGGAGGGTTAACCTACACGTCAAACAAGGGACAGCTCTTCCTGCATTCACACACGTATCACATCACCTTTATTTAACCTCGGATTTACAGTGAAGCTCTTCAAGCTCTTGTATTGATGTCATGTCTTGACCATATCTACACCTAATCTATTCAAATCATCAAGAGTTCTAAAAACTACACTGAGCGATGATTGCCAAATCGTTGGTATTGTGAATTACCGAATGCCTTGTCTAAAAAAGCACCGGATAATCGAGACGCGCTCGTGGAATGACAACATTATTAACGCTTTTGTGTCTGAACTTCAACAACCACCGTGGGGCGTTATCGATTCTTTTACTGATGTTCACGACGTTTTCTGCTTGGGGGTCGCTGTTTAAGGATTTGCTAGACAGGTGTCTCCGAAACCAAGTGATCCCAAGTTACTAATATGAAAAGGAAAGCAAAAAGGAATTACTTCTTAAGCCACCACTTTCTGTGCGGAAAGTTTCCTACCGAAAATTGCAATCAGTCAACGTAGTCTCCTTGAATGAGGACTTGGCTACTTCTGAGTTGTGCCAGAATCCATCTGATGATTTACGGGAACTTGTTTCATCTTATAACAATACCCTCATGACTGCTTTGGACAAGCACGCGCCGTTAATGACAAGAACAATTGTTCAGAGACCTCGTGTTCCATGGTTTAGTCGGGAGATCAGGGAGGCGAAGCGTCAACGAGGGAAGGTTGAAAAGAGGTGGAGGAATTCTAGATTGGACTCCGATCTTGCTGTTTTCAAAGCAAAACGTAATTTTACTACCCGTCTTATGAACAAGGCTCGGAGGGAATTTTATAGTAACTTTATAGACGAAAATGGCGGTGATCAAAAGAAACTATTCTGTGCAAGTCAGCGCTTATTTAACGGCACAGTGAATGATGGTCTCCCACCTAATGTGGACAGTAGAACGTTTTCTAACGACTTGGGAAAATACTTTGTTCAGAAGATAGATACCATCCGCAAGCAGCTTGACACCGATCAGCAGACTGATTCACTTCCAGAAGATGACACTCCGTCTGCTGTTCTTTATTAGACTGATTCACTTCCAGTAGAGGACACTCTGTCTACTGTTCTTGATGAGACTGTGCCATCATTCCCTACTTTTACGATGCTATCAGTTCGACATGTTAAACAGCTTATCCAGAACTCCTCCCTTAAATCCTGCCCTCTTGACCCTATGCCATCCACACTGGTTAGCAAATGTGAAGATCTCCTCCCAGTTCCCACAAAAATCGTTAACAACTCATTGCAGTCCGGGTGTTTTCCTGAAATTTGGAATGAGGCTTTGGTTTTTCCGCTGTTAAAGAAACCCGGTCTCCATATCATCTTTTAGAACTTCCGTCCCGTGAGCAACTTGTCTTTTGTGTCTAGACTCATTGAAAGGGCTGCTTTCAATCACATTCATGGTCACCTGGTTAGTCAGTCAGCTTATAAAAGAAATCGCAGCACTGAAACAGTTCTTCTGAAAGTAATAAACGATATTCTGTTAAACATGAACAAGCAGCACGTTACTATCCTTGTTTTGCTTGATCTCAGTGCTGCTTTCTATACCGTTGATCACAGCATTCTCCTTAACAGATTATCGTCAAAACTTGGTTCGAATGGCGCTGCATTTGACTGGTCTCGATCTTATTTGTCTGGCCGTTCCCAGCGAGTCTCTGTTCGGGGAGCTGTATCTGATAAGTTAGGCGTGGGGTATGGTGTTCCTCAAGGCTCGTGTCTTGGCCCACTTTTCTTTACAGTTAATTCAAGCGCAGTGTTTGATGTCGTCATTGTTATGCGATGACTCTCAGTTATACATCTCGTTTAGTCCCAAGGCGCACTCTGTCCAGGCTGATGCAGTTGCTTCCATAGAACATTGCATTCAAGACATCAGGCAGTGGATGTCTCAAGACAAGTTGCTCATGAATGATGCCAAAACAGAACTTCTTTTGATTGACACCAGACAGCAACTCGCTAAAATCACAACTGATGGCATAACTGTTGGACACTCTGTCATTGCTCCACAATCTCCCATTCGCAATCCGGGTGTGTGGTTAGATTCTGACCTATCAATTGGTGATCACATAACGAAAACAAGCTCTGCAGCATTCTATTATTTGTACAATATCAGGAGGATAAGGAAATATCTTAGCAAAGAATGTACTGAAACACTGATACATGCCTTTATTTCTAGCCGCTTTGACTATTGTAATAGCCTGTTATATGGCTTACCGGCGTATCAGATTCAGAAACTGCAAAGAGTCCAGAACTCTGCTGCACGCCTTGTATTCCAAGAAAGTAAATTTTGTCATATTACACCATTGCTAAGAGCTCTACCCTGGTTACCCGTAGCAAATCGAATAGTTTTTAAAATTTTACTCTTGACTTTGAAGGCCATTCATAAACTCGCTCCAAATTACATGTCCGAACTTGTATCTCTGAAAGACAATGAGGGTAGGTACTATCTTAGATCAAATGACGGCAAACTTCTTAACATCCCATCATGCGAGTCTCTTTCCACGCTTGGTGATCGATCTTTTTATATGGCTGCCCCTAAATTATTGAACGATCTTCCCCTTTTTATAAGAAATATATCTTCAGTTAATGCTTTCAAGAAGGTTCTTAAAACTCATTTATTTCAGAAGGTGTTTCCCAGCTAATTTATTGTTTTTATTCTTTTTATAAAGAAGGATTTGTATATAGGATTTTAAGAATGATTAGTCTTTGTTTTTAGAATTTTAGACTTCTTATTTTTAACAATTGAAATTATTAGGTGCAATCTGTAAATAAGACTTTAAGGATTAATTAGTCATTGTTTTTAGAATTTTTTGAATTGGAATATGTACTAGGATTCTAGCATTTTGTTGAGTCATTGTAATGCGCAGATGACAATTTCTTTCCCTGGATTGATATTTGCGCAATACCAATCAATAAATTTTATTATCATTCGATGCAAATGTTTCTTCCTTTTCATTGGCCGAGAGCCCACCACGTGACCTGCAAATAACTGCCTACAAATAATGGTGTGTTCATGCGCAATGTCGTTCAACTGTTTTTGGCTGCAGAAGTAATCGTCTGAAATTCAGGCTACTCTTTTACATGTTTTCTTTTTTTATTATTACCGCTGATCACCGGTTAATACCAGCTGGTCCTCTGTGCTCTGTTGATCGGTTTTTCTATCAGGATAAATAAAGATATTATTATTAGTACCATTATTATTATTATTATTATTACTATCTCCTTTATCACAGTCTTTGATATTTTGGTTTTGCCAGTTGAAAATCGTGTTTTACTTTTTTGTGAATTAAAGCAAAGGATCAGCCGGCGTCACTGGACGGCAAACCATGACGTTACCTAAAACGAGCGTCAAATTCAGTCACTTTTTTTTCAAGTGATCAATTATTCTGTTCATCGGTTTTTCTATCACTAAATAAAGATATTATTATTAGTACTATTATTATTATTATTATTATTATTATTACTATCTTTTATCACAGTCTTTGAGGATTCGCGCAAACCATGCACCTAGATCCCAGTCATGCAATTATTCTGTTCATACACTTTTCTGAGGATTCTCCCAGTCATTCTGAATCTTCTCTAGTATCTCTCTCTGATACTTTCTTGATGTTTTCTACCATACCCTTCTTCACTGTACCAAGCGCACCAACAAACCACGGGGATCACTACGGTTTTCATATGCCACATTCTCTGTATTTCTAGTTTTAGGTCTATAATTATAATAATAATAATAACAATAATAATAATAATAATAATAATAATAATAATTATTATTATTATTATTATTATTATTATTATTATTATTATTATTATTCATGTTCTATCTCAAAATTAAACGGGAGGTTAAAACCACCAGGACGGTTTGTACAGTAAATCATTAACCAACAATACTTTCCCATGTCTCGTTTTTCCTTTTTGTATTTTTTTAGCATGATTTCTTGACTAGCATTCCTCCGACATCAGTTTTAAAAGTGTTCACTTTAAGCTCGAGCGTGGATTACTAACTCTTTTCATTCTTCACTACTGATCCCCGTCAGCTTCATTTCTTCATTTTCGTACCCCCACCCCCTTTAACTAGTGGTCAGTAAATTCCCGCGGTTTTTATTTTCAGTCGCACGCTCAACAATTTTTAAAGCAAAAAAATAGAGGGTGTTTTACGGTAGTTTGTACTATCACAAGTCTTTTGGACGCTATTTCTGGTACCCAGCTAAAGTGTTAGTCTCTTTTGATCAGTGGAAAGGTTGAGAACAATGGAATATTTGTGTTCTTGTTTGCAGGGGTGGAACAATGTGTTTTATATGTTAATTACCGCTGACGTTTTAGCGGCCATTGTAAGTGTATGATTTATATTTTTAATTCAGTGTCACGGCTTACAATAGCACGATAGTAAGTCCGACGGTTTTCTTATGCTGCTTTTATGAGATCGTCTCTTGTGGTTAAACGCTATGTGTGTATTTTATTTTGGTGGGTTTTAAGTACTTTTGTAACAGTAAACATGGAAAAGAGGAAATAGTGTCTGGCATCAGTTAAGAGTGTCTGACCACTGAAGACATTACACGTTTCTGGGAAACTGCCCACATACCCCTCCCCTAAGCCAACATTAACACTTACCTCTCACTTAGGGCAAAATGTTGGCTTAAGGGAGGGGTAGGTGGGCAGTTTCCTGGGAACGTTTTATGATCCGACATTATTACCTCCATATAAAATACAAATAAATGGTTTGATTTTTTTTCTTGTTTAGCTCCTCATCAGACAAGTGGTATTTGAAATAGAGAAATTTTGCTGTCCACGCACCATGTGAGTATTGTGGCATTCTAATCTTAATTTTTTAGGCCCTTGGAGCATTTTAAAATCATTTTTCATGTGGCTGGGAGTGGAGGCAATAGATCAATACGGTGTATATCATTACCATTAGCAACAAGACATCATCATAGAGTTATCATATGATGAAATTCATATCAAAAGAACCTTCTTACTACCTTTCTCTCAATATTTTCTTCACAGAGTGCTCTCTCAGTTACCTTATGTAGAATCTGGCATTCATTCGGACCACCCGGGACGAGAAAGCGAACAAGAGCCTCTACTACAAAACTAAGTAAACCTGCCACTAAACGGTGCTTACTCTCGATTGCGAAACAAACCCAGGTAGAGGACTATGTAGCCTCAGGTTACTAGATTGGATTAAGTAGTGATTTTGATGTGTTTAATTTCTCACTGCCAGGCGCGGGAAATCATTTAGAGAATTAATTTAGGCCAGTCTGATCAAGTAACTGACCAAGAAAACGCTCTACATATACTTAGGGACTGTAGTTAACCAGATAATTTATAAGCATCGACAAAGTACAACGTCTTAAGTTTGCTGCCTGAATTTTGTTAAGGACTCTTGCATAGCGACATCAAGCTTATTTTTGCAGTTGATATTTTGGGCCTAGACATTTAAATGGCAGCGGGCCATTGCAATGGCTTTGTCAATGCTTATATATTGGAATGTTATGTAACTGGTGGATTTCTGCCTTTTGGACACCTGAGACCTGAAAGATAAGAAGGTCTCGTCCGTGCTAGTTTTTAAAAGGGTTGTTTTATTTTCAATCGAAAATGTGTAAATAGCTTAAAGAAAATATTCACACTGAAATTTTAACATCATAAGCTATTTAGTGGCCGCCTGCTCGGGCTATTTGTTTTATTTCCCCAAGGTGGTGGATTGATTAATACAGTGTAACTGTGTTTTAAATTTGGGAACAATTAAGAGAGGTCAAGTGTTTGATTTTTTTTGTTCCTTTTTTAAAGATACATATAAGTGGGCGGAATTTTGAAAAAAATAGTATTTTTGTCAAATTTTTATTAAATCCATTATTGGGTTTAAAATCCATATATTTTTACTATTCTTAAACAGTAATAGGATCAAGAGGATTTACGAAATTATCTTTAAAAGGAGATTGGATTAAACTTTTTCGAGTGAGTGGCTAGAGTAGTGAAAAGAGGAATGAGTCGTTCCTCTTCTTTGTTACCCAATTGCACTGTCGAGCAGTGGAAAATTCACTTCATTCGTTAGGTTTTAAAAATGAAAATAAAGTCAGTTTAAAATGTCTTTTTGAGTCTGTCTTTCTCAAACATGGCGGCCTGTAAGATGTTGGTTACGTCCTCGTTTTCAATCTTGATGTCTATTGGTCTATTTCCGCTCTTATCTCGTATGTTGAGATCAGCATTTGCCTTTACTAACATCTTTGTAAACTTAATGTCGTTTCTTTGAACACACATGTGTAATGGCGTCTCGTGGGCCTCATCTGAAAAAGAAAGAAAACAATTCTGGAGGTGCTGCTGTTTTTATAGCTTGTTCTGTACATTAGTTAAAAGAGTAGCCAATAAATGTCCTTCCTTAATCCTGGCTCAATAGCGTAGTACGTATCCCTTTTTGTAGAGCATTTTCAAAGTGGCATTGGGCTTATTTGCAGTATAAAAAATTGCTTAATCCAGGTTTTTTTTTTTTCACTCCAAAATATCAGGCGACGGAATTTTTGTACTGTAGCAAATTTCAACAAAGTAACCGCAAACGGTTTTCTTCAATTGCAGTTATAAAAAGCGTAACCACTGTTGTCAAGTTGTAAGTAACAAATCCATCAAAAAACTGTCTCCTTGTGGTGAAATTTTAGTCGTCTGCAATTCTCTTGGTCCTTAAAGACTCGAGAACTGTTTTAAAGCAACTTTGTAAGCTGCAAGCGAATGTAGCAACTTTTGCCTTCCAGAGACATGAGCTTAACAAAGATGTCAAAATGCACAGAACTTTTGTCTTCTTTTTTTCAGTTGCTCACATCTAATTCTCTTAAGGTACTCTGAATTTGTACTGTTCGTCATGCAATTTTTCCACCTTCAACTCAGGTTAAATTGGCAATAAGTTAAAACAGAACAGCAGTTATGAAATGTCGCCCCCCAGGAATAATACCGCTTAACATGATGATTCTCTTCTCCTTCACTTCCCCTCGCCCTTTCTATTTTTCTTCGTTGATGTGATTGTCGCCTTTGTCAG